GCAGATCCTGCAATACATATTTGATTTCTCGTCAGTAAGGGTTAGTATGTAGAAATCTATAACTGTAATATAGGCTACGTCGTTTGGTATCTGATGGATAGTTGTCTCATTGGCAATCATACCACATCTTCTTATTTTTATATTTAACTGTAAGTTAATCTTGTTCGACACCTTTGTTATAGTTCTACTGAGAAAATCACTTAACTTAGTACCAAATCATAAATTGTAAAGGTTTGAAACAAAAGGTAACAACTTACTTTATAATTGGATTTTAGACTAAAATAGTTTATTAATATTCCTGTTATATAGATTTCGTGCTATCAGTGTCGTGTTTGATTTCTTATGCATTCCAAACTTTTAAACATGGGAGTATAATGTTATTCTGGAAACTATTTTCCCGGTTTTTTTACTGTTTCTGTTTCTGTTTGTTCTATTTTATATACTAGTAGTGAAGAGAAGAATGATTATTTGTTAATTATTATTATTTTTTTTTTATTTTTTGGTTTGTTCTTTTTATAGTTAAGAGAACTATTAAACCTACCTGTGTACCACATATAAATCGGACAGAGCTGAGACCAGCACCGTGTGTGTCAAGTGCTTTCTTGCCAGCTTCAATAACTTCAGGGTGACTCTGGAATTTACAGAATTAACAAATGTTTCATTCACATTCAACAAAGAATCCGCTGAATTTAAAGAAGAAGCAAAAGAAAAAGGAAGATGAAACGAAAATAATGGGTTATGCATATAGATAGTTGCTTCAACATATTAAATCAGTATGTTTAAAGACATTTTTTTCAATACCAACTTTAAGATACTAGCTGTTGCTGTAGACGTTGATTATTTAGTTATAAAATCTGTTACATGATTGGAATTGAACAGATACATCTGTGCAATTATCATAAAAAAATATAATTCTGTTTTATAATACATATTTATCATTCATTTACATTATCCTTGTCATTGTCATTTTTTTCAAACAATATATTGTACAGGAAAAAAAGTCCATGCTATTTTTTATATATATTTACAGGTTTGTGCACAAGAAAAACGGATTAACCCCAACACATTGTGTGCCTGTGACAAGTCATACTATCTGGACCGTGTGTTGTTCATTGTTTGTCCGTCTGTTATTTTTATTTTAGGAGAAATAGGTGTTGGTTGCTGCTGTAGTCTGAAATGATATCTAATATTTTTTGTGATTTCTGTTATCTTGTTTTTTGTATGATTATCATGCAATTTACGTACAGACAAACCAAGATAGTTGTTTGCACAGAAATTAAGTATGTCTGCTTGAGATCCTGCTACGTGAATGGTAGGGCCTTGTTTAGATGTGATGACACGTTCTCCCTTCCATGTACCGGCATCTTTTATACCCTCCAGTTCATGCTGCAGATCTTGCTGTACGGCAACTGCAGCTTGTGTAGATCTCTTTCTTGTAAAATATTTAAATGCGTGACGATCTGTAGTGAAAATAAAACAAAGGAATGAGTATCTGCGAATATATTTATGTATTCATTTATCTCTACACGTAAGATTCAGCATAATTTGGTTTGACCAAATGTTGAGTTGCTAAATGATAAATGGAAAGGAAAAAAAATGTGACAATGAAAAAGATGCCTTTCATTGTGAAGTATGCATAGTTGAGCAATTAAGGGTTTGTGCAATGATTGAATGATTCTGTTTTACCATTCATTATTAGCTTGTAGCTTCCAAAGTTGGATCCAATATTTGCCACTATAAGTTAAGAGACATAGCTTTATCAGAACACTGGCTGAATGTCGGTATACCATTTTGTCTTCTAATCGCCGGTCATGTTACGCAAAAATTCCGCTAATGTACTTTTATTTAGATATTGCATCATCTGCGCTCCGGAATAAAACGGATTTTTTATCGAATATAAAATTATAGTTGTGTATTTTTATAAAATATTGTCATGTTTTACTCATTTATAGTATATAAATCTACTCAACCATGACAAATATCTAAAACTTTTCCATATCCGTATAAGTATATGTAAGAAAATATCACATTGTTTAATTCATTGATTTCAGTGACAGTAAAACATATTGTGACCGATTTAGCGATTATGTCCAACAAGCATGAAACGTTTGACAGCTGTTGACAGACATAAACACATAAATACAAATATACAATATTTATTTTCAATTGTGACTTAGTATTATATAATGTAAGAAATCTTTTCTAAAACCCTGTATGAATAGGCTTTGAAAGAAAGTAATTAAGAAATGTGTTTGTTATGACTTGTGATTTAAATTCCTTGTTGACCTTGGATATATAACTACATTTTTTATACTTGAATGTATAGTGTAGAAATTGCCCAAATAAGTACGTTCACCTATATATGAAATTAGAAAAAAGCATTCAAACCACATTTTAGAGAAAAAGATTATAGGTTATCATATATGTATATTATAGCAAGTCCTGTATATATGCGTTTCTTTCACGCAAATGTGAAAAAGTTAAAAGGAAATATCCGTTTGTGCTATAAAAAAACTTTAATGCAACATAATTTAATCTGTATGCAAAACGTGTTTGAAACAAACTGTTAACCACCAACATCTTATTATATGTCAACTCTTCGAGTGGAGTCAAAGAATTGTAGAAATGTACAACAAATTAAAAAAAATTTCAATACCATATGGTAATAAACAATCTGAAATGTTTATGTTTAATAAAATAGAATATAGACTTACTGTGACGTTTAGATATTTTAAGTACAAAATCCCCGATTTTTTCCATTGTACAATATGGTTAATGACAACAACCTGGTGGAGGTGTGTCACATTCAACCAATCCGATAAATGAATACTTAAAAATGTATTTTATTTATGCTTCACTTATTTGTTACTACATGTTCTTTGAAACGCTTTGTTTACTTGTCATTAATGAAAGTTTGGACTTGCGCATTTAAATTTACTTGTACAAATGAAGGTAAAAAGTAAACTGAATAACAAAAATACCGAACTCCAAGCAAAAATTTAAAACGGAAATTCCCCTAACAAATAGCAAAATCTAAAGCTCAAACACATATCAAACGAATGGAAAACAACTGTCATATTCCTGAACTGGTACGTGCATTTCCTAATGGAGAAAATTGTGGATGTAAAGGACATTCTACAAGCTTGCAAATTCGACAGAAATAAACTCTACTGCGAAAAATAATTACCAAACCTGGAATCTATATATTAACAACATTATAGCCCGTGCAAACCAAGCACAAGCGATGCTTAATAGAAACACCAAGAAAGCTCAACACCATCCAAAAAGCAATGCTGTTAAAGCACTAATAAGATAAAGAGCGGAATATAGCGCAGTCATATGGGATCCCTATACGCAGGAAAATGTGGATAAAATAGAGCTATAGTTGAAAGAAGAGCAGCTTGCTATGTTTTCAACAATTACATTAATGAATCAAGAGTCACTAACATGAAAACAGGCTTAACTGGAAACCTCTATACTAACGGAGAGTTATGCTTATTCTACAAAATTGTTAATGGACTCGTATCAATTCCAACAGAAACCTACCTGATCCCACCTGAGACTACTATAACACATATGTTATAGTAGTCTCAGATCCCACTATAACACATATGTTATAGTAGTCTCAGATCCCACTATAACACATATGTTATAGTAGTCTCAGATCCCACTATAACACATATGTTATAGTAGTCTCAGATCCCACCATAACACATATGTTGTAGTAGTCTCAGATCCCACTAAACAGACCAAATATACAGTACAATTCAATGGCATAAACCCTCTTCAGCCCAATACATGGCTATTTCAAATTCTCATTCTTTCAATTACAGTAATAATCTGGAATAAATTACCGGACTCGACCGTGAAAACACAAAAGAAGAAAAAGACCTCAGTAAAGGGACCGCTAACAATATGTCGGTCATAAATGAATAAAAGAAAAAGTGTTATAGTTCAGTGATATGTTTTAATATTTTTTCAGATTCGTTACACAGGCACTGGAAATTTTAGTTCACCTATGTACCTTTTTATAACATTTTATATATATAAAGGTATATAGGTAAACAAATTCTGAGACAAGTGCCGGTGATTCGTTATTACACATTCAATCCTTGATAACGAAAAGTAAGTAAGTAAGACTTTTAGTAAGTAAACCTTTATTTTGAATCGGTATATTGATTAACAATGAACATAAGCTCTAGTGAGCTTTTCATCGAATATAAAAACATATGAAGTAACAAATAAAACAAAGCATGCAGCCTGCAACTAAATAGTTATAAAAACAGCACAACATTTACTGTTAACACTAAAGGATAAACGAAGCACTAATTAAAAAAAGTCAAATTACAATTACAATGCAAGCTATTCATGAAGCAAAAAAATGCTGGAACATGCATCAAATACTACCTGCAAGCAGAGTAAAACCACTCCAGGACTGAACAAGACTTCTAAAATATTTGAAACTGCTTTTAGACCTAAATTGGTCTGGTAAACTATTCCATATAGAAGCAGCAGCTACACGAAAAAAATTCTTACCATAGGTGGTAGTTCTAACCTGAGGTATTTCCCGAAAGTTTCTGTATCTAAAAGAATGTTAAGCGTATTTAATCATGATATAAATTTTGTAAAACATAAATGAGCCAAATATCAAGTGCCATTGTCATGATGCGTCTAATTTGTAGGGTTGAAACCTTTGCGTTTTAAAGAAGAGTTTCAAGGGTGATAAAATAGTCGTCATATTACGAATCTCAACTCGCTTTCGGCTTGTATATTTTTATAGTTATTTTTTAATCTTTAGAAAACTAATTACAAAATTCAATTTGTTTTTTTGTTTGTTTGTTGTTTTGTGTATGTGTTTGTGTATGTTGGGAGATTAAAGGTACTTCCGCACACCAGAAACAAACTATATTTTTTTGATCACACGAAACAATGTTTCCGAAACATATGCCCGTCAGTAGGTAACGATTTAGAAAATACCGGAAGTAAATGTTTGGCGGAAAATTCAAAACATGGCGGACTTAGAAAGAACCTTGGAAGTTTTTACAAAATTGTCCTTACAAAACTTTACAAATGGTAAACAATTCAAAATAACATTATTTGAGATCTTTTACATACAAATCTTCTCATAAAGAATCTATTGTGAAACGTTTTAATGATTTTAAGAGCTAGAAGTAGACAACTTAACACACCAACCAGACCCCTAAATAATAAATTTTTCCTTTCAAGAACGAAGTGGATGCATATAAAATACAATACTCTATCTTGGATTCATCAGAATAAATAGCCAAGTATGACAATAAATGACCCTGTTTACACAAAAAAAAAACTTTAAGAGACTGCTTTGTTGTGATCAACAGGTCAACTCAGCTTCGATACACCTTATCGCTATTTATCGCACCTCGGGTAAATTATCACGTTATGATTGGTTTAATGCCGTCACGTGGTGACCCCCTATGGATCCGTAGGGGGTTCGTAAATTTCATAGGGGGTTCATGACGTCACGTCTACTGTTAATGGTGACGTCATCTATTAATGTTGTTGTGTTTCATTGTTTATTTTTCTACAAAAACGCAGCAGAAAAAGTCCCGCGTGCGATAAATTCGTTATACGGTTCACTACTGACCCCCTACGGACCATAGAGGGTGATTAAAATCCATAGGAGATTCGGCCTTCGGCCTCACCCCCTATGGATTTTACTAACCCTCTATGGGTCCGTAGGGGGTCAGTAGCGAACCATATAACTTATAATATCTCCTTAACTTACTGATTATCACAAAGGTTCCCTTTAAAAAAATGTTAAACTTCACAATAGAAAATGTCTGACTCAACAAAGGAAAAGTGATTGTTGTATGACAACAGTAGGTGTAGTTCAAGTCGGAATCGAGTGTCACAAATTTGCAGGTCAAGTGTTGTAGATTCCTAAATAGTGATAAAGTCTATACTGAATGATTATATACATGTATGTACAGTTTTTGGGAATGTGTGATTGATATGTAAATATTTACAAATAAGAATTTATTAACAATGGAAGTGTTTGTATATGCAGATTGTGATTAAAATAATAACTTTTAATTACAGTACTACATGTTTTAGTTTGAGTATGGTTATAAGAAACTAGGGAGAATGGCTGTAGATAACTGATCTACGAAGCTGTCAACAAAATTTTAAACAGTCTGCACCAAAATCTTTTCCAACCACTAGTCAGAAGACAAATATTCAGACATTTTCCTTATTCGTCTAAACAAAGTTATACAAAAATGTACATGATGTACTAGTTTGAATAAAATTTTACTAGTCTGGGGCATCATACTAGTGGCTAACGGTGCAGGCTGCAGAAATGGTTTTAACGATGGTCTGAGAAAACAACAGACATGTGATTCTTCTTGCAGGAGTCATAATTAGGCCGCAATTAAAAATATCTTTGTTTCCCCTTACCCTACCCACCATTTTGAAAGTGGGTAGGTAGGTAGGCCTTTTTTTTTTTTTTTTTTGAGAAAATCCCTGAAATATATCTAACACACAGGATAACACAGAAAAACAACAAATTGAACTTTATTGATGCTAAAAAAACATACTGCACAACGTATTATGCATGACTAGAAGACCTTACAATTTCAGACTAGAAAATGTTTGTAAATATCAATGTCTTTGTGACTTAGAGTAGACCACATATAAATTGAGACACAGTTCTATCTTTTTCTTATAGTTTTATTGATTCAATTGAAAATATAAAACCCCAACGAGACTGCTACCTAGTAACATTCGATGCAAAAAAATATGTACACTTGTTTTTCAATTAAGGAAATACTAGAAGCCACAAACCGTGATCCAAGCGAGTATGACTACGCCTATTTGAAGGCTTATTCTAGAAAACTATGAATTTATTTTTAACAATAAACTTTACCATGAACCTTGGGCGTGCCTATGTGTGGATCAGCATTCGCTGAGTTAGCAGACCTTACAATGTTTGTTAATTCTTGAACACATTTTACAACGCTTTCAACACAGAGAAACAAAATGATAATGATAGTTGAAGTTCACCTACAAATTTTCCTGTAATGAAACAATATTCTTAGACACTGTCATAATTATAAAAAGGAGAAAGATTCTTTAACGAAGGCATAGTATGATACAAGACATTAAAACCAATATCAAACCAACTGAAACATATCAATATCTGCACAGACACTGCTCACACCCAAAAAGTGTTTTCATTGAAAGGATTTATCAAGGGTGAAGTATTGAGGTATCTCAGAAACACAAGCAGCAAAACTGATCTTAAAAAAAAACAGTAAGAAGCTCAAACGAGGATATCAAATATCTGAAATCAACGATTTTTTTTATCAAACACAAAATACAGAAAGGGAAAACTTGCTAACACATCGCCCAGCGAAACGGGAGCAACCGCTAGTAATGTTAACAAAATTCAACCCATCTATACAGAAACTAAAAATATAATAATGCAACACTGGCATCTTATTTCACAAAACCCTGAATTAGTGACCATATTTAATCATCAGCCCATTATAGCTTAGGGAGCTACCATTTGATTTTTAATGGGGGGGGGGGGGGCTAGGATGAAAAGTTTTGTCCTGCTTTTTTTTTTAGTTGTAACCTCTGTCCTGCCTTTTTATTTTTTACTCTATTCGGTCCTGCCCTTTTTTTTTACTTGTTTATCCTGAATTTTTTTACTAGTTTATCCTGAATTTTTTTACACAAATTGTCATCCTGAATTTTTTTTTACCAAGTTGCTCATCCTGCCTTTTTTTTCACCCAAAACTCCTGTCCTGCCTATTTTTTTCAAATTTCATCCTAGCCCCCCCCCCCCCCCCCCCCATAAAAATCGAATGGTAGCTCCCTTATAAAAGACATAAGAACTTACAAGAACTTTTATTAAAGCATTAGCTGGTATAGTCTTGACTTTTCACAACACAATATGATACTGAGCTCGAAAAAAATCAACTACTATTTTATCCAAAGACAACTAGTGTATGGTCCAATATCACATACGAAATGAAACAAAATAGCATAAATAGCACACCAATATACAACTTATTGAGTCGACCACCGTTGTATTAAAGCCAGTATTGGTATCGATAACGTATTCATACAGATACAGATAAAGGCGGACTCAGGGATTTACCACAAACACGGCAGAAACACCGGGCCTAACATTTAAGCTCAAGGGTGAGCTCGGATGCGCAATCGTAACTACTCGGCCATTCTTGCTATGCACTTTGTTATTGGAGGCATAGCTAGGATGGAAGAGTAGTAACGATTGCTCGGATGCATTTATTTAAAACATTATTCCATTCCAATTTCAGTATCCTTGCATACGTTGTTTACCCTTTGCTGCAAACAATCGGGCGACAATGATTTCACGGAATGTTGAAAATACGGACCATTCAATGAAACGAAATTAAAAAACGAACTTTTGAGCGAAACAAAAAAAACAAAAAACAACAACATGATTTTCGAAAAAAATTATTTCAGTCGGCGGATTTTTAGAGGGTCGGTCGGGTAAGGGGAAACAAACTTAATTTTAATTTTGGCCTTACCTGATTTTTAAGCCCTCTTCCATCCGTCACGTTTATGATTTAAATCATCTGTTTTTATGTAATTTCAACAGTTCACTAAAGTGTTGTTGTCAATCCAGCAGTATTTTATTTATTTATTTTTATTGACAACCCTGGATACCATCAGGTATCCTCTTTAGTGACTCTACCTTCACTTCACCACAAAGGCGTTGGTTCAGCAGCTTCTTATTCTTAAATGTACAAAATTTACATTATGTACATTTACACACACCTTCTTTGTATATCCTACAGGTGAAACACAATAAAGGACCTGTGCAGTGCAGGTACATGTACCAACAGGAATATTTGTCAATATTAGGATTGCTTTATTTTTACAGATTGGGTAAAATCTATATGGGATAATGACTTCACAGAAATAGATCCTTTAGACATTGCTGTAGAGGGGGAATTAGAAGATAATGGATATCACACTGTTACGTTTAGGATACTACAGACTGTATTTGATGACTGGAAGTCGAACAAAGAAGGAAAAGATGGAGAAGGTTGAGTAGAATTTGTTAACAAAATTATGACCATATCCGATAAAAATTTGTAAGGGTTCCGCGGAACCCAGTGTCTCGCCTACTTTTGCTGTTAATCGCAGGCTCAACAAAAATGAGGAAAAAAATTAATAAAAATATTCCTCTCTATACTATCTTTTGATTGTAAGTAGCTTCTGTCCAAGTTTGGTAAAAATCCAGGATGGTTTTTGAATTTGATAAATGTTTTTAAAACTTTTAACTGCAGACTATGTAAAGTTAACTGGAAGAAAAACTAAGTCCATTTATAAGTAAAATACGGAAAAAATGGAACAAAATTTCCTTCAAGATACTAGTTTTTGATCATAAACAAGCTTCTGTCCAAGTGTGGTACAAATCCAGGATAGTTTAAGAAAGTTGTTAAAATTTAAAAAACTTTAACCACAGAGTGAATGTAATGTTAACTGGCAGAAAAACTAAGTCCATTTATAAGTAAAATACATAAAAAATGGAAATTTTTTTTTACAAAATTTACTTCTGGATACTATCTTATGATCATAAACAAGCTTCTTTCCAAGTTTGGTAGAAATCCAGGATAGTTTAAGAAAGTTATTAAAATTTCAAAAACTTTAACCACAGAGTGAATGTAATGTTTCCTGGCAGAAAAACTAAGTCCATTTATAAGTAAAATACGGAAAAAATGGAATTTTGTTTTACAAAATTTACTTTTGAGTATAATCTTATGATCATAAACAAGCTTCTGTCTAAGTTTGGTAGAAATCCAGGATAGTTTAAGAAAGTTATTAAAATTTCAAAAACTTGAACCACAGAGTGAATATTTGTGAACGACGACAACGACGACGCCGACGGAATGTAGGATCGCTAAGTCTCGCTTTTTCGACAAAAGTCGAAGGCTCGACAAAAATCATAAAATGGTATCAGATTTTCTTGCAATATTCAATGCAAGAAAAGGCAAGACCTGAACACAAATCTGGAATCATGGAACTTTTTTTTATATTTTTAAGCACTTAAAATGTAATGCTCATATCCCTCTGTAATCACCATTGATAAAAAAAAATGAAGAGGTTTGGCACTCCTATATCTAACTCTCAGATATGGATGAGACTAACATAAATTACTCCACAAAAAGACACAATAGTTTGGTGTTATAGTCTCAGAAATGGATGAAACTATAAATACTCCACAAAAAACACACTATTGTTTGGTGTTATAGTTTCAGATATGGATGAGACATATAAATTACTCCACAAAAAGACAATAGTTTGGTGTTATAGTCTCAGAAATGGATGAAACTATAAATACTCCACAAAAAACACACTATTGTTTGGTGTTATAGTTTCAGATATGGATGAGACTTGATAAATAACTTGACAAAATGACAATAGTTTGGTATTATAGTCTCAGATTTGGATCAAACGAAATAAATTATTCCACAAATAGACAATAGTTTGATGTCATAGTCTCAGAAATGGATGAAACTTATATAAATTTCTCCACAAAAAGACAATAGTTTGGTATTATAGTCTCAGATTTGGATGAGACATAAATTACTCCACAAAAAGACACAATAGTTTGGTGTTATAGTCTCAGATTTGGATCAAACGAAATAAATTATTCCACAAATAGACAATAGTTTGATGTCATAGTCTCAGAAATGGATGAAACTTATATAAATTTCTCCACAAAAAGACAATAGTTTGGTATTATAGTTTCAGGTATGGATGAGACATAAATTACTACACAAAAAAAAAACAATAGTTTGGTGTTATAGTCTCAGATATGAATAAGACTTATATAAATTATTCCATGAAAACACAATAGTTTGGTGTTATAGTCTCAGATATGGATGAGACTTATATAAATTACTCCTGGAAAAGACTCAATAGTTTGGTGTTATAGCCTCAGATATGAATAAGACTTATATAAATTATTCCACAAAGAGACAAGATAGTTTTGTTTTAAAATTGTCTAATCAAAATTATATGAAGCAATTCAGTATGTTCTGGACATATGTCTGTTCAAAACTTATCTTTCAGGTTTATGATCATTTGTTTTATTATTTCCTAAATGGTATATTCAGTGTATTTATTTATTTTTCAGGATTCTGGAGCGTGCTGGTTGAAAATGATATTTCCCATAAAAGTTTGATAGCATTGTTTGCATATTTAATGGATATAGGGAATAAGGTACATGTAGATACTAATTTGATCAAACAAATAAAAAAACAAAGCTTTTAAATTTTAGTTTATAGTAAGTAAGTGGAAGCATCTTACAGTTCAAATACAAATATTTTTGTCGAAGTGAAAATAAGAAAACAGTAGGACCACAAAGAGTATATACAATGTAACTGAATAATCTACTTCACAGAGCAAACACAACTTTCAATATTTAAATTTGATGTATTTTATGAAAATTTATGTTTTCAAGGGCTATAACTAAATTTTTAATAGAGAAGCCGTTGAAATTTGAAAATAGCTTCATTATGAAAAAAAAAATAACTGGTTAATTAAAATTTTGATTGAAACTTGAGCGCCACATTCTGTAATATGTATGTGTTGTGAATTTTCAGAAAACATCAGGTTCTACAAAAAAAGAAGCAGGAATTTTATCTGCATCATGCTACATCAAGATGCTAAGCATACCAGGTACAGTACATTTTAAGTCTTGTTATGATAATTATTTTAAACTTTCCTGTCCGCCATCTCAAATCCTATAGTCATAATTTAAATGATTGACAGGTACAGCTACCTCATGAATCCCTTCATCCTGAACCGACACTAAAGAAGCACACGTTTATCAGTCTCTTACCCTTCAACTTATTTTATCTACTTGTGTTGACCAGTAAATGGTTTTATACATGTACATTCTCTTTTCGAATGCAATTGACGAAAAATAATAGAGATGTAAATTTCAAAGTTCAGATATATATATAATTTTGCTTAAATGGTCAGGCATCTTTGTAAATTTATTTATTTGTATTATATTTTGAGAATTTTTTAATTACAGTTTTTAATCGAAATATTTTGCATAAAGTTTATGAACAATATATTTCCTTAAATAATTACAGCATAAACTCCAAGAGATGGAATGTAGTTGCCTTTTGAGCTGTTTTAGTTGTAATGAATAGTTCCTCATGGCTTTTCAGAGCCCATTACTAGGTACCCCGAAAAATGAACAAATTTGTAGTAGCCTGCTTGACCACTGCTTGATTTAAAGACATTGACAGTATATTTTATATTTTACAGGAAGTATAGCATTCAAGGTGTTTCATCCAGTTTTATATGAAAAGGCAGTAGATATAATCAAAACAATCAATACTTTAGGAGGTAAGGAATAATTTTAAAATAAAACATGCACAGGCATCCAGAGACCTTATTTAAGTTCCATCTACTGTTACCAAGAGTAAACATATGTGAAAGATGATTTGTCCAATAAATCCTTGGGATATCACATATAATTAGGGTCCCATATATTGCAGGATATCCAATGTCAGCTTTGTCACGTTTCATGCATTAGTAAATTCTTTGCTCAGTTTTATTCAATATATTTTTACCAGATTGTGACTATATAACAAAAAAAGATTTGACTTTACATATAAACTTATAATTTTTCATTTTCAAACAAATCAAATCTGATTAGATCATCATCTTACACACAATAGTTTTAAAGAAAATTATGCATTATATTTTTAAGCTGGTGGTAAAAGGAAGAGAAGTGTATCACCAGCACCAAGCCAGAAAGGTAAAAGAGGCAGAGGAAATAAAACCAGGAACCAGGATCCTACTCTTAACCTTCAGGTACATGTAGTCTTGTCTTCAGTGTGTAGTTGATGATCAATTTATAGTTAAAATTGTATGGCGAGTGACTTAAGAAAAAATTGCTTTCATTCACGCTATGCTACCCTACTGGCATCCAATTTTACATTAAACTTGCCTTCAAATTTTGTACTTCATAAGAATATGGTAAACACAAAAACATATCCAAATGAAATCAATTTTAAAGACAAAACCACTAAGTTTTAACCCCACAGAAATTAAAGTTTTCCAGTATACAGCAGTAAAATGATACATTTTGATTTCGTAGGATTTTGGAAGTGACGACGATGAGAGTATAGAGGAACTGGCGCCACAAGAAATCACAGGATTCAGAAAGTTGTTAGAAGCTTTGTTAAAGGTAATGGAAACATACATATTGATAACACAATAAAAATATGATAAGGCATCCAAAACAAAGTTAAAATAGAAGTTAACATTCCATAGCCATTTTAATTAAGTAATTTAGTTTATGATAATTTATTGCACATAAGATGAACATATATCATTTAAATAAATGAGTTGCATTAAAAAAGGTTTTGATTCAATAGTTTATTATACCCCACGCAACCAGTTGTCGAGGGTATAATGTTTTTGACCCGTCCGTCCATTTGTCTGTCCGTCTGTCTGTTCATCCGTCAGTCCTGTTTCTTGTCACCGCAACTCCTCTCAAACCACACAACAGAAACTCACGAAACCTTTTTAGATAATAAGGACATACTATGTAGTTGTGCATATCGACAGGAAATTACGATTCAATTCTTTTTCTAGGAGTTACACCCCTTTGAACTTATTAACTTTAATGTACTACTGCAACAGTTTGTCATCGCAACTCCTCTCAAACCACACAACAGAATTTCATGAAACCTTTTCAGATAATAAGGACATACTACGTAGATGTGCATATCGACAGGAAACTACGATTCAATTTTTTTTCCAGGAGTTACGCCCCCTTTGAACTTATTTTCCCAATATATTACTGCAACCTTTTGTCATCGCAACTCCTCTCAAACCACACAACAGAATTTCATAAAAACTTTTCAGATAATAAGGACATACTACGTAGATGTGCATATCGACAGGAAATTACGATTCAATTTTCCAGGAGTTACGCCCCTTTGAACTTATTTGCCCAATATACTACTGCAACCTTTTGTCATCACAACTCCTCTCAAACCACACAACAGAATTTCATGAAACCTTTTCAGATAATAAGGACATACTACGTAGATGTGCATATCGACAGGAAATTACGATTCAATTTTTTTTCCAGGAGTTACGCCCCTTTGAACTTATTTGCCCAATATACTACTGCAACCTTTTGTCATCGCTACTCCTCTCAAACCACGCAACAGAATTTCATGAAACTGTGTAGATAATAAGGTCATACTATGTAGATGTACATATTGACAGGAAATTATGATTCAATTTTATTTTCTGATACAATTTTTTTTTCTTATTTTATTTCTCCAATGACAATATGGGGACGTGGGGTATGTGAGCGCGCTCACTAAGGTTCTTTCATTTCTATTTTTATGAAAGGGATAAATTTTATTCATGAGTATTGGGATTTTATTTTTAGGCAGATATTCGAAAGCAACCACTACATGTACCTATGGAATTTAAGTATAAATGAAAGGTGGCATTACCCTTCAAACTTTTCTGCAAAAAGGATTTTTGCTTGAAGTAAGCAATAACATATCACACTAACACATAGCAAGAAGAGCTAGTTAGGAAGTTAATTGTTTGTCCATGGGAATACTGGATTAAAGGTGAAAAAAAAAAATTAAAACTGTTTTGATTATCTAATGTGTGCATGAAATATAATAAAGTTAGTTATTTATATGCAGGATTTGATCAGTTTGTTAGAGACCACATCACTACGCCAGTCTGAATCATCAGCATATCACACTGTTCAGATCCTAGCCACACTCACCAGACAAGATACAGATACATATGATGGAAAATTTGATCAAGGGTATACAATTCTCAATATAAAGTATTTCTGGAGTAGGAAAATTGTGTTGCAGATTTTTTTTTCTTCTTTTTTATTGGTTACATTGATGCCTCTCTCTCTATATAATTTTTATAATGAAACCTACTGAAAAAGGGAAATTTAGCTGGAAAATTCAGCAGATCTCAAAAACTCATTAACTCCTCATTTATAAATAGGGAAACTTTTGCTATGGGAAATCCCCAAAAATATTTTGTATCATGAACATTTTTTTAGTTGCACAAGGCTTTTAGGAACTGAAGATTCTATGACAGTGATAGGATTCTAGCCATTTGTTTAGGAGCAGTTGAGGATATAGGATTCTCCCCTACTTAAGTAAATATGGTTAATCCCATATATTTTATAGGGAATCCTAGATATCATTTGCATCAGTAACTGAATATGAATACAAGGAGATGCGGGGTATAAAACTAAGACAGCAACCAGACGCCACATAAAACAGAACACCTAGAAGTCAATCACATTGCATTATGTTAGAAAATTTATTCTTAGGCAATATAACACTTTTTAGCTCATCTGGCCAAAAGGTCATCGTTTGCTTTTGACATCACTTGGGGGTACATCATCATCAAAACTACTGAACCAATACAAACAAAAGTTCACATGATTGGTCATTAAGGTATCAAGTTAATAGTTTATAAATTATATTAAGGTCCATCAACCAATATTGCCACCAGGGCTAAAAATAAAATTATGGGTAAATTAAACCAAGCAATTGTCTAATATCTGAAAAAAAACATAATAAAGAATAGAGGTTCCAAAAATGTCATGATCTACCTACTTTTCACATTAAAATACCCATAAGTTGACCCTTTAGAGAAGTTATTGTTCTTAAATGACAATTTCTAAACAATTGTAGCATATTTGTTTATTATCTTGATAAGTTGATAACTATAATAGATAAACAGAAACTGTAAACAGGAAAATGATCAGCAGTAGAAGATCTACAAATTTACAAAATGACTGAAACAATTTATTAACATTGACTTAGTTGTAGGACCAGCCAGTAATTTAATTTATTCCTTTTTTTAAATATGGAAACAAACGATGTGAAATTTAGGAAATTTCTTCATTTGTCAAAGGTGTTGATTTTTTCCCCTAGAGAAAAGACATTTATCATATTAAATGAATCACTGATGATTAATAAATATATAAGCAGCATAAAAAGAGTTGATAAAATCTCTGATTGCTTTTAATAATGTATTGATTATATTTTCATATACATGTAAATTTGTTATTTATTATTTACAGGTCAATTCAGAGGTTATCAATTCCAGGACTTGCTTATAGGGTAAGTAAATTGTAAAATACTGTAAATTCAGCACTTTTTGTGATATTTATAATTTTGTGAAAAATCAGAAGAGAATAAGAAATGATATTTTCAATTCTGACCATATTTATATTTGCAGGCAACATTTCCCAATATTGCAATAGCAGTGTTCCAGCTAGGATTTCAAAAGGGCAGGGTGCCAATCCTGAAAAAGGGCACTTAACGTGTGATATGAAAATATGAAAAGGGCATGTTTTAATAAAGATTATCATCAAACATTGCTTGTTCATTGAATCACTGGTTACATATATACAAGAACAACATCATTAGCCCAGAGAAAAACTATCTTTTTTACTTTTTAGGCTGAAAACTTATCAAGCAGCTTGTCGCACAAGTTTTAAATCATTGCTTGGCACAGTTAAGCTTTATATGCAGTATTTTTTGAAAAAATGTCCTGCTTCATTCTGTTTCTATGGTCTGACACATTTTACATGTTTAACCTTTCTACCTTTTCTGTGCTTAATGGCAATACAGCACAAAACAGCTGTAAATGCACAATGTTAGGATATAGTGAACAGTGAAAATTTGGATTGAAAATAAAAAATACAGAAAAAGATGACCAAGGCACCCTACCAACCCTGCTACTAAGACCCTCTTTAACTTTTCCCATAACTCAAAACACCTAAACATATAAATTCTAAAGCCAGACGTATGAAGACATATTTTATAATATCTTAGTAGGTTACTCAATGCTAGGAAAAAATAAGATTGAGTTATCTTTCTTTATTTCGGTGTGCTCCTTCTTTGGAGGATAATAAAGAGTACATAGAAGATGTAAATACGATAAACAATATGGCGGCCGATTTTGTTATTTTTGTATAAAAAATGAAGGCAGTCAATGAAAAATACGTCTTAATTTGCTATTTATTTCACGGAAAACAATAAGAGCAATGTTTTTAACGAGTTGATTATGGTTTTCGACTTTCTGTCAATTACATTTTCTCCATGAAACTACGGTAAACATTGCTAATTGTGTCCAAGTTGTATGAACATTTCTTCAAGTTCAAAGACAAATGCCGACTGACCGATTCTATTTGAATGAATTAATGTTGATGATCATTAAATGACCCATCCGATAAACGGAATACCTATAACAACAGATTATGACACCTGTTGTAACCGTTGATTAGCTTTGGGTCGTAAACAAAGTCATATACTTGTCGCCAGGTAAATTTTCGTAATTGGCTGATCATATCAATACGAACAAAATAATATACCAATCGATCTTCAAAAAAGGCAAGGCGCCCTGCAAACTGTAAAAAGGGCACAGGGCGGCACTCGGGAAAGGGCCGGCGGACCGCCCTGTGAAAACGACCTAGCTGGAACACTGAATAGTTGGGGCTTAGGATCGAAAATAAATTCAAATTTACAGTTTTTTCTTTTGAATTTTATTCTTGTAATTTCTTTTCAACATTTATTTTGTTGTTTCTATTTATAGTAGTTGCTAAGCTTCACTTATAAAAACATTACAATAATCTAATACTTTAGTAGTTCTTTTTTTCAGGGATTAAGTCTATTGTGTAAACCACTACATGGACATGTTGGGTCATTGGTCAATGCTGTAAGTATAAGAAAGTATTGCCTTAATAAGGAAATGGTCAACAAAGACATAATACAAGATCTAAAATGTTATGTATGTTTCAAAACACAAATTCTGAAATTATGACACATCAACAGTGTTCTCCCCAGGATTTTTGGATAGCACCAGGGTAACGCATGTGGACTTCTTGGTGAAATATTTCATGCAATCAGTTGTGTCGCGTCGCTTAGCTCTAGTTACTGTAGTTTGTATGTCTCTTGTATTGTTTTAACACTGTGGTACTGTGTTATGTAGACATTGATTCAGAAAATTATTGGTAAAAAAGAAGTAAATAAAAAAACAGTTTGTATACTTTAATATTTTTTTAAAATAAATAAATTATGATTCATAATAAAATATTTGTCTGAATTTTAAGTAATTAAATCTTTTATAAAATCCTAAATCAATAAAAATAAAAATATCATTCAAAAGAGAACAAAAATGTTCAATTTAAAAAACTTTCTAGTTTCTAGAAAAAAAGTTGCTGTATGTGAAAGGATTCCTGTCATAGGAAGATATAAAATTAACAAGAACAATTGCAAATATTGTTTTGTTATTTGAACCAGTTTCTTTCTTAGATTTTAATAAAAAGAAATTTTTCATAAATTTTAGAACATTTTGCCATAGATTTCATGTAAATATTAACCTTTCTTGTCTTTGGTGATAATCAAACATAGATACAGACTTAATACTGCCTTAAAATCTGAATCTTTATTTGTCATGAACCATTTAAAAAGAATTCCTAAGTCTATAAATTTATCTTTGGTCTATAGATCTATAAGTAACCATATTCAATGTCAACAACTAAGTCTCCCTATTTTCCCGCCTAAATGACAGGAAGTAGATATAAATAGATTTAACGTGCTTATGGATAAAATTTGCAAGATTACTTCTGTTATTCATTAATTATGGATATAGATATCCAGTTTGAAGGTACAGTCATGCATTTTATTTATAAAATATAATAGATTGCAATTAATTGTAAATAAACTTGAATATTCTACGTGAACTAACTGGGTCATGTGATATGTACAGACAGATACTACAGTTTGAAACCCGACTATCATGCAATATCTATGTCATAATTAAAGATAATATTGGCCATGGTTTAATCGGAGACATATAATACTATAATATAAGAATTGGGAAATGTATAGTTGTCCATTATACGTAATGAGCCACCATTATGATGTACAAAAAATGTACCTATCGGGTCAAGACACTGTTTGTGTTCAAAGTATTTGCCGACTTTTCACAGGTCAGTGCTTGGGTGGAGAGTGAAGCCATAAAATAGTTATCTGTTATCATAAAGTTATGAACTCTTAATTAAAACACAAAAAAATCATGTTACTAATGTTAATTTCATCGATTAAATCCAATCAACAAGGTTAACCTCATAAGGTAAATCAATCATGTGGTGTAAAAAATCTGTGTTGAACTGGTTTGAACTGGTCAAATTTCACCTGGAATTTTATACCGCACGGAAAAGATTTAAAACAAGTTTTTTACAGCTCTTTTCATAATGCTAGCAAGACAAAGGTTTGTTTGGCTTGCTTGCTTTGTTTGTATCAATGTTTGCTGAAGCATTGTAAATAAGATTGACATATGAAAACAACATAAAAAGGCGGATTTAAACTTGTTTGCATTAAATTTAAATTTGATTGGACATTATCAAATAATCAAATTTACCTATACACAGGTTGAACTCCGCCTACTTATATTGTTTGCAGCTGTCCATCTTAATTACAATGCTTGATCAAACATTTATACAAACAAAGTGAGCAAGTCAAACAAACCTTTGTCTTGCTAGCATTATGAAAAGAGCTGTAAAACTTTACCGATTTACGATTTTTTAACTGAAAATTTTAGCACCACGGAGAAAAATTATACATCGCGGTAAGAACGATACCACCATGGTAAAAAATTATATATCACGGGCCCACAGTCCTTTAAGGGCCTGGGGAGAACACTGATCAAGATAAACACATTTAAAAAGTAAAACATAGCATTTTTCTCGTATCATTCATCTTTCGAGGGGTATGCTGTTATTGGGTATTTCATATAAAGTCCACTTTTTATACATTGATATATTTTGTTTGCATTTGCAGTCCTATAAGAGGTTGATAACATTATTGTCAAAAGATATAACAAAGAATCAGAAAAAGTAGTCCACAATAATCCACACCGAAAACAAAAGATTGAGAAACATGAGGGGGTGACCTCCTGTTTAAAGGAACATGGTATATGTCTGCCATTAAAATTAAAACATAATTTTTTTTAATACTGTAACATATATATAAGAATAGAAAATAGCTTATAAATCAATATAAAACATTCATAGATGATAGAATTTAATTTTTTAATATTTTTATCGCTTGGTGATTATGATGTAAAAGAGTAAATATAACTCAAAGATAACTTAAGAAAATGATTGATGGTATAAATGATATTGCTTGTCATAGAAATAAGGAAATTTTGTGTAAATTACCAGTGAGAGATACACGAAGCAAAAATTTCTGGGTAAGATGGTAAACATTTAAATAGCACTATAATTATGAACATGAGTTTAAATGAGATTTTTTTTTCTTTTTTAGACATGTAAATATCTATTGCCTAATCTTCTTATGTTGATTGGTGATAATAAAGTTGCTGCCCAATCTGTACCTAAACACATACAGGTGACAAGAGATCATGCTATGTACTTTATAAGGTAATGAAATATAATATCTGTTCCATTGAAACATACATGGTGCCAAAGAAAAGCACTCTGAAAATGGAGTAACCACCTAAAGAGGAAATTTTAGAATTTCACTAACTCACTGTAAAAAAACACAAATCGTTATGATAAATTTTTGGTATAATTTCTGTATTGCTGTATTGCATTATGATTGCAAAGAATTTTTATATAAAAAAAGACTGGAAAAAGTTCTCATTGGACAATACAAAACATTTCTTACTAACAATAGTTATAAAGTGGTTGATCATTGTACTTTAGTGGAAAACTTTACAGATATAAATATAACCAAAATGAAACCTAGCACACACGTCAACTATGTCACATAAAGCAAAGCAGATACAGTGATGAAGTGTAGGTTAGTATTATATCAAAAAGGAGATGTGATATGATTGCCAATAAGACAACCATCCACAAGTGTCCAAATGATGTGGATGTAAGCAACTATAGGCCTTCAACAATGAGTAAACCACACAGTTTCGGCAGCTATAAAAGGCCCAGTCATGACAAATTTTGAAACAATTCAAACAATGTCAAAATTACATTGAACATTAGTTGAAATAACACGTGAAAACCTGCTACAGTGAGACCTGAAACACTTTAATTTTTGTATGTAGTTATTTGGATCTTAAACATTGAATTTCTTTACAACATATCAACTTATATATTTGATTATAGTTCCTTATTGAAGACTGAAGAAAGATCAGTAAATACAGTGAAGACACTCCTCCAACATATGTGTACAAAAGTTCCTGATAAAGCTGAATATAGAGGGAAGGTAGCACAGTCAGTTGTCACGATATTACAGGAACTTCCAAACACAGCATATGGTCATATGGTTGAATGGTTTTATAAACTCTCTAAACATTCTAAGGTATGATGTTTGATATTTTAATCAGTAAGGCTGCAAATATTACATGCAACTCATTCCATATGTCAATTTGATTTACCCTTGTGGTCAGTTGTTCTACTTTTCTGTAAGTTATCAGATTTTTAATTTTCAACAGCTTAATCCAACAGGTCAATGAAAAAGTTTCTCTTAAATAAATGGTGATCTATTAACACAAAATGAACGTAAATATTTTACTAGAAGAACCAAAAAAAAATGTGGATAAATTCAGTTAAATACAATTTGAACATGCCATTTCTTCTCTTGCTTATGGAAGCAACAGTTTGCTCTTATATTTTATTTGTTATTCATAGTATATTGTCACATCAAGGCAATACAAAATAAATGTTATCTTGTCTGGCCAACTTTTATGTTATATGAGACAGTAATCTAATGTTATGTAATGTTATCTTCTTTTTTTTTAACAATTTGGTATGACACTCAACAAAGATGCCATCTTAACTGGCATGTTTTTCTGAAACTACAATCAAGTTTGAAGCTCTTTTAATTATGAATTTCTGTTTATCTTTTTTAACATAAATCATTGTCAGACAGTTATTACAATTTTGCATCAAGGCATGAGAAGCTAACACATGTAATGTGAAATGTTTTCCATTAGTAGTAGTTAAGTTTAGTTTTTAAATTAAACCTTAAAAATTAATTCATTTGCATGATATGGGATTTTTTCAGATAAACAACAGAGCCTTTGCTATGGAGGTTGTTCTTAGTTTATTATCTACACCAGAAAGACAACCTGATGGTATGCTATTTCAATTCATTGTAATTCCCTTAGTCATTCTTACAGTGTATCAAAAGAACAAAGATGTAACTTGACTTTACTCGAGTACCCAACAATGTTACTGTGAATTTCCTACAGGCTTGGTCCTTTCACAATACCAATTGCTATTCTTAAAAAAAATACATATGTACAATTTCAAATACAAATGTGTTATTATTTTGAATATTATTAAAGATATATATAAACTGTAAGCAGCAATAATGTTCAGCGAAGTAAGATCTACAAAAAAGTTAATACAACCATAATTGTCAATTGACCCCTTAAGGAGTTATTGCCCTTTAAAGACAATTTTACACTATTTGTTCATCAAGTTTGCTAACATTTAAAAATCTTCTCCTCTGAAACTACTTGGCCAATTACCTTCAAACTTTAACTAAATGTTCCTTAGGGTATCTTGTTTATAAATTGTATCCGAAGTTTGTATCCATCGACAAACATGGCCGCCATGGCTAAAAATAGAACATAAGGGTCAAATGCAGTTTTTGGCTTATATCTCAAAAACTAAATCTTTCAGAGCAAATGTGACATGGGGTAAAATTGTTTAATTGGTCAAGATCTATAGGCCCTGAAATTATCAGACGAATCGAACAACCCATTGTTGGGTTGCTGCCACCGAATTGGTAGTTTTAACAAAATTTTGCAGTTTTTTGTTATTATTTTGAATATTACTATAGATATATGTAAACTGTAAGCAGCAATAATGTTCAGCAAAGTAAGATCTACAAAAAAGTTAATATGACCAAAATTGTCAATTGACCCACTTAAGGAGTTATTGCCCTTTAAAGACAATTTTACACAATTTGTTCATCAAGTTTGCTAACATTTAAAAATCTTCTCCTCTGAAATACAGGTGAGCGATTCAGGCTCTTGAGAGCCTCTTGTTTAATTTGGAGCGAGCGACGTAAATATTCCACAAACCTTTTAATGACGTCATAAATAAAACTCTACGGAAATGCATTGTCAACGTCATAAACAAGGCGATATACGGTCAGTGACTGTATATCACAAATGATTATACGGTCAGTGCAATTTGACTGCTCGAATAGCACAGCTGCAGTATATTTTTAATTACGCTGCATTTGCTTCATATTAACAACCACTAGCAAGGAGCTGAACTATTTACCAGTTGATCAGTTTTGCATAGAAGAATTAAAACTGCAATTTGGTAAAACATTTGAGCAATTAGTATTGTGAAAGGGCAAAGCAATTAGGGTATGCACAGTAATATTCTATTGTCATATTCAAATCAACAATTTCATTACTTTAAGATGTTGCATTTGTTCAATACTACTGACTGCACAGCAAATGCAAATTAATCAGGGCAGAGAAGCCCTTTTGACTTGACGGTAGTCCATTGCTCCAGTGTTGTTTCAAACATTGTTTTACCATTTAGAAATTGTTTTATCACTACTTTGTAACATTTAATTGGACTAATAATTACCAGTGGTACACATACTTATAGGGTTGTAACTGTTGGCTATTGTCTATGAACATGTATGTATGTAATAAGTATGAACAAAAATAGATGTTAGGTATACATTGGTGAGACAGCACATGTTTCTTACAAACAATAATTTGCTAAACACTTACTTTTTAAAGAGACACAAATCATTGTCCTTAAAGAAATTTCTTCACTGATGAAATCTTCATTGGATATATATATATCAAAAGTTTTGATAAAGATAAAGGTTTTACATTACTTGTCAAAAAATGAAGATGTTAAAACTGCCAATCTACGGTACATTAAGTTATTTTATACATTAACACCAATATTTGTGATATATTTACACCAAGGCATGTGTGATATGTAAGAGTTGTTTATAATGCATTTGAAATGTTTACCCATTTCTTAAATAGCTCTAGCACTTAATGTTTTCTTGTTCTGAATATTCTATACATTAGAATGAACAGTGATGACAATGTCATTTTTGTTTTTGTAATATAGAGCACATGACACCTGAGACAGCTGTTTTTATCAAGCATACCTCATTATTGGGAATTTTGTTAGCTAGATGTTCCGATGCTGCTCCTACGTGAGTACACACACTTAGCTTTATCTCATAATAGTGAAAGAAATATTTTTCATGATTTATTTAAATAAAACATATTTCTGTCCTTACTTATATATTTTTTTATTAAAAATGTTTCATGAATTACTGGTATCCTTTCTGTCAGGTTGCCACTTTTAAACTAAAGTTCTTAGGACTGTTCCATTTAAACATACATGGGACACAGGGAAGGCACTTTCAAATGTGGTAACCCCCTTTAGAGGCAAATTTACAATTTCACTACATTTTCACTGTACTTGACATCCACCCATAGTTGAGATTTCAAAGTTCCTTCCTTGTGTCTTATGTATGTTTATTTATAAAATTCTTAGGATGTTTCATTGTATTTGAATTAAAAATTGCAATGGGAGTTATATGTAAAATCTGTGGAGAGAAAAATTATATAAATAAGTAATGTCATGCCTTTGATTTTTTCAGTGTAAGAACCAGAGCTATATCATCATTTTCAACATGTTTCTTGTCAAAAGACAATGTTATAAAAGAAACATTACAGGATATAGTAACACCTAGAAGTAGGCTAAGAGAACATCCTCCTCCACACCTTATACCAACACCTGCCATGGAAGTCAGGACACAATCTACTACTGATGGTAAGTAACACCTAGAGGTAGACTACCGTAATCGGGCTTGTATAGTTCGCACTGGTACATAGTCCGCACCCCCTTCTCCCCACGAAATTTCAGGTAAAAAAACTTTTTGTAACTGTTAGAAAAGGTCTAATGAAACTCCAGTAATTTTAAATCGTGTGTGGTCGTTTGCGGTATTTTCTTGGAAAAACCTATTTTCCATCACCAAACAGAAGCTGAAACTGCTTGTAAATGGTTCTAAAACACTTCACGCTGGTTAAAATAAGTCTAAATCACACAAAAAACAATTTAGAAACTTGTGTATGTTTAATCCGGAAGTTTGAAAAGCACGTATAAAAGATGAAAAAACCCAGTGAGAGTCGAAATCCGTAAATAATAGATATCACTATAATACGACTTTGAAAGTAAAAAAGTTCCCTCCTTATGTAAAACAGTGTTTATATATCTATCACATTAATGTTTGAAGGGTCTTAAGCTAATACAAAACATATTTGTCAATAGGAAACACCAAAACGGAACGAATAATAACCGATTACGTTTTGTAGTTTACACATCGTAAGCTGGTTTACGGTTGTCTTTTTTTACTTTTTTGGTACAATTTCATTCAAGCAGATACCAGTTTATATTTAGCAATGCTTGAAAAGAAACGAGAATTTTGTAATGAAGCATTTAATTTTTAAATTTATCAGTATTAATTTGATATTGAATAAAAATAACTTATTAATATGGATTGGGTAAAATTGTTGGTTTGAAAAATGATAAGAGCGCCCTCTACAATGTCAATAACAAACATGGCGGAACGTAAACAAACCACATCGCGAAATTGAAATTTTCTCTCTTATTTCTTGCTTATTGTACTCTTTAGTCCGCACCCCTGCTGTCAGGGTCAATTTTGGAGAATAAAACCGCGGACTATACAAGCCTTTTAACGGTAAGTTAAATAATCCTCCTCATCTTATACCCACTTCAGCAGTGGAAGTCAGGACACAGGCTACAACTAAAGGTAAGTAACAGCTAGAATGAGTCTTAAGAGAATATCCTCCTCCACACCTTATACCAACACCTGCCATGGAAGTCAGAACACAATCTACTACTGACGGTAAGTAACACCTAGAGATAGGCTAAGTTAAATTATCCTCCTCACCTTATACCCACTTCGGCAATGAAAGTCAGGACACAAGTTGGGGAGACTCACATGTAGCCTCTGGCTATTTGCTATTTGGCAATCCTATTTGAATAAATAAAGAACTAAAAGATTAGTTTAAATTATAAGTAGACTAAGGTAACATCTTCCTCCATACCTTGTACCAACATCAGCCATGGAAGACAGGACATATTCTACTGCTCAAGGTGAGCTTTCATTCTAAGATTATTGCTTGTTAACTGCAGTTAATGGTAGTATAAGATATCTATGTGAACAGCTTGAAAAAATTATGCATCAGTTTTAAATGTTTTAGACGAAACATTGTATCAATCATATTGGTGACATTTTTACCTATTATGTCTGTTTGATTTGGTCACACATTGTTGTCAATATAATGGAATTCTATGTGACTGCCATACAAGTGAGAGGTTTAGCTAGCTATAAAACCAAGTTTCACCCACCATTGTCTACATTAGGAAATGCCTGTACCAAGTCAGGAATATGACAGATGTTTTCCATTCGTTTGATGTGGTTGAGCTTTTGATTTTGCCATTTGATAACGGACTTTCCGTTTTGAATTTTCCTTGGAGTTTGGTATTTTTGTTATATTATTTTTTAATATGGTTATGTAAAAATAACTGTCAAGCATAATTAGTTTTCTTCATAAATTTATCCTAACAGTTTTTGAATAAAAAAATACAATGAAATTCAATAACATTAGAAACAAAATGGGAAAAGCAAAAAAGTTTTGTAATTGTTTATACACCTGTCTTCCCCCCAAAAAAAATTGTTTATAAATTGTGGCTTGTCTATAGTATCTATAGTTACATGTAGATATAACATATAATTAATTTCAGTACTTAAAACAATCATTACAAAAAGTTACTGTAAATGTCTTTTTTATTTAGTGGTCTACCTTTACCTATGTTATTGATGAATCTGTACACTGTATTGTCCATGTATGATTTTGTGTTTATTTCAGACAATAACACAACAAACAATGCAGAGAAGACGGCAGAGAATATTCAAGGTCCAGCTGTAGAAGATCAGACACCAATTAATGCCAACCAACCACCTGCTCCTGGGAAAACACCATTCCATGGAGTTTATCTCACACCATATAATCCAAGTATGTAATCTTGGTTACAAAACAATTCTAATTTAAAACTCGTCTTTTAATGTGTCAAAATATTTCTTTTATTGACCACATTGTATTTGAGGATTATCCAATTTACAATGTCATTGATTAATGAATCAAATATTTTTTTTGGTGATATAGCAAAACAATTGAAATGTTTTGGCAGGAATTTAGTTTAGGGATATGTTAGGATTATTAATGGGAATCACTGATTTACTTATTTGTAGATATTTGACAATTTGTTTCAGACATGCCTGATGATGATGGTGTGACATCCATGTTTAGACGCAGAGCAAAAGATCCTAAAGTCAATGTCAGAAAGGCAGCATTACATGCATTAGAGAATATCATAAGATTTCAGTGCCCTGACTACAGTAGACAGGTATGTTACAGATAGTCATCAAATTCAATTTTATGTGGGACTAAAGGCTAATTGGTCTGATCATTTAAAATATTGTAAAGTATAATTTAGATCAAATATCTGAAGATGATTGATTATTCGTTAAAAAAGTATTTATTTTAATACACTATCTAACAAATGGTAAAGTTTATACAAATTTATTACAGTTGAATATAATTTCCATCTTGTGTCCCCTCTTTGGAATGTTTCTTTTTGAATTACTTGAACATCTACTTTGGCCATTTGATATTTACTGAGATTTAGTTTGATAGACATAAAAGTTTAGCTCAAGCAGATATTCCCATAATAGCCAATTTCAACAGCTTTTATTATATAATTTAAACCAGTGGAATAAGTTTGTGAAAATATTCAGATATGCCTTATATGTAAACAATTATCTGTCTCATGTCTTATCATTTTAATTTCAGGATTTAGATGTTTTAGTAGAAAGATGTCGAGATCCAGCTCTTTCTGTACGGAAACAGTCTATGCAGTCTTTGACTGATTTGTTACTGGCGTTCCCTACAGAAAAACCATTACAGAAGTATGCTCTACTGTTCATTTTTTTAAAACACCATTTTTTGACCATCTCAAATACAGTAAATTACATCAGGGAACTACAGCTAACTTATATTATATATCTTTAAATATTGAACAGTGTCTGACAGATTTTTTAGCTTATGTGAAGTAACATTCACTCATAAAATTGACTTTTATTTTTTTTAACCTTTAACTCCATATTCGTTACTTTATTTATCTATATACTAGTTATTAAAACAAATTGCTTATTGGCAATTTACATTTATCAAAAAATGTAGTTCTACTAAAATTCAAATGTGTAAAATAAAATAAAATATTAAAAATCTTTGAACTTTTTTAACAGAAAAAATTTATATTCTTTCACTAGAGCCTGGTTAGAAGGAGTGATGCCTCTAGTTATAGATAGAGAGACAAGTCTACAAGAGAAATGTATGGACCAGTTAGAAGAAATTGTAATACACAATATCGTACCTCTTAAAAGGTGGGCATTATTACTATTCATACTTTCCTCATAATTTATACATTTTGGCATTTATAGTTATTACTCTGTGCAATATGTTTTTGGCTCAAAAAATTCTTAAAGAATAGTATAAATGTCACTGGGTAATATTCTATAGATATTGACTAATTAATACATGGAACATATTTAAGCCATCCTAGATAATTATTTGATTCTCAAGCAATTTTTTTTTATATAAATAAGGTGAAGGTTTAGTTTGATGTTTTTATTAAATGATAGATTTCTGACACTCTCATGAAACATTGTACTCTATTTCTTGCAATGATGTTATGTATTAATCTAAATTATTCCAGTTTATCATCACATTTATGTGATTGGAAATCATGTGTTATTTAACAAATAGGTTTCACATTTGTTTTTGGTCTGTAACTAATGCTTTCCCGATAAATTTTTTTAGTTTCCCTTGCTTAAAATGAAATTTCACTAGAATTTTGGTTATTGAATGAAATCTCTTGAAATAAAGCTATTTTTGTTCTTTAGCAACATTATTAGGCTTGTTTCCCAAATTAAAAAAAATGAAATAGTCTTGTCTACCTTTCCTTTGTTGTCCATGAAGTTTGTTTATATGCAAATCAGAAAATTAAAGATAAGTTTATTATTTCAGGATGACCAATGAATCACACAGACTTGCCTGGGATGTCCTCAATATAATGACCCGTTCTGAGTCGGTAGATCTAAGGTAAGATTTTTATAGTATACACTTGAAAGGAGTTACTTTAGAGAAGATTGAAAAAGTAATGTCCTAAATTATCAGAATTATTATAGCTTTTGTGATGAACTTTGCATAAACAAACACCATGATATAAAATGCCCATTGTATAATTTGAAATCACTTTTTTTTCAGGAAATATTTACAGAAAGCATGTCGACATTGGTCCAGACAGGGGAAGATTAAAGCCACTCTTATTTCCAATTTACAGACTCATGTGAACACAGATAGCAATGAAGTATACATATAACACTTTATTACTTTTTCTTTGTTGTTTTTAATATCTCAATAGTAGTGAAAATTGTTCAAACGAAACACTTGGTAAACTTGAAACCTGTTTAGCTTTACTATTCTGTAATAACATACAGTGAAATTCTTTTTGTAGTTTCTTTTTGGACCCTTTCCATTGATGACTTATTGCAAGCTATATTGTATTCCCCTATCCAGCATATCCCTGTCCAAATTTTCTGCTGTTTATCTCAGTCAAACCACTTTTCAGAAGCAGAATATTCCTGTTGGATTAATAGTTAATTTGTTCTCATCCTAAATACACATGACATATTGCCATACACCTTATCTCTATTTGTCCGCCATTACTGGACATCACAAAAGTTCCCGTAAGATTTTGACGTCATAATAGAAAATATCTGACGCCACAATGGAAAAGTGATTGTTGTATGAAGTCAAAAGTTCAAGCGGGACAGATTCTCGGGTCAAGCGGGAATAGCGATAAGGTGTATTGGGTGTTAAGCAAACAACAATCAATTACATGTATGTTGAGTGCTTACAGGAGTATAATATCTTACATACCTAAAAACATTTTTAACTAATCGCACATCACCATTTTCTAAATGTTTCCAATGCACAAATTTAGAAAGAGGAATGTTATTGCTCAATTGATGTGTTTCTGTAACTTTATGAAATATACATGTACCCCCAGTATATTGTTTTTTCTTGGAATTGTTGGATGTCAGTAGTGTAACATCAAAAATGTCATTATATTATAAGACTTCCAATGTCGCTAGTACCTACACATTACATTGTTTTTGGACTGTTAGTCATTAGCTCAGTAGTCAGTGCTTTATTACTGACATGATTTATAACATACTTTTCTTAACTACTCAGTTGATAAATTAAGAAATTATTTAAAAAAGACTAATGTTCCATCTTCCTCAAGCAAAGTTGACCTTAGACAAATTTTGCTATATGTTTTATGCTACTTTGGACATATAGCTCCAGATGGTTTTAGGTATTTAAACATCTCCGCTTTTGAATGTTTGGGTTTGAGCTTCCTGATGAAGGTAGATCCAGAAAGCGCTTCAGACACACAAAATTTATAAAGCATTATTTTTGTTTACATTTATTATTTTTTTAGGTAGCTTGGATGTTACTGGCAGAGTTAGCACCAGCTGTACCTAAAATGTGTCATGGCTTTGTGATAGAGTACTGGGAGCAACAAGCTCATACATCTGATGGTAGGTTATTCAATATTTGTGTTCGACTGAAAATCAGTGGTTTTGACTGTACATGAAAGATATGATTTATTTGTATTAACCCTTTCACCGATAGCTACCCAGACAGAAGCTACTCTGAGACGATGACTTCCCTGGCTACTATTACTCAAGTGGGAGAACTTCATAATAAATGTCAATAAAAATTTGTCTGTAGTTATTTGTGTCTTTATTTCATTCACTATCACTATGTTCACAGTTTTGTTCATGTTTTGATAATTTTTTCTTCATAAAATATTCAAATTTTCAAATTTTCGGCATTATCCAGGTGAATTTTCAAAATTCTGCTCTTTGACCCAAAATCGTAATTTTTTAACCCAAAACGGCAAAATTTTGAAAAATTTAATGAGGCTGTACAAATTCTTTACAATGAACGATGTCCATTCCAAGTGTTTTGTACATAAAATTACATTTTATGTCAATAAAGTATACTAGTTTGGCTTCAATTCTTCCATATTCTTTCAAAAAAAATGTTCCCTCATTTCAAATTCTCGTAAATTCCGTAAATTTCCTCTGATTTTGACACGGTTTTCAACAAACGGAAGCACCATGTTTACACTTTCATCCGGGTATTCAACAAAGAAAGATAACTCGTGTTTGCACTGTTTTGAGCGGGAAATATAAAAGAGGTATTCCGATCCCGGTAAAACGGGACTCATCGTCAGCTGTCTGAAGTGTGAATCCCGGTAAACCGGGACTCATCGGCGAAAGGGTTAAATATTAGAGAACAAAAGCCAATGATTGATTTAATTATCCAGGTTTACAGTTCAGGGTTTAATTGGTCATTTTATTTTGACTATTGATTATGGTAAGGTGAAACCCTATAGTTGATATGAAATTCTCCATTTAGAATTAATTGACAATATGTGTAACCTTTTTTTGACTGGAATTATGTCGAAAAAAGAGGAGATAATAATGTCTAAAACTTTTCATTTTTGAATAACAGTACTGTAAATTCAGAAATTATTGCGAGGTTTTTATTAATGCGAATAATGCGACTTCTTGAGTATCGCAATAATAAGAACTCGCATTCTTATATCAAACACATATATATGTATGTAGCTTTTCCTAAATTCGCAATAATTAAACTCGCATTCCTGTTCATATTTCAAAATTCACAATAATAAATACACGCAATAATTTCTGAATTTACAGTATTAATTTAAACCTTTGTGTTCTACAAATGTACAGATTTATAGATAATAATATTTTGCTGAATTATTAAAGATAAAAAAATGGTTTCAACAATGATAAATTATATATCTGTCCTATCAAAAGTTACCATTTATCTTTCAGTAGGATATTTGATGATTGATATATACAAATATTTTAATTATGACCGGCAGATAGGTGAAGGGGGCATTAAGGTGTACTCTCGTCTCTCTGTAAATATATAAAATTGAGAATGGACATATGTCTGTATGTACCTAGTCCCAAAATTGGTTTCCATTTCAACTTTAGTTAGCCTCAACCAAAAGTTATGAAAATTATACACAATACTTTTTACCTCCAAAAACAGTCAAGTTTTAATTTGGGTGGCGTCACTTTCACTGTTCTTGAGTTATGTCCCTTTATAAATGGAAAAATTGCTGAATTTGCTGTTTCCGCACTTTAACTTTACTTTGCCTCCACCAAATGTTATAAAACTTTAAGATGATGCGTATTACCACCCAACACAGATCAAGTTCTAATTTGGATGGTGTCACTCACCATTCTTGTGTTATGCCCCTTTATACAGGCCATAATCTTGCCGGCGAAATGACGATTTAAGTCGCCAAAGAATTTTGAAAATCGCTAAATCTCGCCGGCCGATTGACTTCATAGCGAAGTCAAATCGCTATCAAAATCGGTAAAAGGGAGACAACTTGTGATTGACAAGTCTCACAGGTAAAAAAAAATGGCGGCTGACAAGGAAAATCGAGATTTTCGAAACGACCAAGGACTAATACTGTAAACGATCAAATTAAATAAATACAACGGCGACTTTGAACATCCTCGGATATAACTTTCAAAACTGTTCAAACGGAAAACTGACCGTCTGTTTAAGTTATCGTTTTACCATGATTTTCATCTGATGATGTTGCATAATCACTCAGCTGATTTGTTTTATTTTTATTACGTACACGAGTCGATCAATTTTACTATTCGGTAGGAAAAGGGTGGGAATTAACGGTAGATTTATTATATTCATTGAATAAAAATTGAAATATAAAAGGTAGAAAGACAGCTGATGGATAATGTGATTGCAAACGTACGACACTCGACCAGATTGTGATCAGCAGTGGATTTTTTCTCATGACCACTTCGTTGATATGGATGATATTTTTAAAAAATGATAGAAATTAGCTCTTTATCGGATAATTAACTTGAGATTGAAAGATATTTTCATTTATAGACTTACAATCTTTAACGATAATCTCAATTTACTGCAACTAACAAATGTCCTGGACATTCAATAATGTTTTACAAAACAATTACAAGTGGTGATATAAATTAAATTCCCAGTCATGTGAAATTCATCATACTTTTCTGGAGTTTTAAAAATAAATTGAGGCAGATGCACATGAATTTAATGCATCATAATCTTGATAATATTACTAGGCTACTCCCTCATATCCCAATCAACAAATTTTATTTAGAACACATTATGGTATCAATAAATAAATAACAACTATATATTGTCTAAACCTTTTTATTAAGAACTTTCTATTTATACATTGTGTACAATAACATATGAAAAAACTGCAAGTATATAAAACAATTTCCTTAGTGATAAGCTTGAAAACACGATGCAACCGAAGCGGTAATGGAATCTCACTTCTCCAAGAAGTTGTTCACTTCTCCCTTCTCACTCATGGAAGGAGAAGTCACTTCTCCCTCTTCAAAATCCTAGATTAGGCCCTGTTATAAATGAAAAATTGCCAAATTTACTGTTTTGGGCAGTCAATATACAGAAAAAATGTCACAAAGTTTCAAAGAAAACAATAATAAAAACCTTACCAATTTTACTGCACCAGATGCACATTTCGAAAATTAATGTCTCTCCAGTACAAACAAAACATCAATAGGTTTGAATAAGTACATTGATTCTTACATATTTACAAGTGGGGGCATCTGTGTCCCATAGACCCATTCTTCTTTTATTAATTTTTTAATTTCAAGAAACTTTGTTAAAAAAAAAAAATGTTTATTTGCAAGTATATTCATGTGTATATTTATGTATACATTGATGTCATTTGATAATATATTTACAGAGATTATTTCCAGTAAGTATTTATGCAGATTTATGCATTAGCTTGTAGCTGCTGTGTATATTGGAATATGCTGCTTTTTTGTTGCAGAGGCCATTTAAAAAGTGCTTTTGATTTTCATAAGCTGTTTATGTGGTTTGTTTCATTGTTGCACTGATTGAAAAAGTTTTGTACCAGATTGAATATGGTCCTGTTTTGTTCATGTGCTTAACAAAATTAATTGTTTTTGTACTTTAGATTTAATTTCACATCTTATTTTGAAATTTGAAATGATACTCAAAAGTTGATTCATATGAAAATGAACTTTGTTTTGTCCTTTTTTTATATTAGTTGAAAGATTATGTAAAAGTTGATCTTTTTTTGTTCTTAGCCAGAAAAACAATGTAAGTAAACTACAAATCAGAAATGCAAATGAAATTGAAAAGTTCTTAGAATTTATATTGAAATATATCTTAAAATTGGGTTACAGTAATTATTTTCATATGATACTGCAGCTAGAACACTTCCTGTTGTCTTTTTCTATGAAATATGGTAAAAAGTGATATTTCATGCAATGTTGATTTCATGTAAAGTCACTTTTCTTCACAATTTGAGGTTCATTTAGGGATGGAAAAATGTGTTTTATGTTTGTATAAACATTTTCATAACTATAATTGTAGCCATTTTTAGCTGCAGTATAAAATCAATATTAGGTCAATGTTAGAAAAATATCAACTTTTTTTGTATTTGGCACAAAACAGTTGAAGGGCTTGGTAAATCTTTCCCTTCTCAAGTTTCTAAGCCTTATACAGACAAAGTTGATATTTTTCTGACATTGACCTAATATTGTATATTGATTGTTATTCTTAAGTTGTTACCTTAAATTTCAGACTACAAGTCAATTTGATTTTTCTCAGAAAGTTGGCAATCTTTTCTTATACTCAATATTGTCCTATATAAGATTTTTTTAAATTTATTTTTTCGTTTATGAAATTGCTGACAGTTTGTTTTGTTCCCCTTTCAATCAATCATAAGATTTCCCCCCAAAACCTGCCCTTCAACCTATCCTCCCCATTGACTTGTAGTCAGAAATTTACAGTAATAGTTTAGATATGTAATGCATATGTATTAGGTTATATCTGTATTTTATGCATGTTATGCAATATGGCATCCCTATTAATTGGGCATGTCATGTGTATAGCGTAGATATGAAAAAGTATATTCTTGATATTAAACTATTCTGCATAATTACTTGATTTCTTTCCTTATGTAATAGAAATGCTCTTAAATAAATGAATAATTTGAATATTTACAACTTTTAAGAAACTAACAGTTTCTTACAACTTGAGGCTTTCTGATATTTTTTTGGGATATAAGTAAGTTTGGACAAGTTAATTCTCTAATCACTCCTCATAGAAATCTTTTTCCCTTTAGCACTCTGGCCAATATGGGGATGTGGTGTTAATGAAAATTATCATATATTTACCTCTTATTATTTTCATGTATACTTGCATGTACTTTGTCACTTCTGTTGGTGATTTCCTGTAAACTACCTGCCTTCTTTGGACCTGAATTATTTTTACATGCGATTGTCATGAATTGTTATATTTCAGTATTCTTCTCTTACAAAAGCAGCAATACTCTGAATTAATTTATGACATGTTTATTTATTGTCTGATTTTCAGAAACAGAATATGGTACCCTACAAAGAGTTCTCTCAGTGATGGCATGTTCTGCTAAATTTTTCCCTGATGATAAAAGAGATAGACTTATTGGTAGGTTCATTTGGAAATCTTCTTAAAATATGTCTATACAATATAGGATAACGAATTTTAAAACAATTTTACTTATGAAAAAGTCATTTGAATGAAAGAAATTGTGGATTTAAAAAAAAAAAAAAAAAAAAAAAAAATTTACTATAGAAAGTTAATCATCTTCTTCTCTCTTTAATTCTAAATTATGAGATATTATTTAGCACTATCTCAGGATAGTAATATATTATATTTTAATAGTATTATCTTCATAGTTAGTATTATGTTGCAGGTAAAATATTTATATGAATTTAAGATGTTACATTTATGATGATTTCATGCAGAAATTAGTTCACTCAAATTGAAAAAAAAAACTATGCATTAAGCTTATATACAACTTCTAAAAGGAAATTAAAAAAAATAATTGATTAAATTATTTAAACAGAGTCTTGAAAGTTGAGTTCAGATTTACCAACCAAATAATGAATGTATTTGTTGCAGATTACCTAAGGAACAGATTATTACAGTTCAATTCTCCTCCAGAGCTCATATCCATCACCATAGAAACCCTCTCTAAGGTAATCTTTGTCAATAGTAGATACTGTTTTTGTTTTCATATAGTAAGTCTTTGACAGTAACATAGAGTAGATAACATATATGTCTTTCTTATTGATGATATACCAACAATAAAAGTTACACCATTTTCCATATCTGCATGCAGGTCAAATTTCATATAACTTTTTTGAAGATAGAAAATAAACAGGAATCCTCATGTTAATCTCTTGCTCTGCCCATCTTTCCCCCTACCGTGGATTCATTTATTTTCGTGGATACTTGATTTTGTTGTTTAATGAGAGTCTGCATACAAGTCTATAGAAAATATGTACTTCATTGGACATTTAAATTTGTGATTTACCGCTACCTTCAAAGTTCTGTATACAAGCCTATAGAAAATGTGTACTTCGTTGGACAATTAAATTTGTGATTTACTGCTACCTTCAAAGTTCTGCATACAAGCCTATAGAAAATGTGTACTTCGTTGGACATTTTATGATTTACCGCTACCTTCAAAGTAAATTGGTATCCACAGGATCTGTTTGTATTATTTAATACACAGGCTATAACTGTAGTGCCTGTTATGGTTCAAGTGTATATGTAATAACTCACAGGTCACAGTTGATACTTGTATTGAAATATTTGTTCTTCTTAAGTGAATTTGAACTAAATACAATTGATGCTGTGGACGAAAGCATATGACATTATCTTTAGCTAAGATTATCTTGGAAAGGTTGAGCCAGTACTTAGTCAATGTATTTTAAACATGCTTTTGCCATCTTTGCACTGACTTTTTAGATTTTTAAAGTAACGCTTGCACAGCAATACTCACTAATAAAGGATAATTAAATATCTAAAGAGATGAGGTATGATTGACATTGAGACAAATATCAACCAAAGTATTTCAAATATATTTGAAATATTTACTTCTTGCATCAAAAAGGAATTGGCATATTAGTATGACCTTGAATAAGGTCTTATTTGTTTTAAAAATTCTCTGTAAAATTAAAATTTAATTCAGGTTCAATGAAGCTATTTATGAAATATTAGTCCCACTTAGTGGATAATGTTTAGTTAGATAATTCATTGGATATGAAGGCAATATCAAGTATTGTATTGAATTGTTTCAGTTGTGTGAAAGTAAAGCTGAAGCAACAAACAAGAGATCTGAGAAAGATGCATGGTGTGTGGACTTACTCAAGGCTTGTGATACCTACCTGTCACATGTTATATTAGAAGAATGTAAGCATTTACTGTATACTTAGGCCACATAAATTTGATTTCTAGTTTTTTGAATTTTTTCTTCTCCTATTTTGTAGAAATTAACTTTTCCTAAATAAAAGAATTCATTGTTTCTGCAAAATTTTGGTTCACTTGTCCCTCTTAATTTACTTTTGACTTGACATTTTTTTCTGCATAAATGCCTTCCTATTGCATACAAGCTCTGTTTTTCAAATGCACATGTGATAAACCAATATGTAAATGAAAATTCAAATGGCAACACCAACAATTGTTTTTGTTTTGGCTCAATGCTGTGAACAGGAATTTATGAAAAAGACAGGGTAAGCTTCCAGTTTGATGAATATTTTGTTCGATGATGTGAAAGATTGATTGATTGTTACTTCACTGGACTTTAAGCAGCAATCAATCAATCCTTACCATGGAATGAAAACAACTGTCCAATATCTTTAAGGGCAGGTGTTTGGAGGTATACACATATTTTTATTTTATTCAACAACTAACCTAAAATTTACCTAACAAGCATATAATTCTTCTAGTAAATCCTTGGACTGGATTGCATTCAAACTTCATACACAAATAGAGGATCATGAACAGATAAATGAAAACAAAAATCTGTTTATATCTTTCTTACTCAAATATTTTTTTTTTTCTAAAATGTTGTAGATGTTGATCCAATAAATGAAGATATGGTAGTACGACACTTATTTACTTTGGGAGAGATAGCACAGATCTGTCCTGCCAAAACACCAAAGAGAATCTTCCTTATTGTACAGAGCATGATTGCTGCTCCCTGTATTTCAGCTCCACCTTCACATGGTAATGTTAATAGCTACATTGAATTTGTAAGACTATATAAACAACAACATAATTGAGGATTGATTATTATTCCATCAAAATAGCCATTATTAATATAGTAAATCTATGGTCATGTTCTAAAAAATCTTACAAGAAAAATGACTTTTGCATTATAAATTATTTAATATAATATTTCATAAAATTAAAATTACGCTCTAACATATTTGTAAACTTTAAGTAATAGAATTTTTGTGTTTACAATAGGATCAGTAAACATATCCAGTGGTTCAACAGAAAGTGTGGAGAATTCAGAGAAGACGACCAGAGCTTCCAGTAGAGCCTCAACAAGAACTTCTACCGGCTCTGTGGGTTCTACTGAGGATCATACAGAGTTAACCCAGAAAACACAATTAAGATTCTCCCAGCAGACGCAGGGATTCTCACAGATACAACTTACACAAGCATTCTCACAGTTTCAAGGATCAAAGATGTCAAATAGAATCAGAGCTTTTGCTTTCATAGCTCTGGGTAATATTTTGTTTTTATTTAGAAGTGTATTATTTATACAAAATTCTCAGAAAAGGTCCTGAATATGTTTAATTGTCATTTGTTCCATGTTTGCATTGTGTTCTGATTCTTTGTAAATATTTTTAGGGTAAATTAATTTATGTTTGATGTGATGTTGTACTAATCTTATTTTAATTGTCTGTTGTTTATACTGTATCTTTTCTTTGGTAAGTGTTAGTCTGTTATGTAATAGGGAAATGTGTGTTAACACCTGAGTAAACATCCAACCTGATACCTTCTTGCAAATTTCTTTGACCTGACAATTAAACCATCCTGATGTAACTTTCTGCCCTATATTTCGACTTTTGCTAATAAATGTGTCAGTGAACAAAATCCTCAAAGTCACACATAATGAGTTCATAGTAATTTAAATAATTTAATTACCCCTGATTTCTTTCAGAACTCACCATTTGAACTCATGATATGTAAAATTAAGGATTTAGTGCTCACATCAACATTATTATCAACCTAATTTTTTCCTGTTATAACCTATCTTGTAAATAAACTCCTGGGAAATATTGTGTAGCAATGCCAGTGGTATCCATGTTTGAATTAAACATAAATCATAATTGAATTAAAACTTTTATTTTATATATATACATCACTAATTTGGCCCTTGGGGAATCTACTCAGCTAAAAATTTTAATTTTTTGCTCCATGCCTAAACCAAGAGCCTAGCTATGTGCATACTGAAAAGTAGCAAAGTATAGACCCCTGGCTTGACATCACACCAATCCAATTGGAACGATGGTTCAAAATAAATGCGTGAGGCTATCAGGAAGCCTATGAGGCTATCATGCCTAGAGGCTATCATGCCTATGAGGCTATGAGGAAGCCTATAATGAGGCAATGAGGAAGCCTATAAGGAGGCTATGAGGAAGCCTATAAGGAGGCTATGAGGAAGCCTAGTAGTGTTGATGTTGAATTGGTGTTGGAATGAATTTGTATGAAATTTGACAGTTTATCCCCAGAAATTCTTGGGGGATGAGTGAAATTTTTGAAACAACCAGTGATAAAATTTCATAAATGTCCATAACACAGATGGTAACAGCTGAGTGTCCCCAAGGATTTGTGAGGTAAGGGAGGGGGTACCTTCAATAAAGCCATGAGAGAAAAAAACAACATTATAATAACACATTATCAAAATCAATTGTCAAACAAAAACAATATCATACAGAAACATTGTGAAAACATGCATATATATATATGAAACATTTGAAGATGAGCATTCCTTTAAATTCTGCCTAACCTACTTTGAGCTGTTTTAATAGATGCTGGCGTGACTCTAATGTATCTGATGTAACTATCTGAAGACCAGCGCCCTAATGTTTTTATCAAGTGATCTTCTATTTTTGCCTTACCAGCACTAGTAGCTGCCCCAATTCTAAAACTATGACCATTATAATGACTTGAGTTGAAGCCACATATATCCAGTACTTTTTTAATACAGGTGAGGAAATATTGTCTCTCCAGAGGTTTCTTATCAATGGTTATGAAAAGTGGATCAGTTTGATTGATAGGAGAAAATTCCTTCCTTATTTGTATATATTCTAACAAAATTGTGTAAGGGCAGATAAGCTGACCTAATTTATGTAGCTGTATATTTATGCCTTTTCTAAAAGGATCAGTTTTTGATTGTTTTAATTTCAAAACTACTAAGTCTGTGTGAAAAACAACATCTTCAATACATAAATTTATATCTGGATCAAATTGTGAGGCCTTTGACACTGTAAACTCTCCACATCTCAAAAATCCATAAAATGCGACAATGCATGCAGTTCTTAACATCAAATCAGTAAACTTGGAACAAAAACCATTTCTCAAACAATTTACAATTTTCTCCAAAATTTCGAAAGTTATTGGTAATCTTATGTGATTTTTTAAAGGCAGTGCTTTAATGCCTTTCTGGTTGCCGGGTTAATCCTTCCTTCCGCGATATCCAACTTATCTACGTGGGGGGTCATTAGGCTCCAAGTAGATCCGGAAATGTTGAATTCTCTCCTCTTCTTATTGTGATATAAAATGTTTTTTGTTTCATTTCATTTACATTGGGAAATAGAGGAACGATCATTGTGTATTGTTAGTTTTAAAAACTTTTGATATATTTGTATTTTGCATTAGAAGCAGTCAACCGATTGACAAACTAGAATTATTTGAATTCCGTGTGGAAAGAGCTCGGGTTAATTTCGAGTGTTATCTGCAATCTAGATGTTTATAAATCATTTCAGTCGTTGATATAATAATTAAAGGTCGACTGAACATGAATTATATTATACAATTTAAAGCGCATTTCTGTTTATGCACGTGAACCCGTCTAACGTTATTGTTATTTCGCAGTTATATAAAGTAGCAAATTATCGTTCCTGAATAGGTGGCGCCGTGGTAGCCGATCCTGTTCCTCAACTTCCGGTTTCTGCACTGTGCAATTATTTCAGTTACATTTTTAATTAACGATGCCAAGTACTTGTTGTTGTGTACCTGGATGTCATTTTAGAGGAGGACATGCATTTCCAAATGACTTAAAAAGAAGGAAAAGTTGGATCAACGCCATGGCCCATACGCAGATTGGACGAGAACATGATGAAATCGTGGAGTCCATCTCAATCAGCTGTTGTTTGCAAGGCACATTTTACTGAAAAAGACTACGTGCAGGAAACTATTCATGGTAAAACTCTATTTTCTTTTTGAAATATATAGTTATATATGTAATCGCCATGCGAATAAACACAAGTCTGTTTACAACCGCAATTATCGTTTTAGAATAAAAGGGGGTGGTTAATTCAAGACGTCATAATTTTTGGGATAACGATTCAATGTGATCTGTTTGAGATTTTTTGGTGATTGCTACAATTATAATGATTTCTTACAAGAGGTATATCATACTGAGAATTATTTTAGCAGTAATTATGCTAATGTCGTAATGACAGGCATGCATAAGCTATGCCTCATAGACTTTCTTGAAAAATATCAATGACAGTGTTAACAGGAACAAAACAATGACATGCTCTCATCTATATTATAGTTATTTAGGTACAAACAATGTACGTATGTTGCATAAGTCTCTCATTGTTTGTCCTTTGGATTTACATAACATACATTGAATCAGGCAAACATAGTTTTATCCAGATTGTAATGAATAAATCTAGTTAATATTTTGCCAGGTAATACAAAGTATACATTGCTAATGGAAGTTCATTTAATTATCAAAAAACTAATGTTTTATAACCTTTTTCAGGGCGCAAAGCCACCATACAGAGACTTAAGTCTACTGCCATTCCCAGCCTATTTTCCTGGACCAAGCAAGAGACTGAATTGTCTGCAAAAAGAAAAATCAGGGCAGTTTCCTGTGAAAACAAAAGAACTAAACTTGATGAATATTGTAGTAGAAATCTAGAGGAAAGTTTTGATTGTAAAGTTGGTTTTCCTGAAGAAGTCATTCATACTGCATAAAGGATTTATGACTGTCCACCACCAACTGCCGAGCTAATGCTGAGCTTCACAGATGGAATTACGCAAACACCATCAATGCCTATGTTTTCAGCAGAGAATTTTGAAATGAAGACACGTGACACAGCCATGCATTTTTATACCGGTTTAGAGTTGTATACTAAATTTTTATTTGTTTTGACCACACTTGGTCCAGCAGCACATTGTTTGAGATACATATATTTTCAAATTGATAGGGTGTCAGTTGAAAATCAGTTTTTTTATGACTTTGATGAAATTGAGGCATTATACAACCAACTTTGAACTTTCTAGATTCTAGATTGAATCTAGTGTTAAGAATATTGTGTATACATGGATTGTTTTTATGTCTAAACAGTGGTGTGAGGCTAACACTTGGCCATCTAGTGGTTTAGTCAGGTATTTTTCGCCATCCAACTTCAAATTAAAGTTTCCTATGACTTGGATTATTATTGACAGCACAGAATATCCCGTGATAAAACCTAAAGCTCCTAGAGCTCAGGCAACCTTTTCATCATATAAAATAATAAAAACAGAAACACTGAAAATACTTGTATGTTCGACACCTGGTGGTTTAGTCAACTATGTCTCTAATGCATATGTTGGTTCTACCAGTGACTATGAAATAGTTGAAAGATGTAGAATAGTTCAATTATGTGATCCAGGTGACAGTGTGATGGCAGACAAAGGTTTAAATGTGCAAGATTTGTTTGCTAACTTTTTTCAAAAAAAGAAACAGAATTAGTTCCAAAACTCTTATATGGGATAGAAAAGTTTCCAATTAACATGTGCACATAGAGCGAATTATTGGACTTGGCAAAACATATAAAAATTCTAATAAATCCTATGAATGGAACTGAAACAAAACTTTCATCTGAAATAACATTTAGTTGTTTTATGTTGTGTAATTTTAGAACTTGTATTGTGCCAAAGGATGCATAAATAAAAGTGACGCAATGAATTTTGTTCTGATATATATATATTTATAATTACATGCACATGTAAATTGTAATGCATATAAAAATAAGGAGATGTGGTATGATATTCAGTGAGTTTATCGAACTAAAGTGCATAAGAAATGGGTTTAAGCAGTTACAGGTGTTACTGTCACCGTACAATCTCCAACAATGAGAAAAACTTGTACCGTGTAAAAAATTTCAGAGATCTTACCACTAAGTTTTGTTGTCTCACCTTGACTTTGGTGAATTGTTTATATCTGTTGATGTAAATATAAAAAAGAAGATGTGGTATGATTGCCAATGAGACAACTCTCCACAAGAGACCAAATGACACAGAAATTAACAGCTATAGGTCACAGTACGGCCTTCAACAATGAACAAAGCCCATACCGCACAGTCAGCTATAAAAGGCCCCGAAATGACAATGTAAAACAATTCAAACAAGAAAACTAACGGCCTAATTTATGTACAAAAAATGAACGAATATAACAAATATGCAACACATAAACAAACGACAATCACTGAATTACAGGCTCCTGACTTGGGACAGGCACATACATGTACATACAGAATGTGTCGGGGTTAAACATGTTAGCGGGATCCCAACCCTCCCCCTAACCTGGGACAGTGGTGTAACAGTACAATATAAGAACGAACTATAAAAATCAGTTGAAAGAGGCTTAACTCATCAGATGGATAAATACAAATACAAGTGGACGTGGTCGGGTAGTTGTACATCCAAACAACAAAAAGACACTAAGTACAGATCTGAGAGTACTCACAGTTACTGACAGCTAGTTCAAAGCCACTAACAACTGATAAAAAAATCTTGCATCTAAGACTAAATTATCAATCTGTAAGCTCCCTTTAGAATTTTATAAATTTTAGATTTTACATTTCTGAGTTATGGGGTTTTATTCATTAAAAAAGGGGGAATTTTCCAGTTTTTGTCGAGCCTGCGACTTTTGTCGCAGAAAGCTCGACATAGGGATAGTGATGTGGCGGCGGCGTTAGCTAACTTCTTAAAAGCTTTATATTTTAGAAGGTGGAAGACCTGGATGCTTCATACTTTGTATATGGATGCCTCATGTTACGAAGTTTCCGTCAGCCACATGTCCAATGTCCTTGACCTCATTTTCATGGTTCAGTGACTACTTGAAAAAAAAGTTAACATTTTTTGTAATGTTAAATTCTCTCTTATTATAAGTAGTAGGATAACTATATATGGTATGTGCGCACCTTGCAAGGTCCTCATGCCGTCAGACAGTTTTCACTTGACCTCGACCTCATTTCATGGATCAGTGAACAAGGTTAAGATTTGGTGGTCAAGTCCATATCTCAGATACTATAAGCAATAGGTCAAGTATATTCGGTGTATGGAAGGACTGTAAGGTGTACATGTCCAACTGGCAGGTGTCATCTGATCTTGACCTCATTTTCATGGTTCAGTGGTAATAGTTAACTTTGTGTTTTGGTCTGTTTTTCTTATACTGTATGCAATAGGTCTACTATATTTGGTGTATGGAATGATTGTAAGGTGTACATGTCTAGATGGCAGGTCTCATTTGACCTTGACCTCATTTTCATGGTTCAGTGGTCAAAGTTAAGATTTTGAGTTTTGGTCTTTTTTTCTAATACTACATGTATATGCAATAGGTCAACTATATTTGGTGTATGGAAATATTTTATGATCTATATGTCAGTCGCGCAGGTTTTATTTGACCTTGACCTCATTTTCACAGTTCATTGCTCAGTGTTAAGTTTTTGTGTTTTGGTCTGTTTTTCTTAAACTATAAGCAATAGGTCAACTATATTTGTTGTATGGAAGAATTGTTAGCTGTACATGCCTGCCTGTTATGGTTCATCTGACCTTGACCTCATTTTCATGGTTCATTGGTCAATGTTTAGTTTACTTGGTTAATGTTAAGTTTATGTGACAGTTGTAATAAAGCTTTATATTAAGGACTATCAACATAATATCAGTGATTAGTAAAGAAGGCGAGACATTTCAGCGTGTGCACTCTTGTTGGACAACAACTCAAAAATGCTTTAAGCAGTTCGCATGAAACTTTGGTGAATTATTTATAGCTATTGATGTAATCTCCCTATAGACTTTTCATAAATTTCAAATATGACATTGAGAAGAAATTGAACTTTATTTGTTTATAGTCTGGCAACAGATTAATTAAGTATTGCGCAACAGCACAGTGTATTGCACAACAGCAAGAAATCTTTAATTGAATATAAATTTAATTCATATAACCGATTTCAAGTTCTTTGACTACATTTATTCAGAAACTATAATATGTCAAATATTTAATTACAATCTAAATTCAGACCTGTATCAAGCTTGAATATTGTGTCCATTTTTGCCCCAACTGTTCAGGGTTGGACTTCTGCGGGTGTATCCAGCTGCGCTCAGCGAATCAGTTTATTTCTTAATTAAGAACTCCTTTTTTCATTCATAAATTACTTTAAACTTGGAAATATAATTTTGCTTGGAGTTATAGTTTCTAAAAAAAGTATTGTCATTGAAAGAGTTGACATGTTGCAATGTACATTTATTCTACATAGTTCTATGGTACCAAATCAAAAGTTTATATAAAAGAAAGAAGTCAAAGGTTTCCCATCATAGTTTAGTTACATACATTTTTTTTGTACCTGATGTCGTTGAATATAGATCATTATATAAATTAGGAGATGTGTTATGATTGCCAATGAAACAACTATCATCCATACTTAACAGTAACAAACCACATTTGCAGAGTTGAATAAAATACAGTTGATAACATTTACTTATTACTAAAATGAAAATGCCTAACTATTTTAAACAGTATTTGAATATCAATTATATGGTCATTTTTATAAACTTCCTGTTACAAAACTTTGAATTTTTCGAAAAAATAAGGATTTTCTTATCCAAGGAAAAGATTACCTTAGCCGTATTTGGCACAACTTTTTGGAATTTAGGGTCCTCAATGCTCTTCAACTTAGTACTTGTATGGCTTTTAACTATTTTGATCTGAGCGTCACTGATGAGTCTTATGTAGACGAAACGCGCATCTGGCGTATTAAATTATAATCCTGGTACCTTTGATAACTATTTACACCACTGGGTCGATGCCACTGCTGGTGGACGTTTCGTCCCCGAGGGTATCACCAGCCCAGTAGTCAGCACTTCGGTGTTGACATGAATATCAATTATATGGTCATTTTTATAAATTTCCTGTTACAAAACTTTGAATTTTTCGAAAAAACTTAAGGATTTTCTTATCCAAGGAATAGATTACCTTAGCCGTATTTGGCACAACTTTTTGGAATTTTGGGTCCTCAATGCTCTTCAACTTTGTACTTGTTTGGCTTTAGAACTATTTTGATCTGAATGTCACTGATGAGTCTTATGTAGACGAAATGCGCGTCTGGCGTATTAAATTATAATCCTGGTACCTTTGATAACTAATTTGACTATAAACATAGATAAAAAAAGGTACAAACTGGACATAATGCACTAGTTCATAAACAAGTGAGAACAATCACCTTCATATAGTGCTCAGAATATGACATTCATATAACTTGTTCAATATCATTAGAGAACTCTAAATCTTAAATACTGAAAACCACCTCTGATAAGTACAATGTACTATGCAAGATAATGATTTAACTGGACTAAAAATACACACAACCTGTAATTAACTGCCTTTACAGCGCTTTCGCGCTTTGATTGTTTTTTGCAGTCTTTTTACAGAATTTAAAACATAATCAAGCCTAATTAAAGGTGTATTATTAGCAGATTGCAAGGGATCATTATGATTACCCTGTACATGCTTATACCTAATTCCACATAAATATAGTTTTTAGCTAAAACACTATTAGAGCCAAGATTAGTCTAATAACTGCTTAATCTGCATTTAAATAAATGGATACTCAAGGCAGCATACACAGGTTTTTAATACACAACTTCTTAATGGGATACTCCTATGTGAGAGGAGTTAAAACTGCACCCAGGTTAATGTATAAAGAACAAAGGACAAAGGAAGCCAAATGCCACAAGTGGTCACTAATTAACAAGACATGTATATTTGTATTGGAACTGATGTAATTAAACCTCCTGCTAAGAACATGTGATAAACTTCACATCTAACTGATTGAGATGTGATAATAAATCTGTTTCATCTCAACAGTAAAGAAAACACACATCCTGGGAAAATCCTAAAATAATGACCACTGAGTGTAATGAAAATCAAACTATGTATAAACATTACTTATATAACATATAAGTACCTATTTTCCTCTAAAATAAGCAAATATTTGGGTTTTGCCTATATCCTCAGTCTAAGGGAATAATTATTTGATGTACAACCAGAATTCCTGTTTTGTTTTACTATAAATTGAAAAAAGGTAAACTATATTTGTTTAAATTGTTAGATTTCCAACATTCATGTGTCGTGATAGCATGCCAGGTCAAACTGAAAACTTAAAAATTGATATTTGCTGCTTCTCTGCTAATTTATAAGCACATGAAATTTATGAATAAGATCAAAGACTGTTCAGCTCAGAGTGTCTAAACTGTTCAGCTCAGAGTGTCTAAACTGTTCAGCTCAGAGTGTCTAAACTGTTCAGCTCAGAGTGTCTAAACTGTTCAGCTCAGAGTGTCTAAACTGTTCAGCTCAGAGTGTCTAAACTGTTCAGCTCAGAGTGTCTAAACTGTTCAGCTCAGAGTGTCTATCTAGTATAAAGCAAGGTTCATATTCTTATCACATTAAACATGTTCTTATCTTGATATAGATATAGGAAGATGTGGTATGAGTGCCAATGAGACAACTCTCCATCCAAGTTACAATTTATAAAAGTAAACCATTATAGGTCAAGGTACGGCCTTCAACACGGAGCATTGGCTCACACCCAACAGTAAGCTATTAAAGGCCCCAAAAAATTACTAGTGTAAAACCATTCAAACGGAAAAACCAACGGTCTAATCTATATAAAAAAAGAGAAACGAGAAACACGTATGAACTACTTAAACAGACGACAACTACTGTAATCAGATGCATGTAATAATTGCCACTTGATGTCGAACACCAATCAAACGTCGTCATCCTCAACATTCTGCTGAAACTGAATATATCAAGAATGTATTCATCTTATTAGGTTTGAAATATAAATGAGTATTTGTGATTAAAAAAGGGGAAAAAACCAACTTATTGGTACTTTCGTCAAAATGATATTTGATTGATTTATCCGAATGTATGAAATACCTTGATTTAGATTGAATGTATATATACTAGTAGTGATATATTTACAGGTAAACTGTGTCTACAGAATCCAGACTTGGCTAAGAAATGTGTTGCAGCTTTAGCAAGAGAATTGGAAACTTGCAAGGACCCTACTATACGTAATAATGTAGTCATTATAATGTGTGATTTATGTGTCAGGTGAGCTTACCAAAAGGTGATGTTTTTTATTATAAGGTGAAAATATTTTTGTTTTTGACGGATTTTGATACAGCTTGCATTATTTGTGAATAGTACTGCATTAGAGAAGTGCATACCTAATTTTGGAATAAATGATTTACCATTGTCATATTTTGTAAAATTGTATAATCTACTGTCAGTGTTTTTTTGTCAGGGGCATCTGAACTTTGGAGACAATTGTTGATACTTCTCACAGAGTGAGTCTTTTGTGTATTAGAAAGTTTTAATTTTGTAGGTACACAACCACAGCTGATAGATATGTATCTAATATTGCTGCCTGTCTGAAGGACGAATCACCATTGGTTAGGAAACAGACACTAACACTATTTACAAGGTTACTTCAGGTACATTATCTTTGACCTAGCATATATTTATAACAATAACAGGTAAATTGCCTTCAAAAACACTCAAAACACTATTGCCAGGGAAAATCTACTACAGTCAAACCTGTATATATTGGTCACCCTCTGGACCAGAGAAAGTGACCTTAACAAGAAAGATGACCTTGGATTTGAGGTTCATAGTGCAAAAGTATTACTACAGTTGGAAAAGAAGAAAATTACCTGCCAAGACAGATTTTTGCTTAAAAGAGGTGACCTTTATAGCAGGTTTGACTGTTGTTTCAAACCTTAAAATGAATAACAATCTCATAAATTTTAATATATTTTGGCACTGGTAAATGGTTATTTAAGAAACATAAATATGCCATGAAAATATGGGAATTCATGCTGTGAAAGTAAAACAGCTGTTGTATTGTAGACATTGTGTGGATTTGTTTCTCTGTGAAAGTAACACAGCTGTTGTATTGTAGACATTGTGTGGACTTGTTTCTATGTGAAAGTGAAACAGCTGTTGTATTGTAGACATTGTGTGGATTTGTTTTCTATCTGAAAGTGAAACAGCTGTTGTATTGTAGACATTGTGTGGATTTGTTTCTATGTGAAAGTGAAACAACTGTTGTATTGCAGACATTGTGTGGATTTGTTTCTCTGTGAAAGTGAAACAGCTGTTGTATTGTAGACATTGTGTGGATTTGTTTCTATGTGAAAGTGAAACAACTGTTGTATCGCAGACATTGTGTGGATTTGTTTCTCTGTGAAAGTGAAACAGCTGTTGTATTGTAGACATTGTGTGGATTTGTTTCTCTGTGAAAATGAAACAGCTGTTGTATTGTAGACATTGTGTGGACTTGTTTCTCTGTGAAAGTGAAACAGCTGTTGTATTGTAGGCATTGTGTGGATTCGTTTCTCTGTGAAAGTGAAACAGCTGTTGTATTGTAGACATTGTGTGGATTTGTTTCTCTGTGAAAGTGAAACAGCTGTTGTATTGTAGACATTGTGTGGATTTGTTTCTCTGTGAAAGTGAAACAGCTGTTGTAGACATTGTGTAGATTTGTTTCTCTGTGAAAGTGAAACAGCTGTTGTATTGTAGACATTGTGTGGACTTGTTTCTCTGTGAAAGTGAAACAGCTGTTGTATTGTAGACATTGTGTGGATTTGTTTCTCTGTGAAAGTGAAACAGCTGTTGTATTGTAGACATTGTGTGGATTTGTTTCTCTGTGAAAGTGAAACAGCTGTTGTATTGTAGACATTGTGTGGATTTGTTTCTCTGTGAAAGTGAAACAGCTGTTGTATTGTAGACATTGTGTGGATTTGTTTCTCTGTGAAAGTGAAACAGCTGTTGTATTGTAGACATTGTGTGGATTTGTTTCTCTGTGAAAGTGAAACAGCTGTTGTATTGTAGACATTGTGTGGATTTGTTTCTCTGTGAAAGAATATGATGATAAATTTAGAATAGTAGATAAAGATTTACTTATGCCCACATGCAGTATGTACCAGGGCTCACGCTACCAATGACTGGGGCGACAAAGTCGCTTTCCCGGCCGTCAAAAGCGAAATCTAGTCGCCCTGTTGTTTACGATACTCGCTTTCAGTCGCTTTTGTCATCGGCAATATTCAATTTTTACCAAGTCGATGAACAGCAATTTTTCATTTAAAAATAAAGAAATTAAAGGACATAAACGATTTATTTTCTTCAGAAAAGTGATTAAAGCATTGATTTTAAAGTTGGTTGCATGTTATTTCATAAAAAACAATTGTTTATCACTTCCGGTACTTGTTACTCAAGGCGTACATCAAATCATTTTAACTTTCGGCAAAATAAGTTTGTTACTTCATTAGAACGTGATGAAATTTGCCTGAAGTAAATTTGTTATCCATGTATTGCATTAAAAACGTCATATTTCTTTCCAAATAGCGTGTCAAACATCGTTTATTTTTGTAAATTTTTCATCATCCGCCATTGAAATATTTGTATAAACTACTGATCGTAACCGGACCAGCTATGACCGAAATCCGGATTCTTACGATAATGACTATGGACGCATGAATGGCACAGCTGACAGAGGAATATTGATCTCAAAAGGAAAAATTACGCATTCCACATGCATTAACATACTTTTGGTTAGATCTTCTTGATTAATATATATATTTCCATGATAATATATATGCATTGTCTCAATTTATTAATTAAAATTGATCAACTCTGGGAATACTAAGTCCAAGCTTAACTGTGTTAAATTTATATATTTTTTAATGAGAAACACTGAATTTCATAAACATGATAATAGAGTACATTTTAAATTGAATTTTAATTGATATAACAATTTTCTTTTCCTTTTTGATATAAAAAAATCTTTTTTATTATTGCTAGATATTTAACTTTTCTTCTAACAAGAGGACTAATATGATTGTGCAACTCGATATGATAAAATTAAACAACTTTGAATTTGAACTGTTACTTTTATTGTATTCCCAGGTACAAATTGAACAATATAAAAAAATAAGATACATATGGCCCTTTGTATTATAGTAAAAACCAAACAGTGTAGCGCCGCGAGCGAACGAGCACTCCTCTTTCAAATCTCACCACTTCTCCCTCTCAGTTTCAAAAAGAGAAGTCACTTCTCCCTATGATTCTGAAGTAGTGTGAGCCCTGTGTACTATGTATTATTTTGTAGCTTTATTTCATTACAGGAAGATTTCTTGAAATGGAAAGGAGTATTGTTCTTCCGTTTCATAATGACATTACTGGATTCTAATATAGAGATAGCAGATTTTGGTTAGTTCAGTATTTTTTATATGTATGAATAATAATGAACATTTCAATACAAACACATGACACTTCTCTTCAGTAAAAGGAGGTGATGGCTATATGTTGTTGAGACAGCAACCTTACAACACAATTAATGAAAATACTTCTAGAGAGCAACTTAGAGTCTTCAACAATAGACAGGCGTCTATACAATATGTGTAGCGGTTAATCACAGGAGTCTAAAAAGCTGTGAATAATTTAAGCATAAACTATCAAAGATTTGATCATCATAAAAGGAAAGGGAAAAGAAGATTCATGTAATCTTAACTATTTTTCCAGTTGACACCAGCATTGTAAATTCATTCTATCACAGGAAGGTTAGATCTATTAGTCTGTGACATATTTCTGTATTAAGTCAAACTGAGATATTTAAATTCCATGAAAAGGATTTGAATAATCTGAAAAAATAAAACTGTGATCTATTGTTTTTTTTTTACACACTGGATTGATGAGTTTAACCTTCCCCACCCCCTAAGGGATCAGCACAATATGGGGATGTTATACTCCATCAATTGAAGATATTATGAATGAAAGGAGATATAGAGTATACATCAATTAGACATCAACACAATGACTCAAATAAACAAAAGACATCTCACTATATAATAAGACTTTTAAAAAACTTTTTCAAATGCTACAATTCATATTGCCTTATGATAAATTGATTCAAAATTCTGTTTTATAAAATTCTAAATTTTTAACTAAATTGTCTTAGAAAATGCACATGCTTAGATAACATGTTTTTATTTCAGCCGAGTTCTGTCTTGTTCATTTATTAATGCAGAGACACCCGACCATGTTCTTCCAACATTTCCTAGAATGCATATTTCATTTTAATGCTTACGAAGATCATGCAAGTAAGTGTACATAGGTTGCTGTATGATGCTTTTTATTTCTTCTGTCATAAATTGAATATTATGCAAGTCTTTTGAAAAGTTTTATATGTAGTTTGTGGATTTATTGAAAAATGATAGTGAATGTATTTCAGGAATAACTATGGATTCATATGTATTCTCTGACTGAAGGAAAATAGTATTTCTGTGGATAATTTATTTCATGGATTTGAGAATTTTTTTTACATTCAAACATAAAAAATTTGCATTTTGTTGGACATTTGAATTTGTGGTTCCCATATATTCATGAAATCTACAAAAACTTAGTACTCCAAGATTGATAATTGATCCACAGTTCTCTAGCACCAAAGAGTTTATATAATATCATTTTATTTTCAGCTTTCAACAAGTTTCCACAAAATGAAAAAGAAAAGAGAATGTTTTGTTTGAAAGGGGATCATAATGCCAGGTATTGTATAGTTTAATATCACAACAAATCCCATCTTGTGTTAAATGAAAACTCTGATAGTAAATCTAATAAATGGAATACAAAATGGACTGTTATAATAACACACAGTGAACATTTATATAAGAGAAAATATGTCTGAAACAGAAATATCCAACTTAAAGAAATTTTTAAACAAGTTTTGCTGTGATGATGAAGAAATCATACTTCTTATGAGAAGATGTGGGATATACATCAATGAGAGTAGAAAATATCTAGAGGTAAATAGGTGTCCTTCAACAATAGACGTGTCTATTCAATATGTCAAGCTCCATTGCCTAAAAATGAAAATAAGTTATTAATAATTAAACAGAGACTATCAAAAAGGTAATAAAAAACAATCATGGACATGGTTCCTGACTTGTGATGGGCCCATAAAAAAATCCTTATTTTTCTACCATTATATGATAGTAGTAAGATTCCTGTGATGCCACAGTGAATAGTTATCATCTGAAATACCAGTTTTTCGTTTAGTGTTATGTTATAAACTTTGGAATATTCATAAAGGGAAATTTTAGATTTAATGGACAAATTTTTGTTAAAATTTTGCCAAATTATGCCCATATTTACCTAATCATTTTAATGTACAAGGTAAGGATTTATTTATATATTTTGTTATTCAATTTATCTATGTTTCATTTGTAAATAAAGAGTGTTTATGTCTTGTTTTACAGCAAAAGATTAAAGTTATATTTGTTTATGTTGGAGTATATGACTGATGAACACAGGTTTCAGATGACTGCCAAAATGGCACAAGAGGTATATAACCAAAATAACTTTGCATCATTACAAAAAAGTATGTATAAAAATAAGGAGATGTGGTATGATTGCCAATGAGACAACTATCCACCAGAATTCAAATGAAGTAGATATAAGCAATTATATGCCACTGTAGGGCCTTTAACGATGAGAAAAACCCATACCGTAAAGTTGGCTATAAAAAGCCCTGACATGAAAAATGCGATACAATTCAAATGAAAAAACTAACAGCCTAATTTACAAGAAAATAATTTACGAAAACCAAATATAACAGACAAGAACTTACGATAACAGCTGAACTACAGGCTCTTGACTTTGGACAAGCACATAAAGAATGTGGCAGGGTTAAACATTGTTAGTGTCCTCTCAACCCTCCCCTAACCCCTGGAACATTGGTGTAACAGCACAACATTAGAACAAACTATGAAAATCAGTTGCAATTTGCTTAACTCAAACGATTGTTACAAGGAAAATGTGCCTCTTTCTAATAGGATTTTTAAACCTGCACAAAATTTGTTTTTCATTTGAAATTTTGTCACTTGTATCAGTATGAAAGAACTATAGTTCGATGTAGGATGGTATTTGATAATTATTTTACAGATACTTGGTGGTGTTGTTGATGGAATTATACCACTGAATGAGAAAAGCAGTGTTTTATTGAAGGATACATTAGCTATACTTAGTAGTAAGGTATGAAATATAGAAATAAGAAGATATGGTATGGTTGCCACCAGAGACCAAATGATGTAGAAGTTAGCAACTATAGGTCACTGAACGGCGTTCAACAATGAGCAAAACCCATACCCCATAGTAAGCTATAAAAGGCCCTGAAATGACAAAAGTCAAACAGTTCAAACTAGAAAAATAACAGCCTGATATATGTTCAAAACAATAAATGTTTAGCTAATATGATATACAGCAACAAACGACAACCACTAAGTTACTGGCTCCTGACTTTGGAATGCACGTACAGGAGAAAGTTCTGTTCTCTCATTTACAACTATTGTGGATTCTTTAATTTTTGTGGATTCCTAGTTTTGTTGATTAAGGAAAAATATTTATTGGTGGATACTATATATATTTGTATTAACAAATTCTTCATACAAGCCTGTAGGAAATTTGCATTCCGTTAAACCATAATTTTACAGTTCACCTTTACCTAGGAAATACACCAAAATTAGTACCCTTTGAATAATTACAAATCCAGAGCAGTAGCAGTAGCCATTGTATAAATGTATCAATTTCGTAAGTTCAGGAGTGAAATACATAAAAGGGTATTTTTAGTGAGAAACTTTTAGAATATTTGTCATGAATGATTGTGTTAGTGGTAAAATGCTTCCTCTTAGTCTTATGATATATATAGAAATGTGTTATAAAAAATTGTCTTACGGTGTGTATTATACACAGGAACTACCATAATACAATGGATTACTGTTTATTTCAAAGATAGCTTAGTGCTGTTTACCATTTTCATGAGTTCTGTAGTCTTTAAATTCTAGGATCTAACTGATTATTATTTTCCTAATTCTAAAGTATTTTTATTCTGTAATGGCAATATATTATGATTTCAGTGATGATCAGTGATGTCGTTAAAAGCCGGCAGCTGGCTATTTTCGCCGGTAATTGTCCTTTCCCTGCAGGCTATTTTTGCATGAGTTAAAAAAAATAGAGTAAAAATGATAATCAGATTATTAAAAAATAATTGTTCCATTGAAATTATCAGCTTTAACGATAAAAGTCATGATAAAGGATGTAAAAATCAGTGTTTACCTTTGACTAAAAATAGTTCAGGTAAATTCAGGTCACTGATTGGTCGTCTATTTAAATTCGGAAAGTATAGTATGTTTGCAAAGATAACAAGAGAGACGTTCCGATGGTCATAAACAAGATACCCTTTTCGGTTTTGGCTTCAAGAAAACGAAGAAAGTCAAAGAAGATGATATTAGCATGTTATGAAATAATATCAGTCAAATAAAAGAAAGTATAATATATAATGTTGTTAAGAATCTGGAAAACAGTACCTTTTGTAGTTCCCTTTTCAAAGCCCATGTGGTGTCCAGAGAATGAAGGTCAAAAACGAAAGTAGAATATTGTCGTCCACAAATAAAATAACATTAGTTCAAAATGATTTTAGTTTCCTAATTACTGAACAGTTTACAAAAAAAAGAAAATCAGAGGAGATATCAATTTTATGACAATGCTTTTGAAGTACGTGTACAAGTCTTTTGAGAAAAAAAAGGGGGGTCATCTATCATCTACATTATTCAAGGACAGAATTCTTAAGTTGTCTTAAAAAGATATGTAAAAAAAACTGGTACACAGGGCATGAAGATTCCCATTTTGTAAATGATTTTTTTTATTAAATTTCATTGAAGTCAACAACAATAATAAGACAAAATTTACATTTTCCCAAGCATCTAAATCACCTCCAGGTATGCTCAGAATGCAAGGTTTTGAGTCTAAAATGTCAAAATTTTCTTGGGGAGCATACGATTTTATAAATAGCAACTTGGTTACAGTTTTATACAAAAGGGATTTCCTAACTTTGCAGCTCCTGTTGACTGCTAGTGAATATGGTTTTTAATTTTGTAAAAACAAAACCCAACTCTTTTTATAATAATTAAAACATATATAATGTTCTCAATGTCAAAATTACAATTTTCATCTAAAACTTAATAATTCAAGTGATATTTCAAACTAATCTTTGGAATCTTTCAGTTCAACCATATTTGCTAGCAGTCAACCTGCTGGAAAACTGCACAGAAATGTATATTGGTCATGCAAGTTGCCAACATAACAGCAGTTCTAAGTCTGGATCAAATGCAAATATCAATCTGATCAAATTTACAGAAAATTCAACCACCATGCTACTAATTTTAATTAATCATTTACATTATTTTCATTAAAAAATGATGTTTTCAGTGGTCTGAATAAGGGTCCAGGAGACCCCAAAATGCAGGATTTTGCACCATTTTAAAAAAAAAAACTGCGGCCCTTGAGCGGGCCCCAAACCCCCAGCCATAGGCACAACGAGCAAGCTTTTAACTAGCCGGCTACTTTAGAAATTTATCCTGCTTCATAAAAACTTACTGACACCACTGAATTTTTAACTTGCCATAGTCAGACTATTTTGCAGAGTGGGTGTAAGAAAAAATAGTTTCTTTATTTAGGAAATCAAGCTATCCTCTTTACGTGCCAAACCACAGGAAGAGATGGCTGGTGACGATGAAGAAAGAGCTGCTGTTGTCATGGCAGTTGCTAAAAAGACATTAATCACACAGGTATACATGTACTTAAAATAACTTATAGATTTTCTAATTGTTTAAACTTAAAACTTGAAATAAGAGCTCTACTGCTGGGCCTTGGCAACCAGGTTAAATACAGGACAATTTTATCTTAAGAACAACTTCCTGCTAGGCCAGTTAATTTTCATTTACTGTAAATTTTAGAAATTATTGCGAGGTTTTTATTATTGCGAAAAATGCGACAGAGTTGTAAACGCAATAATTTAAATTCGCATTTTGAAATATTCTATATGAATTAAACATGATTTTTCTCAAAATCGTAAAAATAAAAATCGCAATTAAGTCTAAAATGACAAAATCGCAATAATAAATGCACGCAATAATTTCTGAATTTACAGTATTTACACCATTTAAAGGGCAAGTCAATAAAAAGAGCTTTTCCTGCTTGACTAGTTTATAGTTTCTTATTTCTACCCCTGAATGGTCTAGATAATTTGAATGAAATACATTGGTGTCTTTGATCCTGAAATTAAGAAATTCTTTAAAGAACATCATAATTTTTATACCTACGCTTTGAAAAAGTGGGGTATACTTTTTTACTTCTGTCAGTCCGTCCGTCCGTCCAATGAATATTTTTCGTCGCAGCTTTCACAGGAACTACATCATTAGGATTTCTGAAATTTGGCTTCAGGGTTTATATAAGTCAGCTATACCATGTGATGCGTTGTCAGAATCATCACTCAACAACTTCCTGTTTACCGGACACTTACATATTTTTACACTATTAAAATTATCCAGTTGTTTCGGGGGTACATATTTTTACACTATTAAAATTATCCAGTTGTTTCGGGGGTATCATCAGTGAGCAGTAGCTCGCAGTTTCACTTGTTTAGAATTTATACAAACTTTGGGAACAGTTCAGAGGTTAATACAAACATGTTACAAAGTATTAAAGAAAAAATTATTAATGAAATTTGTATTTTAAACAAATTTGAAAAATTGGATTTCATTCATCCCTTTCATATTTTTATTACAGGTTGTGAAGAAAAATGTTATAGAAAACATTGTGCCAATTGTTGTCTCTCTTAAACACATGGTAAGTGAAAGTTAAAAACAATCTTACTGAAATCAGAACAATTATAATTAAATGAAAATTTTGAATTATAAGTGATTGGGGTTTAAAAAGTGACTCCCATGCCTACCATACATTTAATTTTCGAACAGCCCTTAGCAAATTTGATCCAGAAATGGAATTTACTTTGAAATAATTCCAATGATTCCAAATTTTGAAGTCTTCATATATCAGGGGAGATAACTCAGAAAATAAATTTTTATAATAGAATGTACAATAAATTTAGCTATTTTATTATATAGCAGGCATAACATTTATTTGACTGCAATGATTTGTTATCAGAATGAAAACCCTTTGATTTGAATTGATTGTGAAAGTGAAATTGCACTTTATTATTTGAAACTTAAGTTATTGTCAATTTGCCATCATCATGCAATGTTACATACTACATGTATATTGCAGTTAGAACAACAAAGATCTACAGTATTGAAAGACCTGATGATGTATCTTAGAGAACTGTTAAAAGATTATAAAAATGAAGTACAAGGTACTTGAATGTTGTATAGGCTTATTGTTTTATTGTCCTGATGGTTTAGTACTGCTACTGATATATTTAGCTATAAAGGATTCCATTGTAAGTCAAGGAAATGTGTAATGGGATCTTTAGAAATGTAATGATAGAAAAATAGTCAAAAATATTCTATATATTTAAGAGCTTAAACAGGACATTTTGTTTGTCTCTTCAAAAATATACATTGCATTTGGAGGTGAAATGCTTGTCAACACCACATTTTCAATTTTTGTCTGAGTCCTTTTAGGATTAAGTACCATTTATTTCAGTTATTTCACCATCCATGCACTTCAGTAGCATTCATAATATATCACCCACACAAGGATCTGGAAATTTTTTATACCCCCGCATTAAAAAAGTGGGGGTATACTGTTTTACCTCTCTCTGTCCATTCGTCAGTCCGTCCGTCCCATGAATATTTTTCGTCGCATCTTTCTCAGGAACTACATTACAAGGATTTCTGTAATTTGGTTTCAGGGTTTATTTGAGTCAGCTTTACAGTGTGATGCGTTTTCAGATTCATCACTCAACAACTTCCTGTTTACCTTATACTTTTAGCGGGGCAGGGGTATCATTAGTGAGCAGTAGCTCACAGATTCACTTGTTCACACAATTTCGATCAATTCTAATGACTTGAAAGTTCTGGTCTTTCTTTTAAACTGTAGAAAATATTCACACTAGATTCATGGAATCAACAAACTTGTATTGACCGGTTTCATCGCATTTACTTCATGAAGTTTTATACCGTTTTTCTAAATACGTTCAAGAACGATTTATTGAATGCCAACAGTATAAAACTTAAATGATTTTAATGACAAAAAAAACAGTAAATTTCACAGGAATCGCCAATGCTTCTTTCGAGTTTGATACTAAATTAGGATCAAGAGGCATTGATATGGTTATTAGGAGGGCCTTCAGGATTATCATACCATACTGGAGTGACAGTTTTATTACTGGAAAAGCATTTGAAAACAAAATTGAGTTAAAAATGGCGATTGAAACCCTATCTCAATGAAATGACCGAAATTATTTCTGTAAATAATAAAATTTGACCTAAATTCCCAGAGTTCTCGAAAAGTGGCGGTCTGAAGGTTTTGACCAACAAAATTTCCAAAGGACCACCACAATTTTGGTATTTTGTAATAGAAATAATAGTGAGGACAATCAGATTTCTTCAAGGATCACCAGGAAAAGAAAGATTTCGAGAACTCTGAATTCCAATCTGCCGTTTAGGACAAATAGCTTTCAGTTTCAGTCATGACTGGCAAATGTGACTGTTTCGGGACCCTTGCACCCACACCTTCTACCATAAGTTATGAAAGTGACATAGTTTGAATGCATGTTTTCATATTAGGTATGCTTATGAAGAAGAGCTTCAGATAAACCATTGTTATTTTGTATACTGTTGCAGCAGCATCTTAGCAATTTAGTTTTAGAAAAATGAATGTTCTATTTCTTCAAAGTCATGCTTCATTGACTGAAATTTTTACGTTGTTAAAATTTCAACTTTCCTTAATAAATAGTTAATGAAGAAAATCTTAGAGTAAAACTATGATATCTAGAATGCTTTTATTTTACCATATATATATATATATATATATATATCTCATATTCAAGAAGATTGTTAGGTCTGAACTTAGGAGTCGACTTCCACTGAACTTGGAAGTAATTGCTTTGTTTAATGATAGCTTTCTATTTAGATGAGTTTGTGAAGTACTGTAATTTCAGAAACATTTGCCTTGTATTTATTATTATACCACAGTTATAGGAGTTGGGCTGTATTGCATTCACCTTATCTGTGTGTCTGTTCTTCCATTCATTCATCAAATATTTCCGTCACACTGTTCTGAGGTACTACTGAACAGAATAACTTCGAAGTAGGTCAAGAATTGAGAAGTGGACCATTGAGAGTTTTGATATAAACAGTATTTAATACTCTATAGATACTTAATTAAATGACATCTAACCAATAAGTTTTATTTGATATTTTTTTCAATTCTACAGAGTTTTAATCAGCAGATAAGTATTGAGCAAAACTGAAATATGAATAAGATTAATGATAAAATAATATTTGACATTTAACAGATATTTTATCAGCTGACAGACAATTAGCCACTGAGATTGAGTTTGACCTGAGAAAGTTTGAAGAACAAGAGGAAGAGTTAGAAAGACAGAGGAATGCATCAATAGTTCAGGTTCAGATTTGGTATCATTTATTATGTCCAAGCTAGACCAAAATTGAACTCAGTTTAATAATACTCAGGGGGTAAGAGGACCCATATTGATTTTGAGGTCAAAGGTCATGTCACAGCAGCAATTGGTAGACTGAACTTTGGGCATAATGTTTGTTTCGTGATAACATATGATTCATTGTCTAGCCTTCACCAAACTAAGCTTGAAAAATCTCCTTTGAAAGAACAAGCCCCATTTATATTTTTTCGGTCACCAGGTCAAATGTCAAGGTCACAGTTCATATGAATAGACTGAAATTTTGGGAAAAGTTTCAAATCAGGACAATATTGTTTAAACCATAAATCAGATTGTTACCACTTTTTGGTGGATAATGCACCTTTGTATGGGAAAGACCTTAATTGCTTTTGAAGTCAAAGGGCGAAGTCTCTTGATTGACCAACATTTTGTCAAATTAAATAATGTCCCTTTGGGAAAAGAGAAAAAATTTGTAATGTATCAAACTTGCATCAATAAAGACAGCATTCAAATTTGAGGTCAGTAAGTTGAAGGGCTAGTTCACAGCAGCTAAATAATAGACTGCAATTTTGGCTACAATTTGGGTTTCCATTAAATTTAGTGAAAATTTGGTTTTGGATATTGCATGTCTCTAAATCTCAATGTCAGCAATAACCATCAGTTGACAAATTGTCAGTAGACTTCATCACCTAAACAAAAAATCAGTACCTGGCACAAACATAATTTTTATCTGCAACAATTTCATAAAGATCACAGACAAGCTTGTTCACCTATGGTGCTTCTGTAATTTAGGAGAGAGAGACAACCACAAATGCATTAAATTTAAATAATAGAGAGGAAAAAAAACACTTGTGTCAACCCTAGGAAGAGTTTGTAGGTGCCATGTTGTAAGTCCAATTTAATGTCGCTAAATGAATTTGAGGGATAGATTTGAAAAACACTAAGGAGATCATGGCTTGCATCTAAACTTCAGGAGTCATTGTTTAGTGATTGGCAATAGAGAGAGCTTGAATCCTATTGTAACATAATTTAGGAGATTGAAGGTTGTTGTAGCTGTGGTCTTGCATCAGTCTTTCTTAAACAAACACATCCAATGCTTTGTAAATTGGAGACCTTGATCCATTTTTTACTTTCAAGGTCAAAGGTACCTAATGGACAGCTGTTCAAAATTATATTGGATTTTAAGTGGATGCTCTCCGTAATGGTACCTTTATAATGGCTTTATTATGATTTCACGTTTACACTGTCTAAAAGGTTTTTTGTTTTTGTTTTTATCTCAGGCTACTTCACAGCCAGGAAGTCCACATGTTTCGTCTAAACCAACCACCCCAGCTGGATCTAAACCAGGTACACCATCTTCTAAACCTAGCTCCCCAAGATTAGCAGGCCAAGGAGGTTCACCTAGACTGGAGAACCAAAAAGGTTCACCTAGACCTGGGATATCAACAAAAAAAGTACAAAGTCCCAAAGGTGGTTCTAAACAAGCATCAGACAATGATCGTTCTGTCATGGGTCCACCTACAGTCCAAGTTGTAGGTGCTACTCCTATGAAGACACCTGCCAGGTAAGAACACTTTTATCTTGTCTGCAACAAAATTCCTGAATGCAATGCATAGGTTTAACTTAGTTTGAATTATTAGATTTACTTTTGATGAAGTACTTATTGATTGTGTTGTATCATTAGCATCCATGCCAGGGTTGAATTTAGAAAGAAATGCAAATTTAAGTAAAGCAAAATATGATAATGCCGTTTATTTTCAAAATAACCTTATTTTTCTTGACAAGAAAGATCTGTAAGAAAGATTTCACGAAAGAACTGGGCCATTCCTCATTTAGCTGGTTCTAATTGTGTTTTTGTACAAAAAGTATTGCACATAAAAAGAGTAACTTTATTAATTTCGATTCAACCCTTGAAACTTAAAAGGATTCTATAGCATTTATTTGTATGGAAAGTTTTAGAATTGGAGAAATTTAAAGCAAATACATCAATCACTTAAACCGGGTACATTTTTTTCTTAACTTTTGTTATTAATTATATTAAAGTGAAATTCATATTAACAAAATTAATTTCACCATTTTCACAAGTTGATGTCATATTTACTAGCAGTTTTGATATAGAAGATTCATGCATAATAGGCAGTGTTCAGTTTTAATATGATTTTAGGACCAGTGGTAAATAGCATTTAAAAAAAATGGTCATGTTCTATCTCAAATTGCTTTTAATGTCAATGAAACTGTATTGAACACAAACAATCATGTACTCCTGTACACATTATTAATTTCCATTCAACCCTTGAAACTTAAAAACATTCTATAGAATTTATTTGTATGGAAAGTTTGAGAATTATTAGGAGATAAAATGAAAACTTCATCATTGCATATCATCACTGGAAGTCTGACTTTCATCGATCAAAACTAATTTTTCATTATAGGTTATACAGTTTATGTTTTTTAAAGATTAAATGGGTAAAATCCTAACTCAATTTGTAGATATAGTTCATACTGTGTTTGCTGATATTCGATGTACTTAGATTATATGCCCGTATCCATGTATTCAACCCTACATAGAGATCTTTTATTGTCTCGATTTGGACAACAGTTGTTATATTTCGTCGGACACTTAAATTTGTGGATAAAGCCATCCACGAAAACCACAAAATTGGAACCCCATGAATAAAAGTAATTTCACAGTATAACCTCTATTGAAAAAAGATACAAAAAAGAGTTCCTGGCCATAAGGTATTTCATACGGATGTGGGACTGTTGACCATTACTAAAGTAAATGAATTGGTGTAATTTACCTTTTGAAATTTTCAAAAATGATATTTATTTGTAAATTGACAGTAAATTTTGACATCTTTCAGCACTGCTTTCACTTTGATGTTTTACTAACATTGCATATTACAGGGAAGCATCACTTTCTACATTAGCAATCCTTAATTCTGCTAGGAAGGCATTTGAGAGAGCTCAGAATATTCATGACAGTCTATCAAAGAGTTCCACTGAAGAACCAGCTTCACGATCGTCAGCTGAGGCACAGACATTTGAATCACCATCTCTGAAGAAGACTTCTTCCAAACGCAAATCTATTTTGAAAGAAAAGAAAAAGAGTAATGATGATGATGAAGAAGATGAGAGCCCACATCTTGGAGTTAGGGTAGGCTCATCTAAAATAATTTTTACAAGTTTGGGTGAACTCAGCATATAAAAATTTTGAATGTTTGATTACATTAAACACATCACAACTGTGTTAAAATGTGCAGGAAACTTTTTGTTGTGGCTTTCAAAATCCATTTGGTTTACTTGTCATTGTTTTTTCACTGACCTAACATAACAAATATTGATTTTATTGAGATCTTGCAACATGTTATGTGCATCTCTGTTTGTAAGGGAACAAATTTTGTCTTACCTCAACTAAGTCGAAAAAAGTGAGACTTAGGCATGCTTTTCTGGAGGAGTGTGTCAACAATGTATTAGTTTGTGATTAGGTCAGTTTATGTCATAGTCATAGTCTATAATTAACTTTGAAACTTTTGCATAGTTTACATTAAAGTTTGCGATTAGGTCAGATGAAGATTAACCACTAATGGTAAGTCAATGATATTTGGTTTGCAGTTTTAATAGCATTTGCATGTCTGATTTCCATGGAAATTATATAGCCCTGTCCCCTCATGATGTTTCATTTTTGTGTGCTTTGTGGTGTTAAAGTTTGTGTTTAAGTCATTTTAAAGGGAACCACTTATGATTATTAGTCTATGGTATTTGGTATGCAGTTGTATTAGCATTGGCATTTCTCATTTCAATGGAGGTTATTAGTCACTGCACCTTCAGTTATGGTTTATTGACTCCTATCTCAGCTGTTTATCTAACTGTCTAAAAACAACAAGACAGTGTTGTCTGTTATTAAGTTTCCAGCAAAAAGAGCACGTGACATGGTTGTCAACAAAGGGAAATTCCCAACTTTGAACATGTGGTCAGGGAATTCATTTGTTTTCTGGATTACTGCTTTTATTTATTTAGTTTGGATATATACATTTCATTTAAGGTACAGTCAAGCATTTATATTTGTAAAATAGTTTGCAAACCTTTTTTGACTTTTCAAATTTAAGAAACTGGGTCATGATCGTTCTTGTTCAACCACGCGAGACAATGTGAATTATGCAATCAGCTGTCAACGTACATCCCTTGAGGCAGTGTTCACACCATCTTACACAATAAGATTTCTTAATTGCCACTGACATGACAATTGGATTAGGGATATCCAGAATTTTACTTCAATCTATTGAATTTTCAAGTGTGGCAGACAATAAAATAAGCGTGGCGCTGGGAATTTTAGTGTGGTGCTAGGAATTTAAGTGTGGCGCACTGCCAAGCTTAAATAGGTCATGGCGATCCCTGAAATAATATACTCTGTTAAAGGTTTTTCGCTTAAGCTCATGAATTACTCTTGTTGCATAAAGTAGTGAACTATCAAATTTGCATATTTCATATAGTTTTATATTTTATACAGTTTGCAGAAGGGGTAAAGGACAAAGCCACACCTCCTAGGACCCTAAGAGGAAACCGGGCGATAAGTACACCCTCAGGTAATTATTTAGTTCAATTTTGGCATAAATCGTTGCGATGACCTTAAAAAAATAATGGCATTTTCTGTTATTGAAAACATGTTTGCCTCCATGCAAAAAAAGACAAATGAGGTTTCTTTTACTCGGCTCAAAGTGATTGACTTTTTAACTACCTCTGAATACTCAAGAGCTAGCTAGCCTAGCTCCCTTAAGTTCATTGTCTTGTTTTATAATTTGACAAAATTCATGACAGCTTGTAATTATATATCAATGCAGTGTAAAATAACTTTTGTTCTTAGATTATGTGACAGATTGCTAAATTCAAAATAGGAGATTTATGAAATATTAAAAAAAAAAGAATTTATTGTTGAATATTACTTGTAAATTATTCACTGTCTTTTGAAGTATAATTTTATCTTTTTACAGCCTTTTATGTTGAAGACGGTAATTTTTATGATTGCATGTATAGATTATTATTTCTGCACATTAGGATATAATTTAGAAATGATTTTATTAAATAAACAAATTGGTTCAATTTGCATAATTTGTTTTTACAGACATTGTTATGATCTGTTTGTTGTTTGTTCCTGATTTTACTGTTAATGTTTTTTTTTAATTTTCCAGGATGTTAATTATTGATTTCTTTTTCCGTCAACAAAATCACATAAGTTTTTTTTTTTAATTCAGAAGTTGAATAATTGTGATAATAGAACCAGAAAAGGGTGAAAACTCACATTTTCTTTATTATAATATTGAATTATTTCAGTAAAAATATTAAAGTTTTAGATTATTTTATCTCTAATTGAAGTCATCTCTGAAAAAAATAAAACATAAAGTGTGTATGATATCAGCTTTAGAAAATATATCTGCTTTGACTGATATATATATTTGTAGCTGTAGCTTACTATATATACACATGCTGTAGATTAGAATAATCATATAGTGGATTATTAACAACATAATACTTTAATAGAACAATTACGTAATATGCATGTCAAGTGAACAATAAAGATTATTGTGTGGTAGACATATTATTTATTATTTTCACTGCCTATCTGTTCCACATGCATTTGTGTGTTTACACTCATTTTTATATTGGCCCACATTGATTTCAATTGTATCTATAATGGGATAAATAGTAGTCCAATGTCACCAAAGTGTTCTCTAACGGCCTAGCCACAATCAGATGTACATTTTCTGTTTCACATGAAGTCAAAAATAAAGATCACATCAGTCAAAAACTCTTTTGATATTTTGGTACAGAAATGGTTTAAATTATGAAAAATGGCCGTCATAAGGCTAACACTTGAAGCATTTATATAATTACATGCAGTTTTGGGAAGAAATATTTTATATTTTTATTAAATAAGTGGTGTTTTAAAACTGTCTAATTTTCTTTAATGGTTGCCTTTAAGACATGTTCACCAGTTTCAACTTTTTGTCCAATGACAAAGACAACAAAATATGTTTAGAATTTATGAATATCAAACATTTTAATAAAAAAAAAAATGACAAGAACATGTTTAACTCACAATTATTTCAAACAACAGTAGCTTTCTTTGATCATTACTCTGATCTGATCAAACTATTTCTAAAATAATCTATTAATAAAAAAACTTAAAAAAAAAACCTTTCTTTTGGTGTATAGAACATTAAAATAACTTGATGCATATTCTTACAATAAACAATCAAAGTTAGCAATACAATTTATATGTTTTGTCTACGGACAAGACATTTTATTGATATTTAATTAAATGCATTATTAAAACTTAATTTTGACATAGTGGAATATGTTCTCTTGACAAATAACATACATTTTATCATGTTTATCTATCAAATGATGCTGAACTTCGAGGAAATTGGAAACAAATACATTGTGATAATGTCTACGGACAAGACATTTTATTGATATTTAATTAAATGCATTAAAAAGATAATTGTTAAACTTAAGATTAAGTTACCCATTTAATTTTAAGCTGTGTTTTTGAATTTTGGGAATTTATAAAAATGTACCAATGATTCTTTACATATCTCAAAATTTTATTGATTAAACAAAAATGAAGACACATTCTTTCAACTGAAATCCATAAGTCTGACTGTTTAACAATCAAACATTTATTAAAACTCAATTTTGACATAGTTGAATGTGTTCTCTTGAAAAAATAACATACATTTTATCTACCAAATGAGGCTGAACTCAAGGAAATTGGAAACAAATAGATTGTGGTAATGTCTACGGACAAGACAATTTCAGTTGAATAAACAATCTGTTAGAAATAATTGTGATTATATTTATGTTGAGAATAATGAGTTTTAATGTGTTCAAAGAACTTTCATCACCTATAGATTAGATTTAAGTTCCAAAGTAGACAAATAATTGAATTTAATACTTGTTATGTACAAGTGTCTTGTCCGTAGACACTTCCTCATCTGCTGGTAATCCTAAAATGCAAAAGATAAAGTCAGAGAGACAGAAATACTATTTCTTCGTTTGATTAATTTTATCTTTTAAGTTATGAAGCAACTAGAATAAAAATTTTGAAGTAAAATAAGGTATGCTTTTTATGACTGACAATTTGCCACTTTTTAAAATCCACTCCTGTAAAGTAATTTTACAAAAAATGAGAACAGTTAATTAACCATTAATTGATCAAAAATAATATATTTCTAAGCTTAAACAACACATATGAACAATTTAGATCCATAAAGCCAATCAATATTGATATAAAGTCATGTCTACGGACAAGACATGTGTCTACGGACAAGACATTCTGACATTTTTTTCAAATTTTTCCTCTATTAAAAGATGGTAGAAATTAATGTTTGTAGTGTTTTCATATCTACAAAAGAGCAGGAACTTAGCAATGCAACATTTATGTTATTACGCTTCCAATTTATTAGGAAATGCATGTCTACGGACAAGACATTTTTTCACTTTATTTTTATATCCATTTTAGATGGCATATATCTCCAGCTAGGGTACTGCAATATAGATATATGAGGTAGTTTTTGATAATTCATATACAAGAAGAGAAAACAAAACACATAATAGCATAAATTTCATTTATTTTTCTCTTTTATTACTACACTATACTAGGTAAAAACAAAAATACAAAATTGCATAACGAATGCATAGTATTCCACTTTTTATCATAACTTTGTAACCACTGAAGATTTTTCGTTGCAACAACCAGCAAAAGAAAGATGAATAAATTGTCTATAACAGTGAATCAATAATGTAGTTCAAATTAGGTTCACTTATTAACTATCAATTGATAAAAACAGTGTATTTTTAAATGAAACAACATAACGTGAAATTTTGCCCATTTTTAGCGTGTATTTTAGTGTTTTTTTTCAAAATGGTCACACATATACATGATATTTGATATGCATTGTGAAGCCCTATATTCTTTCCTTCAGTTCAAAGATGTAATATTTAAATTAAGTTCATCTTCTTGTCTATAGAAGCCTATAACATAGACCTTATATGAAATTTACATCTGATTGTGGCTAGGCCGTTAGTTTGCCATTTAAATTTACATTCAACAGATAATTCAGCTGAAGACACTGCAAATACATGTTTCAGTCTGTCATGCCTTTGTCAAATAATTTTACACATTTTTTCAGCATGCTCAATACCATATGTGCAATAATCCTGTTTTCTATGTAAATGAATTAAATTATATTTCTTTAGAAATACTTTATGATAAGAATTAGAGCAATCAACTTGACAAACCAACAAAAAAAAATTGTTTACAGGTAATTGTTGTTTACGGAAGATCCTTGTGGTGACCATTACGATTGGTAACATTTTCTTTTAAGTTTAAAATTATTTGTAAATTTTTTAGGTGTATTGAACAACATCACTTTCCATGCTGATCATAATGTAACACTTATACCACCGTCACCGATCCCTACTTGTATGCCTATCAGAGTATTCAGTGATGCTTCAGAAGAAAATGGTAAGGTTTTTACTTTCTTGGTAAATTTTTTAAATGTATTTTTATATAATCGATTTCGCTTTGTACAAAAAAAAATTCCTTTCCACTGTTTGACTAGTAGTTTGACAGCCCCACAACAGTTTGAATACACATCTTTTCTTCTAATTAGCACTGGTTTTATATTTTCTTTTCATTGTTTTTTATGCTGAAAAGAAGATTTATATAGAGCCCTGTAACAGGCATGTTATTAAATACAACTGAAAGTGATAGTGGGAGCAGGGCATGATGTCCCATGGACACATATTCTTATTTACAAATAGTGATAGTGGGAGCAGGGCATGATGTCCCATGGACACATATTCTTATTTACAAATAGTGATAGTGGGAGCAGGGCATGATGTCCCATGGACACATATTCTTATTTACAAATAGTGATAGTGGGAGCAGGGCATGATGTCCCATGGACACATATTCTTATTTACAAATAGTGATAGTGGGAGCAGGGCATGATGTCCCATGGACACATATTCTTATTTACAAATAGTGATAGTGGGAGCAGGGCATGATGTCCCATGGACACATATTCTTATTTACAAATAGTGATAGTGGGAGCAGGGCATGATGTCCCATGGACACATATTCTTATTTACAAATAATATGTACCATGGAAAGTCAAGATAACTCAAATTCAAATTTTATACATAAAATAGGCAAAACAAAATTTACAGGAACAAAAACAAAAGTTTTTTACAACAACAAAGATAAAACAAATTTTCATGAACAAAGGAAAAACCAATTTTCATGAACAAAGACAAAACAAATTTTTATGAGCTAAGGCAAAAAAAAATTTTCATTAACAAATACAAAACAAATTGTCATGAACAAAGGCAAAACAAAATTACATGGACAAAGACCAAACAAATTTACATTAACAAGGACAAAACAAATGAAAGTATGAAACAAACTTGACAAGATTTTACAAATGTTTAAAAGTTATGTCATATTTTCATATTTTAGCCACTCCTGGAACACCTCAAAAAGGAACACAGGGCAGTAAAGATACAGTTTACATGTTCTCTCCAGATAAACCGTAAGTACTGGTTTTAGTAAAGATACAGTTTACATGTTTTCTCCAGATAAACCGTAAGTACTGGTTTTAGTAAAGATACAGTTAACATGTTCTCTCCAGATAAACAGTAAGTACTGGTTTTAGTAAAGATACAGTTTACATGTTCTCTCCAGATAAACCGTAAGTACTGGTTTTAGTAAAGATACAGTTTACATGTTTTCTCCAGATAAACCGTAAGTACTGGTTTTAGTAAAGATACAGTTTACATGTTCTCTCCAGATAAACAGTAAGTACTGGTTTTAGTAAAGATACAGTTTACATGTTCTCTCCAGATAAACCGTAAGTACTGGTTTTAGTAAAGATACAGTTTACATGTTTTCTCCAGATAAACCGTAAGTACTGGTTTTAGTAAAGATACAGTTTACATGTTCTCTCCAGATAAACCGTAAGTACTGGTTTTAGTAAAGATACAGTTTACATGTTCTCTCCAGATAAACAGTAAGTACTGATTTTAGTAAAGATACAGTTTACATGTTCTCTCCAGATAATTTTTCAAATTTCAGATTTCAAATTTTTTGAAAGAAAAGGGGTGGTCAAGGAACCTCAGTGTGCTGGCTAACTAAACATACACACATCAATATGTATCATTAAAGTTATCTGTTCATCTCCTTTCATCAGTTTCAGTTTGTCTTAATAAGTGGACATTGACCCCTGTTATCTGAATTTTTATGATCCCGATGTAGGCCATTGGGGCAATAAGTGTTACCCTTGTATTTATAACTTTTACTAATGTTGAGTAAATAACATATAGTAACGTGTTCTGATTTTTATTCTGTATGGTATAATATTTATAAACAGAAGCACACATTTGTTTTCACAAAATGTTAAAATCAGAATTTTATATGGTGGTGAATTGGTTAGAATGTTTGAAAAGAGATCATAGATTATAGAACTCCTGGGTTCAAATTTTAGTAAGAATGTATTTTCTTCCTTAAATAATTTTGTTTGTAATTTTCTCATTTAAAATCTACTCTAAGGCAAAATAAAGAAAGTATGTCAAATTTAAGAAACTGTATGACACTAGCTTTGCTGCATATGCATTTGACAGTTAATAGGGCAAAATGAATTGAAGTCAGATAGGTCCTAAAACAAAATAAAATGCAGTTAGAATATACATATACATACAAAGTTTACAAATTGATTTATTTTCATATATAGGTTACCACGACCCAGAAAATGGAATATAAAATCACCTGTAAGTACATGATTATGATATTCATTTTTGTCAAGCCTGCGACTTTTGTCGCAGAAAGCTCGACATAGGGATAGTGATCCGTCGGCGTCGTTAACTAACTTCTTAAAAGCTTAATATTTAAGAAGGTAGAAGACCTGGATGTTTCATACTTTGTATATAGATGCCTTATGATATGAAGTTTCCGTCTGTCATATGTCAATTGTCCTTGACCTCATTTTCATGGTTCAGTGACTACTTGAAAAAAAAGTTAAGATTTTTTGTAATGTTAATTTCTCTCTTATTATGAGTAATAGGATAACTATATTTGATATGTACGTACCTTGCAAGGTCCTCATGCCTGTCAGACAGTTTTCACTTGACCTCAACCTCATTTCATGGATCAGTGAACAAGGTTCAGTTTTCGTGGTCAAGTCCATATCTGAGATACTATAAGCAATAGGTCTACTATATTTGGTGTATGTAATGTTTGTAAGGTGTACATGTCCAACTGGCAGGTGTCATCTGACCTTGACCTCATTTTCATGGTTCAGAGGTCATAGTTTAGTTTTTGTGTTTTGGTCTGTTTTTCTAATACTGTATGCAATAGGTCAACTGTATTTGGTGTATGGAAGTATTTTACGATGTTCATGTCAGTCTGGAAGATTTTATTTGACCTTGACCTCATTTTCACGGTTGGTTCATTGCTCAATGTTAAGTTTTTGTGTTTTGGTTGTTTTTCTGATACTGTATGCAGTAGGTCAACTATATTTGGTGTATGGAAATATTTTACGCTGTACATGTCAGTGGCATGTTTTATTTGACCTTGACCTCATTTTCACGGTTTATTGCTAAATGTTAAGTTTTTGTGTTTTGGTCTTCTTCTAATGCTGTATGCAGTAGGTCAACTGTATTTGGTGTACGAAATGATTGTAAGGTGTATATGTCTGTCTGGCAGGTATCATCTGACCTTCGCCTCATTTTCATGGTTCATTGGTCAATGTTCAGTTTTCCTGGTTAACTTTGTTTCTTAGATACTATAAGCACGGCCTTCAATAATGAGAAAAACCCATAATGTATAGTTAGCTATGTAAGGCCCCGTCATGAAAAATATGAAACAATTCAATTTAGAAAACTAAGGGCCTAATTTATAACAAAATAATTTACGAAAAACATACCCGGTATATGACAGACATGAACCGATGACAACCACTGAACTACCAGCTCCTGACTTGGGACAAGCACATATAGAATGTGTCAGGGTTAAACATGTTTGTGAGCGCTCAACCCTCCCCCTAACACGGGACAGTGGTGTAACAGCACAACATATGACCAAACTATAAAAAACAGTTGAAAAAGGCTTAACTCATCAGATTGATACAAAGCAGAAAAACATCAAACAAAAACACAGACCGGACGTGGCAGGGTATTTTTCCGATCCTCATCCCTAACAACAAAAAAGACACTAAGTACAGATCTGAGAGTACTTGCAGTTGCTGACAGCTAGTTCAAAGCCAATAACAACTAATAAAAAAATCATGTATCTTAGACTAAAATATCAATCCGTACACATCCGACATCCTATGGATTTAGTGTTAAGACGTCATTAACAGTAAGAGAAAAACATGACCTTGTGCAATACCAAAATACAGGTATCAACAGATTGTAGTACCGTGAAAGTACATATGTGTATGACAATAATATTTAGTAAAGTTTTCATTTACTGATTACAATCAATATTTATAGCAATAAAAACAATATTCAAAGATTTAAATACAGTTTTGAATTGGTAACCTTTCAGAATAAGTTTATTTAAAGGATTGATAAGTTTACCTGGGTCGTATCTAAATTTCCAGGCTCAGTTAACAACATCACCTTAAAATTTAGGATGTGCTTTTCCATTTGAAATAAGTTTTCTACAGGTACAGGCAAATTTTTGTATATATGGAAAAAGGTTTTAAGTAATTTGTGGTAACGAAATCCCTGACTTAATAATTTACTAGTACATAATGTAATACATAGATTAAGCTCATTGAAATCCAAAACGTCACTACAGACACGGGCATAGCGAATGAGTTGGGATATTTTAACACCGTAAGCCAGTGCCAAAGGAACATCCCCATCCAAAAAAGGAAAATTAAAAAAAACAACATCCCTTTTGTCATAAATGTCCATCTGACAGGAGTCACTTGACCTCATATCCATTGCTCATTGATCACTTTACATTTTCTTAATACACGATGTAAGAGTTTAATCTGAACGATTGCCAATATAAAATTCAGTTATAATCAATAAGCAAGTGGGCATTTTCAGAATGTGCACTCTTTGTTGTATAGTACCATTTTGAATTTCCTTTGAGATGCAATTCTTATAAATGAAAACATTTTAAGGAATTTTGAAAGTAGCATCATTGCATTGTTCAAATTTACATTTTATATTTTTCTCTGCATTTATCATGTTTTAGGTGTTGTTTCACGGTCACTTTTCAAATATGAATTTAATAGAAAAATACACCATTGCTACCTGTGAAAGGAGACTTTCACATTTAACATATTTCATAAACTTCTACAAAATAAATGTTAAATTACTTCACATGGCAAATAAGTGCAGTGCAAGCATGTGCAAGCATTACACCACTGTCCCAGGTTCGGGGGAGGGTTGGGATCCCGCTAACATGTTTAACCCACCACATTCTGTATGTATGTATGTGCCTGTCCCAAGTCAAGAGCCTGTAATTCAGTGGTTGCCATTTGTTTATGTGTTACATATTTGTTTTTCATTCATTTTTTGTACATAAATTAGGCCGTTAGTTTCCTTGTTTGAATTGTTTTACATTGTCATTTCAGGGCCTTTTATAGCTGACTGTGCGGTATGGGCTTTGCTCATTGTTGAAGGCCATACGGTGACCTATAGTTGTTAATTTCTGTGTCATTCGGTCTCTTGTGGAGAGTTGTCTCATTGGCAATCATACCACATCTTCTTTTTTATATGTACATAAGATAACCATGCAGAGATTCATGCAATGATTTATGTATCTTTCAAATTGACCTTAACATGATCTTTTACAGGCTCCAAGTAGAGGCGTTGTCAAAAAAGGATCATCTGAAAATGAAGATCCTAGTGATGAGAATGAGGCTGCACAAAACACAGAAGAAACAAATAAACAATATACAAAACCAAGAAGTAAAACAAGACGAAGTGCTCGCTTGAGTAAATCATGAAAATATTGAGTTTATATAGTTATACATTTATACTGTACAGATGCTGAACACATGCTTTTATATCATGTAATATATGAAGTGCTGTATTTAAAAAAAAATAATTGCATGCTAAAATTAGAAAAAGAAATGTAGATTTTTTTTTATGTAAAAATACTGATTAAAATAACTGAAAAAAATGCTTTTAGATCATGCTTATTATTTTTTTTTTTTTAATTTACAAGAATTTATTTGATAATACTGAATTAAAATTACACACAAATTGTTCTTACATTTTCTAATACAAGTATAAAAAAAATCATGAAATTCATTTACTAAAAACAAATCTTTTAGAAAAAAAATCACATTAAAGGGGCATTAGCTACGACACAAAAAAAAGATTAAAATATGATTTTTTTGTTCAATCATTAAATGAAAGTGAAATAGTGAAATAATAATTCGTTTTTAGCAGCCTGTTTGGTTCAATTTTGTCAAAATAAGCTAAGAAACATTGCTAATGAATTATTCACTTGCAAGTGAATAATTCGACCTCATTGAATCCGTATTCATGTGACCTTCAATTTAACCCCTCAGCTAGAGATGTGTTATGAATAAAAAAGGTGTGTTCAGCTATTAAAAGGAAAACAATGTCAACATTGAAAGTGAAACAAGGGTAAACCATTTGGTTGACTGATTCGATCCACAACAACTCATTCTTATAAAGGTAAAAACGATGATTAAATATTTTTTTAACCTATAATATGAAATCAAACAGACCTAGATAAATCCAATTACATGTGTTAGCTTTCTATTTATATCTATATTTATGTTTGTATCGGGTTATATGACTGTCAGCAGTCTTCGGAGGTTACCTCCATGGTTAATTAAATAGCATCTAGACTAAAATACACACGAAATGTTGATACATATTATCGAGTCCATGCATCGTAAATTGTTTTATTTTAGACTTTTTGTAATTTGGATATTCGTTTTAGTATGTTATTAATCATTGAGAATTTGAGTCAAATTGGTGAAGATGAATTTGACAGCTAATGCCCCTTTAAAGGTTAAAAAATATATTCCAAAGTATTGCCGTTTGATCACACTTTAAATACTGGTAGTTCTGGTTAAATTTGCTAAATGTATTATTTATTCCAATTGGTGTTAAAAAATTATGTTCCAGCAAATAAACAATCAGGTTTGATTGATGTAGGCTGTATGATTACATGTAGAGGTGAAGGTTTTCACATTATCCTTCTTTTGGCCTGGAAGATAATTGTCTCACTTGTATTTATACCATATTTCCTTTAATACTTATATATTTTACGCTGAATTCATTATATATTTACATGTAATTCTTAATAAACTGGTTTTCATTGCTAAAAAAAGGAACCAATATTTAAGTCTTTTTTGTTTGTTAATGTAACTTAGTTATAATTAGAGATAATAAGAAATATTTAATTCTCAATACTCATTAAATTTAAATTTTGTTATATATAAATTTTCTTTTGTCTATCTGTAACACCTATAAATTTGAATGATGGGTAGTAAATATGTATTTACTTTTTTTATCATGTGGAAATTGTTATGTAAAATATAATAAAAAGTCATTGTGATATAATATGGTGTTTTATAGAAATAAAACTAATAATAAATGTGTTTGTGTTTGGTTTTGTCTTTTTTTTGTTGACAAAAGTCACTGAATGTGAGACATATGTGCACTTACCTGTCATTGTTCATAAGTCGACATTTTTTTTCAGCTGTTATTACAGGAAATATGGTCCTTTGAAATCTAATTTATATTGAAAATGCATTGTAAGACCTTTCATGTATAAATTTCTTGTAGGCTTTTTAATGAAATGTACATCAGGTTTAAATTAACAAGGTCTTGAACGAGTTCCATAATCAGTGCATATCAATTATTTTTACATGAGTTATGCCCCTTGGAAAAAGAAATTATATGGAAAATTGCATTGTAAGGATATTAATGAAAAAGTTAAAAGAACAAAAACAAATAATGGAAGTTATTGGACTTGGACAGATAAAATATGTGCATAGGTGGGTAACACAGGAACACTGTTCTTTTATTTACAGTTAGAATTTAAAATCCTGTTTGTCTCGCCTGCAACAACAGTCATGAAATGCAAGATAGGGATTCAAGTCTGGTGGCAGCATAAACTGTGTTTAATTATAGCCAAATGTGTAAAGATGTTAATATCAGTGAAAATACACCTACTTCATGTAATTGCAGTAATTCCAAATACATTTATGGACCCATTTCCCATGTTATAACAGGAGATCTTAACATCGTTCAAGACCGAGAGTTAAAATCATTCCTCAGTAAAGGACCTAAATATCGTCCCCCGTCAATTATTAATTGGAATGAGTGTCGTAATATCATCCACGACTCACTCCATACTTACTGTTTGAAATGGATAAAACGGGAAAAAGCTGACAAAAAATCTTTGGACTCTTTTTTTAAATCAGTAATGAACATAGTTGATATACGTATTCAACATTTTAAAGAACATTTTACTCTTAACAATAACCACAATAAACCTATTTCTCGTATCAAACATAAACTAAAAGAACTAGCCAAGGAATTTGTTTTTATCCCGGCCGATAAAGCTGCTAATAATATTATTATTATTTGACGTAAATTTTACATTGAGGTTCTGAAAAAAGAAATCACCAATTCACCAACATTCCAACTGACTCCATTTTCAGAAAACGACATCTGTAACAAACATAAACTTTTAGCTACCGCTTTACAAGCAGAACCAAATACAATGAAAGTCCCAACTATGTATTGGCTTCCGAAGCTACACAAAACACCTTACAAATATAGATTCATTTCGTCTTCAAGCCATTGTTCCACTACTAAATTGTCTATTCTTCTTACCAGTACACTTGGTACAATCAAAAACCTGATAATAAATTGTTCAAATAAGGCCTTCGAAAATAGTGGAATTAATTACTTTTGGAGTGTCAAGAACTCGTTGGAAGTACTTGATAAATTGCATGCATATATTGGTGATTTTGAATCTGTTCAAAGTTTTGATTTTTCTACCCTATATACCACATTGCCTCACATTCTCATTAAGAAAAAATTCACACACCTAATTAAATGGGCATTTAAAAAGTCAGAATGTGAATATATATGTTCAAACTCTTTTAGGTCATTTTTTAGTAGCAATAAACAAAAAAACTATGTCAATTGGACATGCTTTGATACTATATATGCCCTTGAATTTTTACTAGATAACATTTTTGTTCGCTTTGGAGATTCCGTATATCGTCAGGTTATCGGAATTCCAATGGGGACTAACTGTGCACCACTTATTGCGGACCTTTTTTTGTATTGCTATGAGTTACAATTTGTGACAAAAATCAGCAAAAACCCATCGAAACAACATCTGATACACAAATTTAATAATACTTTTAGATATTTGGATGATATTTTGGCTCTCAATAATGACGACTTCAGTATGTATACTAAAGAAATTTATCCTGTTGAACTTACTTTAAATAAAGCTAATACTGACAATGACCACTGCCCTTTCCTCGATCTTGATATCTATATCATTAACGGAAAGCTTAATACTAAAATATATGATAAAAGAGATGATTTTTCATTTCCTATCGTTAATTATCCATTTTTAGATGGTGACGTTCCCTTGTCACCATCTTACGGTGTTTATATATCTCAACTTGTACGATTCGCTCGTGTATGTAACAATGTTTTAGATTTTAACGAGAGAAATTTATGTATTACTGAAAAATTATTACACCAGGGTTTTCGATATCACAAACTAGTCAAAACATTTACTAAATTTTATCATCGGTATAAGGACATCATTCGTAAATATAGCTCAACATGCAGACTTCTTATACGTTCAGGTATTTCACATCCAATTTTTTATGGAAATATTCTTTATAAAGCACAAAAATGTCAGTATTCACCTCTGAAGCTAACAAAACCTTTAAATAGACTTATTAAGAAGGGATATAGTTACGATACTGTTGTCAGGTCATTAAAGATTGCATATTTTGGCGTTAATATTGATTCACTTATAGGGTCTTTGCATCGGCACTAAACACATTTACTTAAAAACCAGTTGTTGGCATGACACGGGTTATGTTCTTCTCATATATGTTATGATGGTATGATATTAAACCCCTAACGGGAAGGATTGTGCCTGATATTCATATGATGAAGACATAATCTTTCAATCAGTTTAATTGAAGTCTGGAGCTGGCATGTCAGTTAACTGCTAGTAGTCTGTTGTTATTTATGTATTATTGTCATTTTGTTTATTTTCTTTGGTTACATCTTCTGACATCAGACTCGGACTTCTCTTGAACTGAATTTTAATGTGCGTATTGTTATGCGTTTACTTTTCTACATTGGCTAGAGGTATAGGGGGAGGGTTGAGATCTCATAAACATGTTTAACCCCGCCGCATTTTTGCGCCTGTCCCAAGTCAGGAGCCTCTAGCCTTTGTCATCCTTGTATTATTTTTAATTTTAGTTTCTTGTGTACAATTTGGAGTTTAGTATGGCGTTCATTATCACTGAACTAGTATATATATTTGTTTAGGGGCCAGCTGAAGGACGCCTCCGGGTGCGGGAATTTCTCGCTGCATTGAAGACCTGTTGGTTACCTTCTGCTGTTGTCTGTTCTATGGTCGGGTTGTTGTCTCTTTGACACATTCCCCATTTCCATTCTCAATTTTATTTGTATAAAGCTTTATATCATAAATCATAAGGTAAAAGACCTGGATAATTCATATCTTGTATACAGATGCCTTGTGTTCTGAAGTTCCTGCCTGCCATTTGTCCATGTCCATGACCTAATTTTTATGGTTCAACAACTGTTAAAAAAAAAAACTAAGAGTAATTTCATCACTTAAATTTCTCACGGTATTTTGAGAAATAGGATAATTTTGTTTTGTATATTGGATTCTTGCAAAGTTTACCGGTCCATCTGACCTTGACCCCATTTCATGGATCAGTGATCAGACTTAAGTTTCAGTGGTCCAGTACCAATCCCAGATACTACAATAGCTCAAATATATTTCGTATATAGAATAGAATTGAGAATGGAAATGGGGAATGTTTCAAAGAGACAACAACCCGACCAAAGAGCAGAAAAAAACCTAAGGCCACCAATGGGCCTTCAATGCAGTGAGAAAATCCCTCACCTGGAGGCAGGTTTCAGCTGGCCCCTAAACAATAATGTATACTAGTTCAGTGAAATGGACACCACACTAAACTCAGAAACATAAAAATGAACCAAAACTTAAAAAAAACCACACAAGACTTACTAAGCGACTTGGGACAGGCTAAAAAATGTGGCGGGGTCATACATGTTTTGTGAGATCTCAACCCTCCCCCTATACCTCTAGCCAATGTGAAATAAAATAAAGGTAGAGAACGGAAACCAATTTTGGGACGTACGTACGAACGTACAGACGGACAAGGGTAAAACTTAATGCCACCCTCCGCTACGGTGGGGGCATAAAAACACAAAGCAATACAACTCGTTTAAAAGAAGTCTGAGTCCTTTGTTAGAATATGTAACAGTAGAAACTAAGCAAAATTACAAAGGACTACTAGCAGTTACCGACATGCCAGCTCCAGAGCTCAATTAAATTAATTGAAAGATCATGTCTTCATCATATAAAAATCATGCACAATCCCTCCCGTTAAGTATCATGCCATCATAAATTATACTAGAACATAACTGGTATCAGATGTAAGGTATACATGTCTAACTGTGAGAGATCATCTAACCTTGACTTTATTTTCATGGTTCATTGGTCAATGTAAAGATTTCATGGTTTGGTCTGATTCTCCAATACTGTAAGCAACAAGTAAACTATTTGTTGCATGTAATGATTGTTAGGTGAACATGACCAACTAGCAGATTTCATCTGACCATGACCTCATTTCCATAGCTGAAGTTCATTGGCCAATGGTAAGTTTTTGTGGTTAAGTTTGTTTCTTAGATACTATAAGTAATGAATCAACTTTGTTGTAACTTGAATGGAATATTGTAGGGAGTCTGGTAAGATTCATCTGACCCTGACCACATTTCTGAATCTTGGTCAATGCATTTTCTTATTGTTAAGTCTATTTCTCAGATACTATAAGCAATCGGTCAACTATAGGCAATGTATTGAATGATTGTAAGGCATAGGTCTGGGTTTGATAATTTTTCCAGACATCTTATGAAACAGAAAGTCAATCATTGAAAGTGGATGGTAAGAATATTTTCATTTCACTACACTTCCATTATACTAATAATAGTCAACTTACAAACATAATTTCATATTCAGATTAAAACTGAAGATTTAAATATAGATGGCTTACTTTCACTTCATCAACCTTATTGATATACTATTACCTAAAGTTGCTATTAAACTTCTATGTCATTTGGCTTCTGATGGAAAGTTGTCTCATTGGCAATCATATCACATCTTATTTTTATATAAAGTCCTACTCCTAGATCCTGATCACAGCTTGAAATCTGTCTTTGAAAATCAAAAGAGGTCTTCATAATTATCATGTGAAATATTTTGTTCTTTATAATAATCATATGAACTATTTAATGTTTGATCCACAGATAGAACCAGGTTGTGATAAACCTGTCAATACTATTTATAGTTATATACATGTGAATAAAGCTCTGTTCAACCTCATACTTTATTTGGCCTGTTTAACTTCTTTGATTTGAGCGTCATTGGTAAGTCTTTTGTAGATGAAACGTGTGTATGGCGTACACAATTTCAATCCTGGTATCTATGATAAGTTTTTTTTATCCCTGCATGATAGTAAACAAGGAAGTAATATTATCTGCAATGAAACATATACCGGTACTACTGATATAAATCTTTAAAATCTACAAGTAAACAACAATATAAGAGCAGTAAATGTTTATTTGTTTATTATAACACAATATAAATGATCACATGATTTTTAATGGAATACTTTAACCTACATCTCCTGTAGGAAACTACTTAAGGAAGTCATCATGTTATCTTTCACAAACAGATATAATACATACAATAAATTAGTAAACAAATGTAAAAAATGTACCATGTGATTTGAAGATAAGTAGATAAATTAGGAACTGAGTAAATTAGAGTGTTATCTTAACATGTTATATTACTGAGGGCCCTGATGGGTTATTTTCGTTTTTCGTGATCGGCTCATTTTCGCTATCGTGATCCGTTTTTCTACAGATTTTTTTTTTTTTAATATTTTCGTGATCCGTGATCATGGAAATTTATTTTCTGTGAATCGTGATTGACAAAAAAATCAACTCGTGAATCGTGATGAGACCCCCCATCAGGCCCCTCATTACTGGAAAGAAAATAAAATGGTCCTTATCATATGAATCCATTGTTAAGTATGAACAAAGGAAGATAACTCCAATTTCAATATTACCTTAATGGGTATTTTTAGAACTGAAAGCATTACTTGAATTTCTTGAGTATATATAAGCCATTAAAATAGGTTTGAAAAATACATGGATAAAATAACAAAGCACTATGTATTTGGTCTCTCAAAAGTAGTGACGAAGTGTAGAAAATATATCCTTATCAAAACTAGTCCCATATTATAAAGAGTTTTGCCACTGCCATCCCCAAAGGAAAAATAAATTATTTGCCACTCCACAGTTAAGGGGCAGTACTGTCAGGTATGAAAACAAAAAATCATTTAGTTCAAAACATGTACAGAGTGAGCAAAGACAAAATGGATGAAACACAAGAATCGGCAATTTTTTTTGCCTGTAATGCAGAGAGAAAAAAAGTATGTTTGGTAATAGAATTCTCCATGATGATTAAACAGCAATTAATTTTAATATTATCAAGAAATTCCTTACCAAAACTTCATCTAAATTCCCAAAAAGAAAATACCCTGGTATTCAATAAATTCATTTTAACTGTTTTACGAGCAGAAATGCTAGTAAAACTTACAATAAATGACAGATATAAAATATACAAATAGTATATATATATACAGTAGAAATAATTACAAATAAATAATAGGATTTCTACAATTAAACAATAAAAGTTCATATAAACTTCACAACCATTCAGTATAATAAATGTATGAATGAGTTCTTCAATCTTCATTCATAGTACAGGATACTCACATTGAATTAGTACAGGATACTCACATTGAATTAGTATTGGATCTGAGTATTAAGTTTGTATTAGGATCAATTTTTAATCCAAAGAGTTTTAATGTCTAAGGAATAAAAATTTAGCACTATAATATATGGGTCCCTTCCATTTTGAAATTAATAAAAGAAAATCTTTTTCTGCTATCAACCTTTTTTTTAGAGAGAGAAGGAAGCGGAGAACAATATTTTACTTCTTATCAAACAAATAAAAATGTTTAAAAGTAAGAAAAATCAGTCATGTGATGATATATTTTACAATTAATATTATATCACTATTCTATCTGAGAATGCTCAACCCTCCTTTGATCTGCAACAATTATACAAAATAAGAAAACTAACTTCAGAATCAGTCAAGGTGGTCTTAGTCTTGTAGATCAGAACTTAGGTTAGTAGCTGCTACCGAAATTACAAACTACAGAAGTATTGAACTTAATTCCTTCCAGTAATTGAGAGCTAGATCAAATCTTAAGTTCAGCTGATAGATAGACAGATATCGTTTTCCAAGACAAAAGAAAAAAAATCAGTACCCGTCCATAAATCTTATACCAATCTTGGTTCTATACCTACTTTGGATTCATTATTATTTGTGGCATACTTATTTTCAGGGATTTCGTCGTTAAAGATGAACCATGAAATTTATATGTTTAATAATTCACACGTTTTCTAAAGGCTGGTATGCAGACTTTGGCAAAACCACGATATCAAATATCCACAAAAACACAATAATCCTCAATCCACGAAAATATGTACCAACAAGAATAAATAAATCCAGTTTTTGAAAATTTAAAACTATTGTTCTTTCACACTACTCATGCAAACCATATTCACGTATGAATATTGCACTTAATTAATGAAACAACTAATAAGAATTTATATGGTAAAAATTCTAGCAATATAGTTCTACACAACTAGAAATGCTTTATGAGGTCCCACAACAAAAATTGCTTATGTTCTAGCTTTAGAGTAAAACTATATTTTATCTTATAAATTCTACCTAGATTTAAACAGATTCTGTTTAACTAATGTCAATAGATATTCTTAAAATACATATATTCTAGCCAACAATGTGTAAAACAATATAAAGTAAAGGAAACATAATTAAATGTTGGATACAAGAGATATCACAATAAATACTACAAAGTCATTTTTGTGCCTTTAAAGTAAGAAAATTTAATAAATAGATACAGAATAATTGTTATAAATAGACTAAACATTATATTCTTCAAAGATTAAACAATTAATATACAGTAGATTCATTATCATTCATTGGTTACCAATTATCATGGATCTCATGGATAAAGGTGAACCACAAATTTAAACGTTCAACAAAGTATAAGCTTTCTATAGACTTGTTTTCAGACTTTAACAACAATATGTAATCAAATAGCCACGAAAATATAATTTCTCCTATATCATGTATATCCACGAAATTTGGTACCCACAAAAAAATAAATGAATCCAGTCATAACAAATTTCAGGGAAGGGGTATATTTTATTAGTACTGCCAGCTTACATAACTGCATTACATCCTGATACAATTTTTAATGTATAATGGGTAATAATTTGTTCTAAGTTCTCTTTTGGTTAACTCTGTCTATTGACTCCATTTTCAGCTACTTTTTCTGGAGCTTTCGGTGAATCTTCTCCTGCACCATAACTTTTGGCCTCTGGTTTTAGTGTAGTGGATTCGGTAACATTATCGTTACCTGGAGCTGGGATAGGTATAGCCCCACCCTGGGGTTGTGAGGTCACTGGTGATTCTTCGGGTGTGGAACTGAATTCATCCTGCAAAGGAGTCTGGAAATTAACAGAATATACAATAACCTGTAAATTTTGAAGTTTGCAACATTAATTAAGTTTTGTTGAAAGATTCATTAGCAGCTGTAATAATGTTATTTAAATCAAAAGAGACGTTCAAGTCTACAATGGGTTTGCCAAAGCTGGCATGTTGAAATCCTGAACATGAGAAGTATCTATATGGGAAAAAAGAAGAGTCTGTATGTCTGTGAACAGACCTAATCATAAACCAAGAAAGTTTAAGTTCAAAAGTAATGAAACTTCACTCAGAGAACAAAACTTACATGTAAATTTGCGTAGTCCTCCTCAGGATGTTCTGGTCGACATTTTCCACAGCAGCAGCAACAGCAAAGACAACAATAACAGCATGTTATCAGACCACAACATACAAAAAATGCCTACAAACAGAAAAAAATAAATATTATTTGTCTATACCTGAGAATTTAACATTTGCCAATAAATATTGTTTTATACTTTTCATATTTGTTTAAACCTATTGGTATAATTGTAAAAAAATACTTGTCTACAATGTAGGTTAGAAGGATAATAAAGAAACCGAAGAAGGCTAGTGGCCAAAATGTCTAAAAAATGGTTGAATTACTTTAATAAGAAACATATCTAAATAACACACTAAAAGAGGAATCAACAGACATCAACTAATTGGTTGTCTACAGCACAGTTCACTTTCATATAATATGTCTTCATTTTACATAGATGTGAGTTTCCAGGATGCCCCATACATCTATAAGCCATAGCACAGACTTATAATATGCATATCTTTATTGTAGACAATAATGCACTGTTCATTTCTAAGATAACCACTTACTTTACACCATTTACTGGTAAGCATCAAATATACATTAACATTTTCTTCACCAAACTGGTCAGCAGCCCATAGTCCCATAGATCCATATTCATCATATATTTGGCGCCGTGTTGTGTCTATTAATACTGTGTGGGCATGGCTTATTTCTTTAAACTGTGAAATATAACAGTAATTAATGATTATTTAACTGAAAACATTGGGAGCTCACATCAATAGATATAAACAATTCACCAAAGTTTCATGCAAATTGGTTAAAGCGTTTTTGAGTTTTTGTCCGACATGTTGACGCGGACGGACAGACAGAGGTATACCATAATATGTCCCGTAAACGGGCGTATAAAAATGTAAAAGCAACTATCTTGCAAATTTAAGGTCCATCAAGTGAAAAAAAAGCATGTTAAAGCAACTGTCTTTCCATGTTTTATTAAACATTTTTTTAAATTCCAAGCAAACTTAGGAAATGTACATCAAAAGACATTTACTGTCTCATTAATGTTTATCTCTCATCTCCTTTTATTCCAAAAATAAACATATCATCAGACAAGGATATTCCCCCATTCATCTCCCTTATTCTTTATACTGGTCTTCTATATTTCATAATTCAAAATTTTGATGTTTCTCTCATAACAATTTCAAGATCCTAATGTTGTTTGAAAAAATCATCAATCCCTTAAACCATTAAGCTATTTTGGGAATCAAGTAATCGAATTCTATTAGGAATGCTATTTGCAAATCAAAAAAGTTATTTCCATTAGTGCAATTTTTCCCAAGGGAAACTTTAATTCACAATCAGTTATAACAAAACATGTTAGTATTCACTTTCTTCAATTTTAGAGAAAATCACCAGGGATTCTTCAAAATCAATAATAAACTGCATGTCATTTTTTTCATTATTTTGTATGTGTTACTCCAAGGACCTGTAGTCATTGTAAGAAGACAGTCTAGAATTGACCGATTTGCTTTACTGAAGCCTAATATATTACATGAAACTGTAATCAAATTAGAAATATACCAATATTTACACAGTAGAAGTGAGTCCCCTGATAAACCCAATATTAATTGGCCCTAGGAACCAAAGAAACAACATTCAGTGGTAATCTTCTGTAGAAACATACACATGTTTTCAGTAGTTTTCAAAATATTTGTAGAGAGTCAAAAGTGGCTCTTTAAAACAAACATCATACCATCTCATTTTGTATTGTCTGTGTGAGGTTTCAAGCAAACACTGACCACAGATTTCTGTTTTATTAACAACAATATATAAAAAAGAAATATTTTTTTTGACCATATAGGTCAAATTTTAGAAATTTTCTGGGTTCCCGATCAATTACTTCTATGACATGAGTTTTGAACGTGATAGAACATTTGACTGTTGCAGACGATTCCAATTTTAATAGCATAACATTACACCCCTCAATTTGAGAATCGACTAAGCTCTCCATCAGGGTATTTATACTCAATCATTTAATCTCCATCAGGGTATTTTATATTTTTAATCTATACTTAAATCAAATGACATTTCAATTGATTTTAGATTGCATTCAACTTCAATAATATATCTTTACTTTTCTATTAGAATTTACTTGAATGTGAAAAAAAGACTAACGTGCGACGTGGTAAATTAAATTGAAATATGTCCTTAAAATGACCCGTTGTTTCGTAATTGTTTTAACTGGGTTTTTTTTTTTTATGATTTGACTGTTCTGTCTTTTAAGATTTGACTGTTCTGTCTTTTATGGTTTGACTGTTCGATCTTTTATGATTTGACTTTGAAAAAAAGTTCAATGATAATTTACTTTTTCTATGTCCCTAATACGCTTCTGTATTTTACCGCTGCACAGTTGATTGTGTAGTTTTTCGATTTAATAATTTGAAGGTACTGAAATTTACCTACCTAATGTTTCATAATGTAGTTCTTCAAAACTGTTGTAAACATGATTTTAGTACCTTAATTTTACACTACTAGATTTAGGAGATAACTGTATTGTATTTTAAGCTTGGCCTTGGTAAAACGTAGATTTTACTGTCGCAAATTGAGTTTACCTAGCGACAGGTAGCAGAGCTAGATAAATGGATATTTGCGACAGTAAAATCAAGTTTTACGAAGGCCAAGCTTAAAATACAATACAGTTATCTCCATTTTAATGCCAACTATTAAAATAAATTTCATTTAATAAATATTTTAGCTTAAAATGCCATAAATGAAAAAGTCCACAAAACTGTTGCATCGCCTTTGTATCTAAACAATGTGACGTCATATTATACTCCCGATGTCAAACATAAACACTAGACGTATTTATAATTTTCGTACGCTTCTGAATGGTTTCAATATTGACAAAATGAAGATTTTGAGGCACAAAATGTGACTTTCTTGTTATTTTGAAAAAAAAATCAGATACACAAATTTTAAAAGAATTGAGAATAACAAATGAACAATACTTCTAGGTATACAATCCAAAGATTCTCAATAATCATTTATTGTACAATGTATACTGGCTGGTTTGGGTGAATTTAGTTTTTCTTTATTCAGGTACTTTTTATAAAATGGTTCTAAGACAAGTCAATTTCTAGGAGAACTTGTTGGGTTTAAAGGGCTATAGTCAGTATAGATTCCTGAAATACCAGTATGTAGAATACCATATATTATGTAAGCTGGAAAACTTGGTTACAATTTACTACAAATATAGTAAAAAATGTTTCTTTCTGGATGTTAAATTGCTCACTTACATGTATTAAACATGCCTAATGAAAATCAGAAATGATAATTTATAATAAAACCTTGGTACTTTGGTCATTCTCTTTAATTGTTTTTAATCAAAACTGTCTAAAAATGAATCAATTGATAACTGGCTATCAGCCTAGTACAGACACCAATTTATGTTTGTCTTATTGTCAATAAATCATCTACTAGTGCTGTAATCCTAGGCTAATTTTCTTTCTACATAAAAATTATGTCACAAAAAAGCTCTCAGGGGGGATGTATATACATGTTGCATTTCTCACTCTGAGTTGATCAATGAGCAAGGATACAGTTTATAATCAATGTATTTATCACCTACAACTAATCAATGTTAGGTCTATTGTTACAGATACATATGTTTACTCTCCAATAGATAATACAAATACTTCATTAAATATCAATAAAACATGCATTCATGTCTATCTTAAATAACTTTGTAAATTTCAGTTTTTTAATCATACTTTGTGGGAACACATTTGGTGTGTGTAAATAAAAGGAGATGGGTGGTAAATATCAACGAGACAGGAACCCAACATCACAAATTAACCAAATAGAACCACATCATACGAATGTTGTACTAACATTTTACTGAATTAACTATTATTTCATAGATTAAAAGGAAATAGCCAAGTTTTATCAAATTGCTCAGATTAAACATTCAAATGTAGTAGAAAATTTGAAAATTAATTTACCCCCAAATTGTACCTCCTTTAAGAACTAAACAAAATACTTTCCATAGCTATTTTCAAATCAACAATAATATACAAATAAATACATAAGAAAATACTCTTGACAACAGAACTAAGATAAGGAGTTTCAATTTCCTTACCTTTTCTGAGGCAGATGGATCATCTGGATTTTTATCTGGATGAAACTTTAAAGCCAACTGAAATAAAAGACAAAAATTCACTTATCTCTTACATGTCTTATTTGCATTGGAAAATTTCATTGCAAAAGTGTTGTCTTTAAATACAAATACATATTAATATTTTACCTATATAATAATGTTAATCATTTATTTATATTCAACTCTAGTGGTACCCTGATGTCACATTATCCTGTGATGGTATGTGTCTGGGTTGAAATTAATTAAAATGTAGTTGATTACACAAATTTTGCCAAAAATGACTACCATCTTTTGGTATGTATAGTGCGCACATTTATACCCTGGGTCGTGTTTCTTGTAAAAGGGGTGCACATTATACATGCCTACAAACATTTTCTTAGTCTTTTCAGGTCCGAACTCGGACAAAGAAAAAAACAGGTGAAGTGAAGAGCACGGAATTTTTCGCTAATACCTCGACTTTTATTATGTTTTACATGTTATATTTGTAATATGTATCTTAGTGTACTTGATATGTCATGTTTTATTCAAATAAAATACATTTTATATCTCTGTAGTTACGTTTATCGTGTAAATTTGTCCATCTGTTTGCAATCCGGAAATTTGCCATGTCTTAATAAAGACACAATGAAGCTTTTGTTGTCGGTTAATTTAGGCTCTGTGTTTCTTGTGGTCATAACTTACTGTTTGTGTATGTGTTCATCGTGGAGAGTAGAAGATAAGAGTATGAAAATTGAATAAACCACGCTCGTTTTGAAAAGATAAACCGCCATTTTTTATTTAATGTATCAGGTGATCGCCAGTCATGTGACTTAATATTGTAAAGTGATGATTTAGTCTATGAGAAGTTTTTTTTTTATAAATACGTTTTTACTTTGTAACAACTGTTTAAAACCGTTCAAGAAATTATGATTGAAAACATGATTATTCCATAATTGTGACCTGAATGAATTCAATTAGGAACAAGGTGAACCTGTCATTGATTGTTTTGACATCGATTAGACCCATTGATTGAGGTGTGATAATCCGGATTAACAGCTAGAATCAAAAAATAAAAATTATGAGATTTTAACAATTTATTTCAGCACTAATTCATAACATAAAATTAAATAATACGATTTCGTATTAATTACGTATTCCGTACGGAATTCACCGACATCGGTGACCATTTATAAAACTTCCAGTTTAGACTTCCTGTTTGCCAACAAACGACAAACATTAACTTGTGGGTTATAAAAAGTAGATAACTATTAAAATTCTTTATTCAGCTACAATAAATTCTTTCCATGATATTAATCATGACTTCTCATTAATTCCTTGCAGAAAAAAAATCACGCAGAAGCAAGATTTTACCGATTTTGGAGCTGTGACTTTTCCGAAAATATCTGTGTATCATACGAAGAGGAAACTTTTTTTCTCAAGTTTCTTGGACCATAAAGGGGGTGCGGTGCGCACAATACACAAATGCACACTATACATACCAATAGAAGGTACATGTATGTTCCCAATAAAGTATTCCTCAAATAATTCCATAATCATAATAATAGCAGGAGACGTTCATTACGCAAAATAGGTATCCACTTTTCCCTGCTGCTTGCCTACCTGATCTACAGTATAACCTCAATTTGTGCAACCTGGCTAAACAGGATAAATCCACACCCAATGCTCTTTAATGAAGAAGACTTTTTGCTGCTAAGACCATGAAGACAGATAGGCTTTAGTGAATCACTCTGACTGGTGTATAAATTAAACATTTGTCTTAATAGAGGTAAGCTGGAATGATCTGTACAGGATGTCCATTACACTTTCAAATGAACTTTTGTCTTCTTAAAGTATTCATCTTATATTCCCAGGTTATAACCAATCACTAGAAAAGTTCTATCCAACCTTTTTTGGCAAAAATTTTAATGATTTAATTGACTATTAAGGATTTAAGCAACATTATTAATTAACTACACTGTTATTGGACTTAATATGATGAAAAGTGCCTATGCAATATAAAGGTGTCAACTCGGCCAATACAGAATAACTCGGCCAATATAGATTTTTTTTCTGTATTGGCCGAGTTCTGATCCGGCCAATACAAGATTTCGGAACGTCTCTAGTTTTTAGATCGAAAGTCACGATAAACACAAACTGAAAGTAAACAGTTGTTTGGAAGACGCAGTTTTCATTTACTCACCATAAACATGCTGAAACGTTCAGTATGGCATATATTTCAGGCTAAAGAAGGTCACATTCATTTAAAAAGCATTTTGAAAGCAGACGATGGAATTATTTCAGGTTTGGGGAACGAGTAGATTATCACAAAGTTCATTTCTTGTCGACCTCATAATTTCACGATGGTACAAATCGATTTACTGTTTACTTTCGCTTCTCATGTTTTGTAAACTGTCATTTATTTTTAAACCCGAACCAGGCATATGAATTCTGGAAGGGTGACCTGTAATTGTGCAAATCTTCCCTCTTTGGTCAGTTAGCTTATGGATAGTTGTATCATTTTCAACTCCTACATTATTTTTTTTTTTAGATATATTCAATTTGTTTCTGCATAACACATGCAATGGCAGTACCTTTCCAATTACTATTTATGTGTTGTGTCTAAATTTAAATTATAACACTTTATAGTGACTGGAAAGGGTAGAAAAATTCATCAGATGAGAAAATGCTGAAGACACCTGGAAACGGCACCAGATCATTAGATATTGCATCTTATAAAAAGAAACTTAGATTTTGATAGTTCCTCTTCAAGGTAAAATGTTTATCTCTTGTGAAATGAAATTAAAAAAATATTGTAACACTGTAGTTAATTAATAAAGATACTATTACGTGTATTTCTGTATTGGCCTTGTTATTTGTCCTCGGCCAGCTGTATTGGCCTTCGGCTTCGCCTCAGGCCAATACAGCAAGCCTCGGACCAATAACAAGGCCAACACAGAAATACTCACGTAATAATATCATATTATTGCCCTTACCAATCACTTAAATTTATTTAAAAGTATCTCTACCTTGTAGTGTTAATGTCTATAACAATAAACTGTTAACACAGAGATATGTCTCGCCTATTTGTTATTTTGATAATGCAAATGTTGAAATTAAAATAGCAATACTTTAACATGTAAATTATGCAAATATTTAAAGTCAATGAACCATGATTGAAGGTACAGGGCTAAACAATCTCCATGGAAATGAGATGTGCCAATGCTAATACAACTGCAAACCAAATACCATTGACTTTTCATAAGTTGTTCCCTTTAAACAAACCTAAACACAAACATTAACTTGTAAACTATGTAAAAGTTTCAAAGTCAATGGACCATAATAAGGGGGTGGGGTTATATAATCTCCATGGAAATGAAACTTGCAAATGCCAATACATTTGCATACCAAATATCATTGACTTTACATTAGTGGTTCATCTTAAACTGACCTAATCACAAACTAATACATGAAAACTAAGCAAAAGTTTCAAAGTCAATAGACCATGAATGAGGGGGCGGGGCCAAATAATCTCCATGGAAATGAGATATGCCAATGCTTATACAACTGCAAACCAAATATCATTGACCTATCACTAGTGGTTCCCCATAAACTGACCTAATCACAAACTAATACATGAAAACTAAGCAAAAGTTTCAAAGTCAATAGATCATGAATGAGGGGGCGGGGCCAAATAATCTCCATGGAAATGAGATATGCCAATGCTTATACAACTGCATACCAAATATCACTGACCTATCACTAGTGGTTTCCCATAAACTGACCTAATCACAAACTAATATATGTAAACTAAGCAGTTTGAAAGTCAATAGACCTTGACTGAGGGGGCTGGGCCAAATAATCTCCATGGTAATGAGATGTGCCAATGTTAATACAACTGCATACCAAATATCATTGACCTACCACTAGTGGTTCACCATGAACTAGACCTAATCACAAACAAATACATTGTTGACGCCACCGCCGACGCCGAAAACAGCATACCTATGTCTCACTTTTTGACTCTGTCAAGGCGAGACAAAAATGGCCAGGTCATTTTAAAATTGAATCTTGAACTTTTTACTTACCCTGCGATAAGCCTTTTTGATATCATCATGTGTTGCTGTTTTTTCTAAACTTAGTAATTCATACAGTGAGTTACCAGAACTCCTAATAAAAGAAAAAACAAAATATTATTAAAGACAGTCTCATCAATTCATCTGATGACTTCAGTAGTTTATTTTCCAGAATTTTGATTTGTGTTGCTCAATCTTTAGCCTTCTGTGTAGCGTTTTGAGTACTGATGTTTATCTTTTTTTGTCTTTTTCTCTTTGGCCATTGTCACATGATGTCTTTTTTTTCATTTGACAATTTATGATTTTTGATTGCCCCCTTGGTATCATCCCCCTCTTTTTTACAGACAAATCTTCAGTTTAACACAGACTTGGTGAATTTTTGGTAACTTATCCTACATATATATGATATAAACATATATGAATTAAGGTAAAGTCAATGTATATCTGGTTCATGAAATCTATGATTTTATGTTTAGTTTCACTGTAGATGGATCTTAATATAACAATAAGGTATGGTTTAAAAATGTTTGTTCAAGTTCTAAAAGGGAAATAGTGTGTCTTATTTTCAACCATTACATTTGTACATGTACATTTTTTGTGCCTGCCAGAACTCCAGATGTATGGAAAGACGCTGTCTTTGTAAAATGGACTGGTTATAGGTGTGACTTCTTCTGTAAATTTTCCAGGCTTTTTTTTCAGCTGTGATAAGGGATTCAGTGGGCAGCCAAATCAGAAAACCCCTTCATATAATAGTAAAATGTGGGATGATTGCCAATGAGGCAACTATCCACCAATGACCAAAATGACAAAGATGTGAATAACTGTAAGTCATCATACAGCCTTCAACAATTAGCAAAACCCATACCACATAGCAAGCTTTGACTGGCCCAGACATGACTAAGAATTACATTCCTACTTTCCCAAATAAATTTCATGAATGTGTAGGTTTGTTTAAATTAAACCAGATATAAAATTGGTGAGTCTTTTTACCACAGAACCTTTTGATAATACCACTATTGACCACAGAACACTGAAGATAAAACTCATTTTACCTTTTTAGACTTGAAAAAATCTGAAAACTTCGTAAAAATTCTGACAGAAAGTTTTATAAATTATTTATCATAATGGCCATAACTGAATGAAACATCCTTTACTGAAAGTATTCTGTCCTAACTACTGATATTTTTCATTAATAATAATAGTTTAAATTCCATCCAAAGAAGTCCTAACATTCAGAACAAGAGAGCACATGGTGATGCTGAAATGTCTCACCTGCTTTATTGACCACTGATTATATGTGAAAGTCTACATAAACTTTTAAAACATATTTAAAAATCCATGACAATGAGGTCAAGGTCAGATAAATGCTGTCAGACAGACATGTACACCTTACAATTATTTCATACACCAAATATAGTTCATCTATTTCAGTCATTCCCAAGGTCTGTCAGATATCTGGTATTGTCCAGTCAAATGTCATCAATTTCTGAACCAAATGACCAGTGTAGATGTACATTTGTAGGAATTTTGAAATACTCATAATGTACACTACTGCTAAAACACTGACTTGATCAGTATGCTTTCAAGAACAATTACTGGACCAAAAGACCACTGAGGTCCAAAAACCTTTGGAACCTCTGCTGTTGCTTATGGTAATTGAAAACAGACCAAAACACAAAACATTGACCAATGAACTATGAAAATGAGGTCAAGCCCGTCAAGGTCAGATTATACCTGTCTGACAGACATGAACACCATACAATCAAAACAGACCAAAACACAAAAACTTAGGCCACCCTTAAGAAATTCTTTGTTTGATGTTGCCTACCCATGCCTTCTAGGGTTGGGTAGGTAGGTAGGGATTTTGTTTTTGGCTTACAGCATAAGTTACATGTTTTAGACAAAAAAATAATGTTAGAGCAGGAAAAAATCTTTAAAAAAATAAATTTGAGACAATTTGTGTCACAACATTTTTCAGGTAGGCTGCTTTTTACAAATTTAGGTGGGTACAATGTAGGTATGCAAATATAAAAAAATAGTTGTTCATCAAACAATTTTAAATTTTATTTTTGGCCTTAACAATGACCAATGAGGTCAAGGTCACATGATTGATACCTGCCAGACAGACATTTACACCTTAAAATCATTCCATACACCAAATAAAGTTGATCTATTGCTTATAGTAATTGAAAAACAGACTAAAACACAATAAAATGCTTCGCTGGGGCGCAGCTTGATACGACCGCAGAGGTTGAACCCTGAACAGTTGGGGCAAGTATGGACACAACATTCAAGCTTGATACAGCTCTGAATTTGGATTGTTATTAAATATTTGACACAGCATAGGTTTCTGACACAGAAAGAATGTGGTTTAAGAACTTGAATTTTTTTAATTTACCTATTATGGTCCAATGTCCAAAATCAAAATACATGGTTAGATTCAGCATATCAAAGAACCCCATATATTCAATTTTTGTTAAAATCAAACAAAGTTTAATTTTGGACCCCAACTTGGACAAACTTGAAAACTGGGCCCATAATCAAAAATCTAAACACATGTTTAGATTCAGCATATCAAAGAACCCCAAGAATTCAATTTTTGCTAAAATCAAACTAAGTTTAATTTTGGACCCTTTGGACCTTAATGTAGACCAATTTAAAAAACGGGACTTAAAATTAAAAATCTAAATACACGGTTAGACTTGGAATATCAAAGAACCCCAATAATTCAATTTTTGATGAAATCAAACAAAGTTTAATTTTGGACCCTTTTGACCTCAATATGAACCAATTTGATAGCGGGGCCCACAAATAAAAAATCTAAATTCATGGTTAGATTCAGCATATCAAAGAACCCCATATATTCAATTTTTGTTGAAATCCAAAAAGGTTTAATTTTGGACCCCCAACTTGGACCAACTTGAAAACAGGGCCCATAATAAAAAATCTAAACACATGTTTAGATTTTGCATATCAAAGAACCCCAAGAATTCAATTTTTGTTAAAATCAAACTAAGTTTAATTTTGGACCCTTTGGACCTCAATGAAGACCAATTTAAAAAACGGGACCCAAATTAAAAATCTAAAAACACGGTTAGATTTGGCATATCAAAGAACCCCAATAATTCAATTTTCCATGAAATCAAACAAAGTTTAATTTTGGACCCTTTTGACCTCAATATGAACCAATTTGATAGCGGGGCCTACAAATAAAAAATCTAAATACATGGTTAGATTCAGCATATCAAAGAACCTCATATATTCAATTTTTGTTGAAATCAAACAAAGTTTAATTTTGGACCCCAATTTGGACCAACTTGAAAACTGGGCCCATAATCAAAAATCTAATACATGTTTAGATTCAGCATATCAAAGAACCCAATATATTCAATTTTTGTTGAAATCAAACAAAGTTTAAATACTGGACCCTATCTTGGACCAACTTGAAAACTGGGCCCATAATCAAAAATCTAAACACATGTTTAGATTCAGCAAATCAAAGAACCCCAAGAATTCAATTTTTGTTAAAATCAAACTTAGTTTAATTTTGGACCCTTTGGACCTCAATGTAGACCAATTTAAAAAACAGGACCCAAAATTAAAAACCTAAATACACGGTTAGATTTGGAATATCAAAGAACCCCAATAATTCAATTTTAGATGAAATCAAACAAAGTTTAATTTTGGACCCTTTTGACCTCAATATGAACCAATTAGATAACGGGGTCCACAAATAAAAAATCTAAATACATGGTTAGATTCAGCATATCAAAGAACCCCATGTATTCAATTTTTGTTGAAATCAAACAAAGTTTAATTTTGGACCCCAATTTGGACCAACTTGAAAACTGGGCCAAAAATCAAAAATCTAAATACATGTTTAGATTCAGCATATCAAAGAACCTCATATATTCAATTTTTGCTAAAATCAAACAAAGTTTAATTTTGGACCCTTTGGACATTAATGCAATTTGAAAACTAGACCCAAAATTAAAAATCTAAATACACTGTTAGATTCGGCATAACAAATGAATAAATGTGATCAAAGATTTTACAAATCTAATGCGCCATACTGTGCAATTAAAGATTACTTCTTGAAATTTTTCAATATTTGAAATTTGAAAAAAAAAAAATATTTGAAGAATAATTCTTTTTAATTTCTGAAATCTGAAATGAGAAAAAATTGGACCCCCACAATTTCTTTTTATCCCCCCCCCTTTTTCCCCCCAAAAAATTCTTTCCCTCAAGATATGGTCATAATCTCAATTCAAATTTCCAATGGAGTTGGCAACCATAATGCTAACTTAATCTATTTTATAATAGAATTAATAAAAATATAGTGTCAAATCTTTCATATGGATTTTTTTGTAAAAAAAAAAGATGAAAACATATGCAGATATTTTTACTGGTCTTCCTTTATAAATATGCATTTCTTTAAACATAATTTAAAAGCAGTGTAAGGGAAGTAACCAAAACGTTGTATTTGGATTACCTCCCTTACACTGTTTTAGATTATCTTTATTGTTCATTAACCATTACTTTATACATAATTTAAAAGCAGTGTAAGGGAGATAATTTCAATGATGTATTTGATTTATCTCCCTTACACTGCTTTAAATTATGTTTTGTACTAAAGTATTTGTCCATTAACCAGGACAACCTTGTTTTTCCCCCTTTTTTGCCCCTAATTCCTAAACGGTTTGAGCCATAACCCCCCAAAGCAAATCCTAACCATCCCTTTGTGGTATGGAAACTTGTAGTATAATTTCAGAGAGATCCATACACCGTTCCACAGTTATTGTCTGGAAACTAGAAAATGCTCATTTTTGGCCCCTTTTTGGCCCCTAATTCCTTAACTGTTAGTACCATAACCCCCAAAATCAATCCCAACCTTCCTTTTGTGGTATTTAACCTTATGGTCAAATTTCAAAAAGATCCATTCACTTAAACTATAGTTAGAGTGCGAAAACCAATATGTATTCGGACGACGACGCCGGACGACGACGACGACGACGCCAACGTCATACCAATATATGACCACAAAATTTTTTTGCGGTCGTATAAAAACCAATGAACCATGAAAATGACGTCAAGGTCAGATGAAATCTACCAGACTGACATGTACTCCTTACAATCATTCCATACACCACATATAGTTGACCTACTGCTTATAGTATTTGAGAAACTGACCTTATGACATGACTTTAAACTTGATCACTGATCCATGACATGAGGTCCAGGTCAGATGAACCCTGTCTGACAGACATGTAGACCTTGCAAGGAACCCTCATACCAAACATAGTTATCCTATTACTCATAATAAGGGGGAGAAATTCACATGACAAAAAACTGTAATTTTGTTAAAGCAGTTGCTGAACCATGAAAATGAGGTCAAGGACAATGGACATATGACAGACAGAAACTATTTAACATATTTAAGGTATCTGCATACAAGGTATGAAGCATTCAGGTAATCTATCTTCTGAAATATAAAGTTTTATACGAATAGTTTACACCACCAGATAGTAATCGCTGTCTCGTATACTGCAATCTTTTACTGCAACAAAGGTCGCAGACGAGACAAAAATTATCATGCACTAGAAATAAATTTATAAAAAATGTTTTTTCATCCCTGCCCATAATCCAACAATTAAGAATACGGAAATAATGTATCAAATTAAAGTGGCTTAAAATGATACCATAAATAGCAAAACTCTTTTTGAACAGTTTGTAAGCTTTGAGGGTTGTTTAGGGCTTTAGGCAATTGATTTTCTTTTGTTTCAATTACTTGCACATTTTCCCTGATTCAGGAAAACTTGTATCCTGTGAAGGCTCAGGACTCACCCTGCTTCAGAATCATAGGGAGAAGTGACTTATCTTTTTGAAACTGATAGGGAGAAGTGGTGAGATTCAAAATAGAACTGCTTGTTTGATTGTGGCACTACAATGTTTGGTTTTTACAATAATATAAATGGCTATATGTACATTATGTATCCTATTTGTTTAATTATTTCCTATATTGTTCAATTCATACCTGAGAATACAATTAAAGTATCAGTTGTTTCAGTTTATGTCTTAAATAATCATTTATATATATACAAAATTATATTTTTCCTCTTATCAGAAACTACCTTCTAAATATCTAGCACTAACAAGAACTTTTTTTAAATCAAAAAGGAAAAGAAAGTATCATATATCAATTAAAATTCAATTAAAAAATTATTCTGTTTATCGAGTTTATGAAATTCCTTGTTTCTCATTTAAAAGATATATAAATTTAACTAAGTAAAACGGCTTTAATCAATAAATTGAAACATCATAATTATTTTCGACATTCTCTGGATTTATCATTACACATAGCAATGAATGAAAACATTTTCAGCTTCTTTTTGATAGCTGAGGGATAATTCTGATGATAACAAGACTCAGCTAGTGTTATCAGGTCGCGTCCAGCAGACGCACGGGTTCATCCAATGATGCGTCCAGGACGCATATTTGTCCCTTAATGAGATCCTGTTAGTACGGCTAACACGGGTTTCATCTTCATATGACTGATCAGTGGTGCACGAATTAAAACAGTTGGAACAATGGAAGGCCAAATCATTTAGGTAGTTGTCATTTTGACGTAAATGTAGGTTGCCACTGTCTTTGTTTTTGAGCTAATTGTTATTATGGCAAGCATAGTACAACATTCTCATTTATTTATTTGATGATAATTTAAATTTAATGTGGTCTTTCATTAAATCACCCCATGATCATATCCTTAATCTGGTGGTTCTAATCAAGGTTTTAAGACGTATCTTGATACAACTTGGAATTAGTAATTTTTTTTTTTTAAAGTAGGTCTGGCAAAACTGTCTTACATGCAGGATCCAATGTCTGACAGGGAACAAAATTTATTTGCATCTCTGAAGAGTATGGATTTGGGACATCTGCAAACAATAGGTGATTTAAACAGTATAACTGAGTGGACCTTATTAAATGAAACTCATGTGTTACAGTAACTGTTAGTTTATTTTGATATCGTCTGCAGACTGGAAAAAATGCAATCAAAATCCAGATAAGTTTTTTATTTTCTGAAATATAAATTACATATAACTTTTATATATCTAGGTCCAACCATGCCTTAAAACTTTCCTAGATGCATCAGTTTGTCTGTACTCATAGTACATTTTGTGGTGTAAACACAGCCATATTTTTCAATTCCTTTTGAGGCCAAAATAAATAGTGTGTTTCCTATTTCACCTCGAAAAAAATTAGGTAGGGTAGGTAGGTAAAACATTTTATTTTATGAAAAGATTTTTTTTTTTTTCTACTGATGACAGCAGAAAAAGATTCCAAATGATATCGTCTTGTGTGCCTTCTTCTTTGATATTTAGAATAGTACTTAAATCTACATCTTTTTTAATTTTCTGTTTTAGTTCTGTGTCAGAAATATGAAAATAAACGTTAATGCAAATGTTATGCATTTCATGGGTCGTAATAGGAAAATGTTCTTGCAGATTGCTTCTCTTTAAGCAAAAATGGCAGTGAAAAATCCATCATGGTATATCATTATGTTAGGCCTTGTTGAACCTAACAATGTAAATTACACACAGGGTATTCTGGAAATTATTAGTACCCCCCCCCCCCCCCCCCCCCCTTTTTTTTTAGTATTAAAAACTCTGCAAACTGATGCCAAGCATAATACGATTTTTTGAGGGGTAATACTCTGCCCTTGCACCCTCTTTATCTAATATATAGATGTGTTTTGATGTTTGACAGAATTTAATCTTGAAGAGTTGGTGGTTCTGACAATATTAAAATTCCATGTTTCGAGAAGAGTGAGATTGGGAAATCTTTTGTCTTATTAAATCTATGGCAAATAAATTGCAGATATAAATATGGCATGAACTATTTTCCTTTTCTAGTATAAATTGGTATGGGACCAGCCAGAGAAAATATTAAAGAATAAAAGTAGACATGCTGCCGGGGCAGATTCATTTATAAATGAACATGAATCATACACCATGTATATTTATTTGACAGCTAATACGCTGCACGGTTGTCGAAAGCCATGCTTGTTAATTTAAAATCTTAATCCTTGAAACACTTTACTTATCCATATTGGTCATTGCTATCAAACGTTTTGAAAATCTGTAGTTTTCTAAACGAATAGATCTGGACAGACCGAAAAATCAGGATTTTTAATAATTTTTTTTTATTTTTGTCAATAAAATGTTTAGGGTCGGCGTCAGAAACGGAGGTAGGGTCGGGAAACCGGAAACACACTATTTATTTATTTTGGCCTGATGTCAGAACCTTAATTACCATGCAATAACCTGGGGAGTTTATCGGCAATGACCTGCCTTATATCTTTTAAATATATATTGAAGTATAAATTGGATGTTCTATGTTATATATTACAGGAGTTTTGTGGCAATTTCTGTGGTAAAAAGCTTAAGGAGCACCCAATAAAATCCTGTAGAAATCACACAATGGAAAATGACTTTTGCAACATGAAATAAAATAAACTAAAATAATATAACTGAGAAAGTAACGACAACAATCTTTGCACAATGTGAAAATAAAAAAAAGGAGTGTCATATTGAAAATGAAAGCCGGTAAATCGAGTCCCCCTTTTTTGGTGAATTGCCAACCTAACACGTGTGCATATCGGAAAAACTTACGATAAATGTCTGGGTCTATTCATTTCTGTCAACACGAATTAAAATCTGTTGTTTCACTACAAATCAAACCATATTCATTAATGAGTGGGAAGCTGCCTCAGAGAAAAATCAATGACATCAATGATCGTTGTCTGTTCATGATCAGCGCCCTCTGTGATCAAAACATATTCCGGATTTGTTCAACACAACTTTTAGTTTTTCTAATTTATGATAATGTTTATAATTGTTTTAATTCAAAATCAGGATAACAACAACACAGTCAATGAGATATACTAATATAAGAATACTGTATGAGTTATATTTGATAAAATAAAATCATTCAATATCAAGTTCCAAGATTGACCTGAAAACTAATTTCTATCCGGAATTGTTTTATATTTAGGTGCTTATCGTATATGCGTTTGAAAGAACGAAATCCAGCATTTCATCAGAAGCGTTTTGATAACTTCGACAACCGGCTTTGGTAGAAAAATGAAGACCAATCTTTCTTTATTTTGTCTTTTAGTACCAGTTTATGCCATCTTAATCGGTCAGATAAATGGAGATTCCGTATTTGGCTGTGGTGGATTTGTCAAATCTGACGTCGATATAAACTTTTCCTTAGTTGAAGTAAGTTAATTTTTGTTGACAGTAACTTGAGTAAGTTACTAGTTAGTGTCTGAGTATTAGTGAGTAAGCATGGTAAGCTTATAATTAGCTAGCATAATCATAAGAGGACGAAGTCTCCTATAACAGTAGAAAAATCAATAAAAAAAAAATATATATATATAATTTCCAGAATGCTAGTCATTTCGTAACCTGGTCGTTTCATAACTAGGTCGATTCGTAACTGAGACGTTTCATACCTGGTGTCATTATATATGGTTTTAAAGTGTGTCTCTATTAGTTTTGTCTTAATTAATCAGTTAAAGACAATATATATAAATTAATTCACTAGTTTTGTCTCTTGAAGTGTAGATCTCTTAGATATGTCTATATCTTGAAGCCAGAATAAATTTCTTGTGTTTTTTTCATATAATACAGGAAATAATTTAAATAAACTAAAAGTTCTAAAACATGTAAAAGAAGCATCATTAAATAAGACGTGTTGATGTCTGAGTGTAATTAATTGTTTTTTTTTTTTTTTTGAAAAAGACTTGATGCAGTACTTGCGGTCGCTTTATATATATATATATAGTGTACAAAGTTTTGTATTGACTATCATTGAATAACTTATAATATGTTGAGTAGTGTGTTGATGGGTTGAGTTTTCAGTGAATTAGATTTAAGATAGCTACTGGTCAAAAGAAACTGTTTTTATTTAATATCTTGAGTCAAGGTCATAGAACTGTTAACAAACTAATCAAAACATCAATGTTTTAATCCAAGCCAAATGAAAAGCACTCATTATTATCATGATTATGAGACTACTGTAAATACAGAAATTATTCCAATGTTTATATTATTAATGCAAAAAATGCAACAGTATCAGGTTTGCAATAATAAAAACTAACATTCATAATTTCAGTAGTGATTTTCCTTCACAAAATCCTTGCAATTGCATTAAATAGATGTAACATATTTTTACCAGTAATCAGTGATTCGCATTAATAGATGCACACATTAATTTTTGAATTTACTGTAGTTGTTTCATGGTATTGCTTTTTCAAGAATTTTAAAAGATTTTTTTCTCTGCAGTTTCATTGCAACTTTGTTGATGAAATATTGTTTGGTATTATCAAGTGTTTATATTGTTTGTAGGTGAAGTTGTATACCATGCATGGAAGTATAAAGTATCAGACTGACTGTGCTCCAAACACTGGGTACTATCTCATTCCACTGTATGACAAGGCTGACTTTAAGCTGAAAGTAGAACCACCTAAAGGATGGAGCTTTGGTAATTTTTTACTCTCTGTCAATCTCAATGATAAAGTATGTATGCTAAGGGCATGAATATGAAATTTTCTAAAGAGGACTATTATCTACTATTTAGAAGATAGTTTACTAGGGTTATTGTCCTACATAACCTATACTTAATGGCAATAGACAATCAAACTATAATCATTCTGTTGTCCTGCTCTCCCTGTTGAATGTAACCTATACTTAATCGCAATAGACAATCAAACTATAATCATTCTGTTGTCCTGCTCTCCCTGTTGAATGTAACCTATACTTAATTGCAATAGACAATCAAACTATAATCATTCTGTTGTCCTGCTCTCCCTGTTGAATGTAACCTATACTTAATCGCAATAGACAATCAAACTATAATCATTCTGTTGTCCTGGTCTCCCTATTGAATGTAGCCTATACTTAATCGCAATAGACAATCAAACTATAATCATTCTGTTGTCCTGCTCTCCCTGTTGAATGTAGAAAGATCAATTTCTTATTTGATAATTTGTTAATATAAAAAAGAAATAGATATGGGATACATGTTTATTTACACACATACCACAATTCTAAAATATATAGAGTGAAAGTTAAGTTCACTGGTCTTCAACAGTGAACATGGTGAATGTATACTTACACTAAATGTATAGAGTAAAAACAAACAAGTGAGGTTCTCAGGTCTTCAACAGTGAGTGTATACTCACACTACAATATATAGAGTAAAAACAAACAAGTGAGGTTCTCAGGTCTTCAACCGTGAGTGTATACTCACACTACAATATATAGAGTAAAAACAAACAAGTGAAGTTTGTAGGTCTTCAACAGTGAATGTGTACCCACACCAAATATATAGAGTAAAACAGTGCGTTTATATTTACACTAAATTTAAAGAGTGAAAAAAACTAACAATGAGGTTCTCAGGTTTTCAACAGTGAGTTTATACTCACACTAAATATATAAACTAAAAACAAACAAGTGAGGTTCTCAGGTCTTCAACAGTGAGTGTATACTCACTAAAATATGTAGAGTAAAAAAAAACAAGTGAGGTTCTGAGGTATTCAACAGTGAGTGTATACTCACACTAAATATCTAGACGAAAACAAACAAGTGAGGTGCTGAGGTATTCAACAGTGAGTGTATACTCACACTAAATATTATATATATAGAACTTTTGAAGTTTTATAAAACTACAGTAAATTTGAGATCATATTAGATATTCAGTACATGAACCAGGACTCCAAAATTTACTGTAAAATTTAGTCAGAAAATGGTTCCATATTATATCATATAAAAACAGAGGTGTTTATCCTTCATCAGGCAAGATGTTATACAGGAAGTTGCCTATGCATGCCTACTATTCTCAGACTCTCAGTACAGATGAAAACCACCTGGATCAGATCTGCATACAAATTCCTGATGTGTGTATGCACTGTATGTGTACTGTCTGAACTGGATATCTGACAAAGGACTTGAGTTTTGGTTTAAGAAATTGATAACCAGTCAATGCTACCTCAATCTATATCATTTTGTACTTAAATTACTGTATTGATTTGACTGTTATTGTATTACAGAACCTGAAAGTGTGGAATTGAAGATTGACGGCACCACTGATCCATGCAGTCGTCAGGAAGACATTAACTTTAAGTTTACAGGGTTCTCTGTTAATGGAAAGGTTATAAGTAAAGGACAAGTGAATGGACCTTCTGGTGTGACAGTAACACTTCACAAGTCAGGATCACCAGACATCCTACAGACTGTTACAACAGCTGACGATGGAAGGTAGGTACCTTTAAGTGTGACGGTAACACTTCACAAGTCAGGATCACAAGACATCCTACAGACTGTTACAACAGCTGACAATGGAAGGTATGTACCTTTATGTGTGACAGTAACACTGCACAAGTCAGGATCACAAGACATCCTACAAACTGTTACAACAGCTGATGATGGAAGGTAGGTACCTTTAAGTGTGACAGTAACACTCCTTAAATAAGGATCACCAGCCATTCTGCATACTGCTACAAAATTGAAAATGACAGGAAGGTATCCTCATGTGTGACAGTTAAACTGCTCAAGTCAGAATCACCAAACATTTTGTCGACTATTGCATTGTTGGCAATGCCAGGTTTTACAGTAACGCTCCACAAATCAGGATAATTTGGATATTTTTGGGGAAATTAATATTAACTTACAATTTAGATAACAAAAAAAAAAACAACACACACACAAAAATAACCACTAAACCAGTCTTACACTGGTTTGAAAAGTATGAAATATAGTATTCAACTTTCCTTTGCCTTAAAAATAGATGCCTATTCACAAGTAATGCTTTTCCCAAAAATGGTCTTTTTGTACTAGGGTTTTAAATGAAAATTGATATATATGTATGATATGGTATTCCAAATTGATTCCTGGTGTCAAAAAGTTATCTGTCACCGTTTTGAAAGCCAAAAATTTACCCCAAAAATTCATAGTGCTTGGATTTTAACAAAACTTTATTTCTACCTAGAACAGTTACATACATATCCTGAATTAATTCCTGGTGTCAAAATTTACGAATTTGAATACCAATAAAGTGAATGAACATGTATTTCTTTCTTCACATCAGTATTAATTATTTGATTCTGTGCCTCACACAACAATGTGCAAGCTGGGTCCTTGCTAACATGTCAGTTTTTAGTTTAACACATGTAAGGTAGACATTGAGACAATACATGTGTTCATATCTTTCTTTTATCATATCAAAGAAGTCTTCATGTCATGATTTATAAGCTGCAGATTTATGAAAAACTAAGGTAGACTTTCTGATTGAAACTTGTAGAGAATGTGATAAAAAATTCAAATACTATATAATTTCTTTTCCAGCTACATTTTCACTAAAGTCATGCCAGGGGATTATGACTTAAAAGCAACTGCATCTCCAAAATATAAATTCTTACAGGTAAGAACTGCTTTGTGTAAACATGCATGCATTTATGTTTCTATGACAGAAAAAAACGAGACAGTTGCATATAGAAGCAAGTGTACCATTTCAAAATAAATTTCATTTTTTAATGGATGAAGAAAGAAACTTCTTTGTAGTAGACATTTTGTTCTTTTGTAAATTTTTGTCTTTAAATAAAGCTCTCTTGCATGGGTAATTTGAATGATATTCTCAATAAATTCACTTAAAATTTGCAAAATACATAATGGAAGGGAATAAAATTAACCACAAATTAAAAATTCAACTAGCTAATAATATTTTTTTAGACTGCAAAATTTGACAAAATGATATAATACAATATCATATGATATGTTTATTTACATAACCATTACAGATACATGTGTGAGAGGAAAGGAATATGCATATATTAAAAAACATTTATATACAATACAGTGGTTTCAAAACAATATGCATTTTAACCAGGAGGATCCAAGCGTTTATTTACACACTTTATGATCTTACATAAGGCCAAAAAAAAATACATGTCTGTTTAAGGTTACATACTTTAAAAAAATAGGGTAGGTAGGTCGGTATTTCCATTTTATTTTATTTTTTCATTTTATTTTTTGTGACATGATTTTGAGTCATGCCGTTTCGTCTTGTCGTGGTCCGAGTTGATCATGGGCCGAATTTACCTGTATTTTTAATGATTGGATTATTTTCCTTGGTAATTGGTTGGAAAAAAATGGTGGCAAAGTGTTTATTTCATCACACGAGTGGTGAATTTCCTTACAACAGCTGTCATATTCACGATTGTGAACATTGGGATGTATCAGGCAATTGATTTATATTATTTGCAACACTAACTTTGCTTTTGACACGAGTTCAGTTTATTTTTCACTTTACGACAGATATAAAGATTTAGGGTTGGCGCTCAACAGAAGGGTCGGTCGGGTAACCGTAAACAGACATATATTTTTTTTTGGCCTAATCATTAAATTACTCAACAAAGATAATTAAAGTGATAGCAACAAAAATGTGTATTCCCATATTTTTGTAAAAACAATGTGATCACCTCATTTAAGCAGTTGTAAAGATATTTACAAACAGTCTTTGTAAAATTGTCCTATTTATTTACAAGTATGTTAGACTTGAGGAAATTTTGATAGCTTAACATATTGTATAAACACATATATAAAAATAAGGAGATGAGGTATGATTGCCAATGAGACAACTATCCACCAAAGTTCAAATTAAGTGGATGTAAGCAATTATAGGTAACCTTACGGCCTTCATCAATGATAAATACCCATACCCTATAGTCAGTTATAAAAGGCCCCGACATGAAAAATATGAAACAATTTAATTGACAAAACTAACAGCCTAATTTATAACAAAACAATTTACCAAAAACAAATATGACAGACATGAACCAACGACAACCACTGAACTACAGGCTCCTGACTTTGGGACAGGCACATAAAGAATGTGGCGGGCTAAACATGTTTATGAGCGCTCAACCCCCCCTAAACTGGGACAGTGGTGTAACAGCTCAACAAAAGAACAAACTATAAAAAATCAGTTGAAAAAGGCTAAACTCATCAGATTGATTCAAAGCAGAAAAACATCAAACATAAACACAGACTGGACATGGCAGGGACCTAGGTATTTATCCATCCCTAACAACAAAAAGGACACTTAGTACAGATCTGAGAGTACTCGCAGTTACTGACAGCTAGTTCAAAGCCAATAACAACTAATAAAAAAATCATGTATCTAAGACTAAAATATCAATCAGTACACATCCAATGGATTTAGTGTAAAGACGTCACTAACAGTCAGAGAAAATCAAGACCTTGTGCAATGCCAAAATGAAGGTATCAACAGATTGCAGTACCGTTAAAATGCATATGTGTATAGCAAAACTATTTAGTATGATTTTAATTTACTGATATAACATGTCTATTGTTAAAGACGATATGTTGACCTCTAGTTGTCTTAGGAAAACTTTATAAGTTTTATTATATATAATGCAAATTTTGTATTAACTGTCTATAAAATCATGATATTTAATGTTAAATATTTACAGCAACAAGCCAAGGCTACAGTGACTTCTGATAATGCTGATGTAGGAAATTCTATAGTGATAGCTGGTTATCAAGTGGTTGTAAGTACACCAATACTGTGAATATAGTCTACAGATCATTTTAAAAATATTACATTTAATTTCACAGGCTAAAATGCTTATATTGAAAAATGATTTTGATGGGTAACTTAATTAATTAATTATTGTTTGCTGAATCCAGTTCAAGTTATCAAGCTGATTGTTCCCTACTGACTATGCACAATAGGCCAACATATATGGTATGTGGAGTCTTTATAATGACTGGCGCAATAGGCCAGCATATATGGTATGTGGAGTCTCTGTAAGGACTGGCACAATAGGCCAACATATATGGTATGTGGAGTCGTTGTAAGGACCGGCACAATAGGCCAACATATATTGTAAGTGGAGACTTTGTAAGGACTGGCACTATATATAGGCCAACATATATGGTATGTGGAGTCTTTGTAAGGACTGGCACAATAGGCCAACATATATGGTATGTGGAGTCTTTGTAAGGACTGGCACAATAGGCCAACATATATGGTATGTGGAGTCTCTGTAAGGACTGGCACAATTGGCCAACATATATGGTATGTGGAGTCTTTGTAAGGACTGGCACAACAGGCCAACATATATGGTATGTGAAGTCTTTGTAAGGACTGGCACAACAGGCCAACATATATGGTATGTGGAGTCTTTGTAAGGACTGGCACAATATGCCAACATATATGGTATGTGGAGTCTTAGTAAGGACTGATGGCTGTTTGAAGTATTTAGTGCATTAAAGAAGTGAAGGGTCATTTTGACCAGTCACATGGCCTTGTCTTTATTTCCATGGTCAAGTGGTCAGATTAAGTTTTAATTGTTAGATCTGCCTCTCTGTAACTATGCATGATAGGTCAACACTGATTGGAATGTAGAATAAGTGAATGGATTATTTATCTGTAAAATATATATGTCAGATGACCCTTAATCTCGTTTTCATATTCCATTGATCAGGTTAAGTGTTCAGGATTAATCCTGGTCTTCAGTAACTATTTCTGGTAAACGTATACCATGTGTGGATTCATAGAAAGGAATTTGTCTCTCTGACAAATATATGGTCTTTTACATTTCAGGCTTCAGGTTAAAAAAGATGAAAATAGCAATACAAAATGTATGCATCCGAACTGTTAGTGTGATGTTTATGTTTGTCAGCCTTTCCTATTCCTGTATCAATCTGCTCAGCTTTTCATAAATTTGGATATCAAGGCTTTGTGGTGTCAAATATGGTTGACCTGGCCTTAAAAACTTTGACCTGACTTTTTAATGTCAATATGTTTGACCCTATGTTCTTCTTCCTGTTTGCTGGTTAAAAAAAATAACTATTGTTTCTATCATGAACAACACTAGAAATACAATCAGATAAATCAGTTATTCGATTATAAAATATCAGCTGCTTTTGACACAAATTGAAGCTTTTTTAATCCATTGGCTGCATTCACTTAACAAAAAGTTTCATATTGTGACTTGTAGCTGATATTTGATACCAATATGTAGAAAACCTGATTACGGGTACTTATATCTGACATAGTAGACACAATAAGTCAATAGTATTTGATATGTGAATTCATTATAGGTTTAATGATCCCTTCCTGAGCACCTAAAATCACCTCCTTTTTTTGGTAGTGTGTGTGTTGCTCAGTCTTTGGTTTTCTATGTAGTATTTAAAAATTATGAATGATAAGACTTACTTGGTACTAGTATATAAACTTGTTATAACAGGTACATGTAAATTTGACAGGATACTAATGACCTGAAATCAATTTCTAAAGTCATTTAACTTTTAAAAGTGTTCCAGAAGGAAAGATATTTTAGTGTGTAAACTCTAATATAATAAATTGTTCGTAATTTTTTAGCTCACCATTTTAATTGTAATTTAATCTTGAATATGTCATTTTATTTTAATTTTGTTAATCACATTAATATATTGTAAGTACATGGAGTACGTTTTAGTTCTAATAAACTTTTTCTCTGTTCTAGGGTAGTGTACAAAGTGAAGGAGAACCAATCAAGGGAGTTAATTTTGTACTGTTTTCAAAAGTTGTAAACAAACAGGTAAATATAACTATTTGTTAAACTTTCTTTTTGTTTGTTTGTTATTTTAAAACATTCATCATTCAAGAAGGAAAAGACAAGTCATCAATTAGAAGTTGACATTTATATATCTTCATCTGTCACTTCTTCTATAAAAAACTTACAATTCAAAGCATTGGAACTATTGATATGAAAATTCCTCTTTCTTTCTTGTATCTAAAATTCAATATTTCCAGTGTTTTATAAAGTGTGATAAATTTTAAGTTATGAGCATCATTTTTCATAATTACTAAAATCACAAAATTAAGTATACCCCATGAAACATCAGCTTTTGAAATGTTTGTCAAATGTAAGAATCTACTATCAAGCCATTATTTAGCTATAACACTTAAAATTTGGAATCCAGAACCAACTTGAAAAAAACTCATTCAGCTTAATTATGATTAAGCCTGACCAGCATGTAATACTGTATATGTACTTTTTTAGCAAAGGAGTAGGCCCAGTAAGACCCCTTTTTGGCCCCAAAATATAGCAGTTTTACAAAATTGTTAAAATGTAAATTTTTAGCTATTTATTGGAAAGAAGAATACTTCTGTTACATAAATATGGGCTGTTTTTGACAATACGATGCACATGTATCGGGTACTAGCATCATTAAGTCATGCTAAATTACTGAAATCTTCGAAATTTTAGCATTTTGGTTAATTTTTAGACGGTTTCCGTCTGAAATGGAATTTGTGTTCATTCTTAATATTTAAATGTAAGTTGTATTTGATGATAATACATAACATATATAAAGGTTGAGAATGAACACGGATGCGGCCACTTTAATTTTTGACAAAAACCATCTGAAAAGTGACATATTATGGCATATTTGATAGATTTTTCATATTTAAGCTTGAATTTGAGCGTCTTTAATGACTAAATCAGTTCAAATCTTTCACATAAACTGATTGAATCGACTGAAGTAGACACTTAAGTGTTTAAAAAGTGTCCAAAATCTTTCATCAGATGAACTTGAATTTTGAGGCCAAAATCGGCCCTACCGAACCTACTCCTTTGACATTTCCAATTAATTCGCATGTACTTAATTTTGGGATATTTCCCATAATATCTATGCAAACTGTATAAATTTATATTTGCATGTATTTATTTTCGCTGAAAATTACCTACAGCAAAATTTGTGAAAAAAATAAACCGCTTAAAAAAATCATATACAGTATTAAAAAGTATCCACAGTTGATATACATTGTTTAGTCTTGTGACACATAATTAAAAGAATTTAAGACGATTAATCACATGTTACTTTCTTAATTTATTGTAATTTTGTTTATAATACCCTTAACAAGAAAGGTAAAAATACTTGAGTACTTTTATTTTACTTCTAGGATGTGGGTGACTGTGAAAAATCAGTTCCTAAAGGATTTGTCTCCCCTGACAAGCAGGAGTCCTTATGTTATGTTACATCAAAGGATGATGGAACATTTACTTTCCCCTCGCTGTCTGTAGGCGAGTATAGCATTGTAAGTATAGGAAAGGATGTTTGCTAGAATATAGAAATAGCCTTTAATAGATGATAAACTGAGCATAAATTTCAAGAAAGAAAAAAACCTAAGCCCCTTCTGTTTGAAGAAATGAAAGTTGATATTTTTTATAAACTTGCACTGTTGGCAGTATGTTGTGTAATATATGAACAGTTCTATATGAAAATATATAATAGTATGTTCCAAAGGAAATGGTAGAAGATAATTCTCTTTCTTTTCAGGTACCATTTTTCAAAGGAGAACATATCAGATTTGATGTTGTACCTGCTAGTATGGAGTTTAAGGTTCTTCATAATGCAGTCAAATTACAGGTAAAATTTCTTTTAGTGGTTATGACTGCAGAAATTTGATCAATGCAATCACAAATGCCATTTATATACATATGTAGGCTTTTGAGTATTATTGATGGTTTTTAAAGATCAAAATATTTGTTATACTCCTAGACATGAAAAGATTTTTTGGTCTATTGGAATATGTTTATTAATGAGTTTGTTGGAAGAACTTCCTCTCTTAATGGTTAAGGCTATTTTAGTAAAACTGTACACTATATTAGTGTACAATGTGAAGAAAAACAATTCTGATCTGACAAGTTTTAGTCTATTTATTGGAGTGAAATTGATTTTATTGTTCCTTTGGATTAGAGAGTAATGAATAATTGAGCTTTGCATACATCAACTAGTTTTTTCCTATGCCACATCACACCACTAAGTGAATGCAACTTTTCAGAAATGATAGGGTGGATTTGCACAAGAAATTAACCTATGAAATCCTATGAAATACCAATATATCAAAGAAACAGCCTGGTTTCTTGTCCAGTTGCTAAAAGGTCTTTTTGTATTGGACCATAACACTAACACCAAGATTATGATAGCCGTACTTAAAAGAGAACACATGATGTGGATTACAAGACAATTACACAAGAACACAAAAACCAAAAGATACAAAGCTAAAGTTTCTTCAAATTACAATGTAACATAAAAAGATAAAAGAAAACAATATACCTCTGTGATTGCTTTATCTTCAAGAAAAAATAAAGAGTCTAATCTAATAAAAACAAAACAAGGAGCCACTTAAATGTAAAACCTAAATATATACCTAGGGCCAGTTCTATATTTACAAAATAATCTCCTCTTTTCAATAATGAATTAGTTATTTATCTTTTCGATTGTACATTTAATTATATTTATAGAAAAGGAACATGATTTTCAATTATTTTGCAACAGTCTGTTTTAATACAAAGAGAATTTATATGTTCCACCTACAATAGTAATAGTAGATGAAGCATTTTTTTGTGCATCTGTGGGTCTGTTTGTTGTCCATTCTGTATCAATTCTGTATCAGGTTAAACTGTTACTAAGTTGTAGTCACATCAACTTGAATCTATGATACTTGTTTATTATACAGTGAACTTTAAAAAATAATTCCAAACTAGGTTTTTGACCAAGATTGTTTGTGTTTCATTGACATGAAAAAGTGACAGTGTGAGCATGGCATGGTTTCCTATATTCACATATTTTTGTTTAATTAAGTTTTATTTATATTTCAGCAAACCTTCCAAGTGTCAGGATTTTCTGTTAGTGGCAGAGTTATCAATTCTCAAAAGGTATATTTTTTTTCTAACTAAGGTTTACTGTGTACATATAAGGTAATTTTTTTAATGTCCTGCAACTAAATTGAGTACTGTTTTTTTCATAAAACAGCACAATCTCAGGGATTATTAAACAAAGTTTTGTTTGTTTTACTGGGAAAATACTTTTATTTTCTAAAAACTATTTTTGTGGTTTATGGAAAAGCATGCAGCTTATGCTTGATTTTCAAATCAACAAAACCAGTTATTTCCTTTTGTATTATAAATGTACCGTTATTTAGCCATGTTATACCTGTAACATAATAATTAAATTTCCACAGTAATTGAATTCTAAATTAGTTCTAGAAAAGAGTATTTGTTAATATTTAGTTCAACTTAATGTTTGAAGTTCCTTGTCAAATATGGTTTTTATATTGTTAACTCTAATTCAATCGTATGACAGGACTAAGAAATTAGGTATTTCTTGGTTATGAATCAAGAATGCACCCTTTTAAAAATAAGAAATCCTTTAAGAATTTAGCAGGTTGTTTCAATTATGTTAAAGAATTGATTCATTCATTTGAGGTCCATATTTCGACAAGTATTGGGCATGATAAAACAGGGTTAAGGAGAAAATATTTACGTTTAAAATAATTTGAAGTAAACTGAGGGAGACTCAGGTTTAGAATATACAGAACATTTAATTTGTTAGTGTGTGTTACAAACAGTAGTTAAGTGAACATCAGATAATATTATATGATTAAAAAACAAAATTTAGATACCGTGGATTCATTTATTTTCATGGGTACCAATTGACAGGGATTAAGGAACAATTGTGTTTTCGTGGATACTTGAATTCGTGGTTTGGCCAAAGTCTGCATACAAGCCTATAGATATTTTGTATTTTGTTTAAACAATTTAGTTCCTGGTTAATCTCTACCTACGAAATCCACAAAAATTAGTATACAAAGAATAATTATGAATCCACAGTACATTAATGAGATTTAAATACATTTGTTGTTGAATTTTGAAGGGATCTGGAGTTGGTAATGCTGCAGTGTATGTAAATGGTAAAAAACAAACTACAACAAAACCTGATGGTACTTATCACCTGGAGAATATGAAGACAGGATCATATATCATCAAAGTTGAGGTTGAAAACATCCTGTTTGATGAAACCAGTGTTAAAATATCTCCTAATACTCCACATCTACCTAATATTATAGCTACCAAGTAAGATTATTTTGTTTTGTCTGTAGTTTCACTTCTCTGAATAGATAGGTTTTGATTGACACAATTTGGGCAAAAGTTATTTCCCTTTTGTTGCCATGTAGGTGGCTCAAATTCCTTCAAAAATCAGCCAAATTTGACTTGTTATACTGACCGCTAGATTTTAGAAAAAAGTTTTTCTGAACAAGTTTGATTTCTTTTATCCTTGCTTAATTAATCACTACGATCTAGTGAGGATCTCATATCAGACTTGTGTATATCGCATGTTCCAACTTGGTTAGTCAAAAAAGAAAATAAACTGTTTTTCCCTCCAAAATGGCGACCAAGGGAAATAACTCAAACTCAAATTACTTCATTTGAAACCCATCTATTGCCAGGCTGTGGTGAAAATATCAGAATTTCTAGTTAAAACTTCAAAATGAATTTATTATAACATAACCAATAAACAGAAAAACTAGAAGCTTTTAAAGTCTTGACAAAAATCATCTTAATTATCTTAACTTGTTCTGATGGACATGCTGTGATACTCATGATAAATTCTGTCTCAACCTCAAAATTATTCTATAAATTGTCTCAATTAATTCGAAGGTAAAGTCCAGTAATTCCATCAGAGTGATTTTGACTGTTCTTTGCTTGCTAACATTTTAAACAGCTCACGTAACACACAGAATAAAAGTAACTTCTTACAAGTAAAGGAGTAGGTATGTGAAATACATAGTTTTGCCTAGAAATTTTACAAATTATCTTGTTGATTGATCTGTGCAAAGTCTAAACTGTAAGATCATTCAAATTTTTGTACAGATTTACCAAGATTCATAATTTGGACATCTATATTGTAAATGAGAAAATTTAACCTAATTCTGAATGTTAGAATGAGCTAGGTTCTATTTCACAATTGTAAAATCACATTTATTGATTTTGGTTTTATTGCTCGACATGTGTCATTAACCTTTATGAATTAAATGAATGTCACTAAAATTAGATAATGACTAGCAAAGATATGGGGAAATGGAGAATACTTCAAATGGAAGAAAACATTTCTTGTATTGTATTTGATATATTTATTTCTTACAGATTTAGCCTTTGTGGTCAGATAGTCATTGATAAGCTTCCTGAAGGTCTTAGACAAGTACCTCCACAAAGAAGAGTCATCTATTTCCCAGAAGGGAAAAATTCTGATGCTGTATCCATAGCAACAGATAAAGATGGGAAATTCTGTACCCATGCTGCATCAGGCAAATATGTGATTAAGGTAAAACCTACTCATGTGTTCATTAAGTTTGGGATACTACATTACATTTGATAGAAAAAAGATTACTGTAAAGCAACTTATTTTGTGCTGATACTTTTTTGTGCGTTTAGTCCTTTCTAGCAGACTTTGCAGCAATTTGTTTTCATGTTTTTATGCACCCGCCGTAGCGGAGGGGCATTAAGAGTTACCCTTGTTTGTCCGTCCTTCCATCCCATCCCGTCCTGTCCCCAAAATTCATTTCCGTTTAGTTTGCCTCAACCAAATGTTAAAAAACTTATACACAGTGCAGTGCTTATTACCACAAAACACAGATCAAGTTTGAAATTGAGTGGTGTCACTTTTACCACTCATGAGTTCTGTCCCTTTATAAACATAAAAATTGCTGAATTTTTCGTTTCCGTTCTCTAATTTTAGTTTGCCTCAACCAAATGTTATGAAACTTATACACAATGCTTATTGCCACAAAACACAGATCAAGTTCGAGTTGAGTGGCATCACTTTTACCAGTCTTGAGTTATGCTCCTTTATAAATGGAAAAATTGCTAAATCTGTTGTCTCCGTTTTCTCTAACTTTAAGTTTGCCACAACGAAATGTTATGAAAGTTATTCTTATAATCACAAAACGATCTTAACTAGGTGAATCCTGCATCTGTATGTGGAAGTTGATATATGCATATTGACGAACCTCGTTGTGTCGAACTCGATTGAGTCAAAAACTCGGATGAGTCGAAGTAATTTCTTGGTCCCAGTAAAATTCCCGTTTGATCAATGCATAATAACCTCTGATGAGTCGAACTCGGTTGATTCGAATACTCGGTTAAGTCGAGTAAATTTTATAGTCCCGTCGATGTAAAATTCATGTAAATTGACCCCGATGACTCGAAGTTCGAAAGTAAGAATTTTCAAAAGATGCAGACCTAATGATAAAAATTCTAATCGGATGTATTTCTTATGTAACCTAATCATTTTCAAAAGAGATTAAAGCTGAGTAAACATGCTTGTTTGTATAACAGTTAAAATGACATGTTTATGGTGACCGGTAATTAACACCTTTGGTTGATCGTTCAAGTGGAATGTTAGTGTGTTGAACATTTTTCACATCAGATAAATACAAAACGAATTTAAATGACCCAAGCCGAGATTAAATGAATCGTTAGATTTAAAACTCATTAATTACAATAAATAAAAGGACTAGAACAATTATGATAAATTCATGATAATTTAATGTAAAGCAGACGACCTCTGGCTCATCAGAGACCGTTCATAACTTAATTCGTTCCGTGAGTGATTTCATAATTTATAGTGACTGACCTTTGTAAATATTTGTGTAGACTATTGATTTCATGCATTCAAAATTTATGACGACACACTCGACCTCGGATGAGTCGAACCTCGGATTTGTCGAATACTTTGGTCCGGTCCCTTCGACTTTGACACAACAAGGTTCGACTATATTTACAAGCGGGGCATCTGTGGCCCATAGACACATTCTCCATTTATTTTTTTTCAAATTTTCTTGATGTATTTATTTAAGGTCAAAGTTTTACATATTCACAACAATTTCCAATAAACAATATGTCAGAAGGTGGCAGTGAATGACTTTCATTTGACCTTGAATTGATTAAATTGTAGGTACATCTCACAGAAGAAGAGATGGCAGGAGGTCTCCAGATTATCCCCAGTGAGAAGTCTATCACTATACCTAATGCTCCTGTATTAGATGTTATGTTTACACAGTTCAGAGCTAAAGTTACAGGAGCTGTTGCTTGTCTAGGTAGATTTTCTTAGCCAATACAAGAAATGACTTTAAAAATAGATACAATTTTTATACGACCGCAAAAAAATTTTGTGGTCGTATATTGGTATGACGTTGGCGTCGTCGTCGTCCGAATACATATTGGTTTTCGCACTCTAACTTTAGTTTAAGTGAATGGATCTTTTTGAAATTTGACCATAAGGTTAAATACCACAAAAGGAAGGTTGGGATTGATTTTGGGGGTTATGGTACCAACAGTTAAGGAATTAGGGGCCAAAAAGGGGCCAAAAATGAGCATTTTCTAGTTTCCAGACAATAACTGTGGAATGGTGTATGGATCTCTCTGAAATTATACTACAAGTTTCCATACCACAAAGGGATGGTTAGGATTTGCTTTGGGGGGTTATGGCTCAAACCGTTTAGGAATTAGGGGCAAAAAAGGGGGAAAAACAAGGTTGTCCTGGTTAATGGACAAATACTTTAGTACAAAACATAATTTAAAGCAGTGTAAGGGAGATAAATCAAATACATCATTGAAATTATCTCCCTTACACTGCTTTTAAATCATGTATAAAGTAATGGTTAATGAACAATAAAGATAATCTAAAACAGTGTAAGGGAGGTAATCCAAATACAACGTTTTGGTTACTTCCCTTACACTGCTTTTAAATTATGTTTAAAGAAATGCATATTTATAAAGGAAGACCAGTAAAAATATCTGCAAATGTTTTCATCTTTTTTTTTTACAAAAAAATCCATATGAAAGATTTGACACTATATTTTTATTAATTCTATTATAAAATAGATTAAGTTAGCACTATGGTAAATTTAAATGGGTAATTATGGTTGCCAACTCCATTGGAAATTTGAATTGAGATTATGACCATATCTTGAGGGAAAGAATTTTTTTGGGGGAAAAAGGGGGGGGGGATAAAAAGAAATTGTGGGGGGCCAATTTTTTCTCATTTCAGATTTCAGAAATTAAAAAGAATTATTCTTCAAATATTATTTTTTTTTCAAATTTCAAATATTGAAAAATTTCAAGAAGTAATCTTTAATTGCACAGTATGGCGCATTAGATTTGTAAAATCTTTGATCACATTTATTTATTTGTTATGCCGAATCTAACAGTGTATTTAGATTTTTAATTTTGGGTCCAGTTTTCAAATTGGTCTACATTAATGTCCAAAGGGTCCAAAATTAAACTTTGTTTGATTTTAGCAAAAATTGAATATATGAGGTTCTTTGATATGCTGAATCTAAACATGTATTTAGATTTTTGATTTTTGGCCCAGTTTTCAAGTTGGTCCAAATTGGGGTCCAAAATTAAACTTTGTTTGATTTCAACAAAAATTGAATATATGGGGTTCTTTGATATGCTGAATCTAACCATGTATTTAGATTTTTTATTTGTGGACCCCGTTATCTAATTGGTTCATATTGAGGTCAAAAGGGTCCAAAATTAAACTTTGTTTGATTTCATCTAAAATTGAATTATTGGGGTTCTTTGATATTCCAAATCTAACTGTGTATTTAGGTTTTTAATTTTGGGTCCTGTTTTTTAAATTGGTCTACATTGAGGTCCAAAGGGTCCAAAATTAAACTTAGTTTGATTTTGACAAAAATTGAATTCTTGGGGTTCTTTGATTTGCTGAATCTAATCATGTGTTTAGATTTTTGATTATGGGCCCAGTTTTCAAGTTGGTCCAAGATAGGGTCCAGTATTTAAACTTTGTTTGATTTCAACAAAAATTGAATATATGGGGTTCTTTGATATGCTGAATCTAAACATGTATTTAGATTTTTTATTATGGGCCCAGTTTTCAAGTTGGTCCAAATTGGGGTCCAAAATTAAACTTTGTTTGATTTCAACAAAAATTGAATATATGAGGTTCTTTGATATGCTGAATCTAACCATGTATTAAGATTTTTTATTTGTAGGCCCCGCTATCAAATTGGTTCATATTGAGGTCAAAAGGGTCCAAAATTAAACTTTGTTTGATTTCATCGAAAATTGAATTATTGGGGTTCTTTGATATGCCAAATCTAACCGTATTTTTAATTTGGGTCCCGTTTTTTAAATTGGTCTTCATTGAGGTCCAAAGGGTCCAAAATTAAACTTAGTTTGATTTTAGCAAAAATTGAATTCTTGGGGTTCTTTGATATGCTTAATCTAAACATGTGTTTAGATTTTTGATTATGGGCCCAGTTTTCAAGTTTGTCCAAGTTGGGGTCCAAAATTAAACTTTGTTTGATTTTAACAAAAATTGAATATATGGGGTTCTTTTTTATGCTGAATCTAACCATGTATTTTGATTTTGGACATTGGACCATAATAGGTAAATTAAAAAAATTCAAGTTCTTAGATCACATTCTTTCTGTGTCAGAAACCTATGCTGTGTCAAATATTTAATAACAATCCAAATTCAAAGCTGTATCAAGCTTGAATGTTGTGTCCATACTTGCCCCAACTGTTCAGGGTTCGACCTCTGCGGTCGTATCAAGCTGCGCCCCAGCGAAGCATTTTATTAATTGAAGTAAAAGACTGAATGAACTATAAATGAATGAAGCTTTAAAAATATAAAATAGATGACAATTTTTGGCAGTCTATGTGATCAAAATATTTGTGTGTAATATACATCTCACAATACAGTTGGTTTTATCATAATGATAAAATAATTATCTCCCTTTTGTTTCAAATATCTGTGTTTTCCACAAGGAAATTTTTGCTTTTAGAAAATTCTAAAATTTTCTATTAATAATAAAATTTGAACTATGTGTAACATATGCTTTGGGTCATAAATTAGGATTTGATTTTGGTTTTGTTGTGTTTGACAATGTTCTTTTAATTTGTTTTCTTAATTGTCATTATATGGGATATGAGTGTACCTGTTATCCCATGGTCACTAACTCTAAGTAAACATTGGACTGATAAAGCAGGTTATATTCAAACTGTAGGACTATTTAATTTCAATTTTCATTTATTTCATTAAACAGAGAAATGTGGGTCAATGGAGGTATCCTTAGAGGCTGTAGGACGAGATGACTTTAAACACACATCTCAGGTAAATATGCGTCAGTTAATTTGATAATGGTTTTGGCCCAATGATCAAACGCATATATGTTTATGGTCACACAACCAATTGCATGAACAAACATTGACAAGAAGACTAAAATATGCTGGATTTTATGATATGTTTAAATGTCATATAATAATGTTAGTAGGAACTTTTGATTAACATTTAGTTGAAATTCTTTTGGCAGAAGTACGACTCCGTTTTAAAATCTATATACAGTAGAACCATTATTGCAAGCGACTGTACTGTACTGAAAAAAAGATATCAAATAAAATTTAAAAAAAAAAAAACAACCTTAAAAAATATAATTGGGAATGTGATCATAAAACAAACATTCTTATTTTTTAGCCATTTGATAATTTTATGTTTTTAGTGAAGAAATTATTATACTTAAAAGTCAAAGGCATAATTATGAAATACCTTCGATGAATTTTGTATTTAAGCATGGTTTTGTTTTACAGGTGAAAGAATCAGGAAAAGAAGGCATATTTTATTTTGAGAATGTGATGCCAGGAAAATACAAAGGTACATTAACATGTCTGCATGCTTACATTTTCATGATTAGCTACAGTAAACATGATTACCTTGCCCAGTATGAGAACTTCACAAATATATTGATAGGAATTAAGTTCATACAGACAGGATACATACTCAAATGTAGTATCTTGCATGAAATTAAGTTTGTAAATAAATTGTTGTCAGGGTAATTATATACTCTAAAAGAAGTGTCTCACATGAAATTAAAATTCAGTTGGTAGGTATATTTGAATTGCAATCTTTGCAAAGGAAAGACCTTAATTAATATTCAAGTTTACCAGCCGTTATGGTTAATTAAAAAATTGCACCTATTCACTCTTATTATTTTAAGTTAAATCCTGTATTATTCAGTCATGAATTAGTTGGTTTCTTAGAAAAGATAAATCTTTTTAAAATTCGCTTTATTCATGGGCAGTATGTGTTAAAAATTTTGCAGTTTGTGTTAAAAATTTTGCAGTATATTTGCCAGGTTTTTGGTCATTTTGTGACCGGTCAGATTTTAAATTTAAGACATTGAATATTATCTATTGACAAAATATGTTGCCCTTCATTGATCATTTTGGAATTAAGTTCAGGCTTCAGCCAATTAATAAGTAAAATGTAAATGTTTATCCATTTAAGGAAAACACTAAAAAATACTATTATATTTCCAATATTGTAATCTTTGATACTTATGTCATATGCACAAATTTTTCATTCCAATGTTTACTTTTCACATCTACTTCTGTATCAGATTTAAAGGAAGACATTGTTTTATTTCAGCTATTTTGATGCATGATACATGGTGTTGGAAGGAGAAAACCATTGACATAGAGGTCACAGATAAAGATCTAACAGGCATTAAGTTTATACAGACGGGATATATACTCAAATGTAGTATCTCACATGAAATTAAATTGGTAAGTCCATTGCTGTCAGGGGAATTATATACTCAAATGTAGTATCTCACATGAAATTAAATTGGTAAGTCCATTGCTGTCAGGGTAATTATATACTCAAATGTAGTATCTCACATGAAATTAAGTTGGTAAGGAAATTGTTGTCAGGGTAATTTTATATTACTCTAAAGAAGTATCTCACTTGAAATTAAGTTGGTTGGAAATTGTTGTCATGGTAATTATGTGATAGGGTCATTTATATATTGAAATTATTTATTTGCAATGTACATATATTTTATTATTTATTATTTTCCATGTCCAGATAATTATAGTTTAAAATATATGTAGTATTGATTTATTACGAAAGTATGGACATAAACAGTAGATTAATACAGGTGATCAATACTTTATATACATGTTTTTACTATTGTGATGTCATATCGACTGTTTAGTTGTGATGTAAGTCTTGTGATGTCATTTCATATATCTGTGTGAATGTAATTTCCCTCGGTCAAATCTAACCAATCAGAAAATAGAATTAATCCCTTGTGACATAATCGTCCAATGAAACTCCTGTACCAAATCTACATCACACAGATATACGAAATGACATCACAAGACTTACATCACAACTAAACAGTCGATATGACATCACAATAGTAAAAACATGTATATAAAGTATTGATCACCTGTATTAATCTACTGTTTATGTCCATACTTTCGTAATAAATCAATACTACATATATTTTAAACTATAATTATCTGGACATGGAAAATAATAAATAATAAAATATATGTACATTGCAAATAAATAATTTCAATATATAAATGACCCTATCACAATTATATACTCAAATATAGTGTCTCGCATGAAATTAAGTTGGAAAGGAATTGTTGTCATCAGAATTATGATGAAATTTGACAATCTAATTTTGTTTTGTAAGCCCATGTATGAAATATAACACGTTACGGAAAATTATCTGTGTAAATGTTTATTGTTTGTTTTTCTCTTGTTGCCATTGTTTTGTTTGGTCAACTTTGATTTTTTCCAAATCTTCCCCTTGATGCCTTATCATCTATATTTGAAAATTAAAAATAAGATGTATGATATATATATTCACTTAGAAATGAATCCTAAACAGTTTCTTTATTTTATTTTATAGCATTTTGCCCATGAGAAGAAAGTTGGTACAGTTGGGTCATTTGATTTGAATAAAGGAAAGAACAGATTCTGTTTAGCCCAGCCAGGTGTATATAAGTTGACACCAGATTCCTGTCACAAGTTTGAAAAGGATATATACACATATGACACGTAAGTGTGTTGGGATATATACACATGACACGTAAATGTGTTGGGATATATACACATATGACACGTAAGTGTGTTGGGATATATACACATATGACATGTAAGTGTGTTGGGGTATATATACACATGACATGTAAGTGTGTTGGAATATATACACATATGACATGCAAGTGTGTTGGGATATATACACATATGACACGTAAGTGTGTTGGGATATATACACATATGACACGTAAGTGTGTATAAAGTGAAGAATGCACGAATAGCATGTTATTGGAAAAAGAATTAACAGAAAAAGTCAAAATAAATCTGTTGAAAGAACTTGTTTTGGAATATAGATTTGGATTTCAAAGCAGTGTTAGGTTATAGATGACTTTAGGCTAATCAAAATCATGATCTCAAGTTTATATTTAACATATAATTTCAAATAAATTACAGTGAAATATGAAGATAAATATTAACTAAATAATACAAATACAAATTGAAGTATTGTGTTACTGTCAATATTTTATCTAAAAACAAAAAGTAACTTTGATGACATGATTGAGAGAGGAAATATGAAAAAAATGTTATATTCAATTTTCCTTGAGTCCCTTCTGTGGTCTCTTCTGGAAATTACTTGTGCCATATTCAGTTCAGATTTAATTTGTAATTTCAGATCAAGTCCAGAGTTGCTGACATTGACAGCAGTAAAACATCTGATAGAGGGCAGTGTTACAACAGAAGAAGCTGTTCAGGATCTGACAGTCACACTTTTGTAAGTGTTTTGCTTTGGTTCTATATATTTATTGTGATCAGTTTAATAGTTTCTTTTATATCAAATATCAGTGTTAACACATGAAGTTAATCATTGAAATGATTGATTGATTGTTGGTGTTTTAACGCCACTTTTAAGCGCCACATTTGGGCTATTTCGTGGCGGCCAGTTTTTATTGGTGGAGGAAGCCGGAGTGCCCAGAGAAAACCACCGACCTTCGATAGGAAAACTGACAATCCTAGTCAATTAAGATTGGAGTCGAGTGCACCCACACGAGCCGGGTTCGAAATCGCAACCTCAGTGTTGACTGGCTAGTGATTACAGTAGTAGAACTACTTAGACCACTCGGCCACTGAGGCCCCTAACCATTGAAATAAACAGTTGCTCCTAAAATGAATTAAAGAAACTAATCTATTAATTTTTAATCACTTTTAAATGACAGAAAATAATTTTATGCAAAGTAATGTAAGATGATTTATGGAACTTCTATAAAAGAAAGATACTACAAGTTGTTGTCTCTTTGACATATTCCCCATTTCCATTCTCATTTTTACAATAAAAAAAAACAACATATTCAAGCTGGTCTATTTGTGAAAGTACTTTTATTCATGGGGTACCAATTTTCGTGGATTGCTTTATTCACAAATTTAAGTGTCAAATGAAATACAACAGCTGTTGTCTAAATCAAGACATGGAAAGATCCCCATGTAGGTTTGACTACATGGATATGGGCATATAATCTAAAGAATATATGGAATATCACCAAAGGCACGATGAACTATATATTACAACTACAGACAGGATTTTACCCATATGATCTTTAATAAATCCACTTTTAACCTTTTAATTCATAAAAAATTAGTATTGATCAATGAAAGTCAGACTTCCGTTAATGATATGCAATGATGAAGTATTCATTTTATCTCCTCATACCAAAGATAAATTTCATATTAGGCTTGCTTTTTCATTTCATAAGAATTAATTCTACTATTCAAAAGCACATTTGTTGCATTGTTTTATATAACTGTTTTCTTTAAGTGACATGTTTATGGCCCAGTTTACACCGCTGATGATTGTTAATCTGTTGATCATTCAATCTTGTTTTAAATAGTGTCATCACTTCTGATTACATGTGTGAAACAATTAAAGTTTACTTTGCAATTTCCTTCAATCTAAACGATTTGTAGGCATAGATGAATCAGCTTATTTCGGAAAGCAATTATTTTATTAAAAATTTGATGAAGGAAGTAAAAATGAACACCTTGTTTTGCAATGTCCAACAAATCATTATAAAACAACATGATTATTTTCAAGACTCTTCGTTTCTGATGTCTTCAAATTCTTCACTTGATTTTTTTCCAGAAAACTAACACCCAGAAATTTATGAACCCACTAACATGCAACTTTTGCTCAAACCATGTAAATTGTTACCCTCTAATAAAAGTGCTTTCACAGTATTTGCTCAGTGAACCCAGAATTTAACATCATTTAATTACTACATATAAAGGTATTTTTGAAAATGAAAAAATATTTAAAAAAAGTAAATTGTGGAAATATGTGTAATTTTTTTTTATTGTAGATCAATGGTGGATAAAACGCCAGTTGTCCTTGGGCCTCTGACAACAGACAACAAACCCCCACCAGCAGATACCAAAGACAACAAAGCAGCACAACCAACTGGACCATTTGTATATAAGTTCTCACACTGGGCAAGGTAATATATCATGTATCTCAGTCTCTGTTTATTAATACTCTCCTGAAGATATAGTTAATAAATGATTTATGGTGGCCAATGGTTTATTAGAAATTTGTTAGTCTGTTTTTCTTTGAAGTAATCATTGTTATGATATACCATTGAGTTTGTTGTTCCTTTTTGTTTTTTCCAAAACAAAAGAAACTAAAACTATAAATGAATGATTTTTTTTTTATTTATATGACTTTCATGAGTAGACAAATAATTTCAATTTAAAGTGTCAGGATTATATGTCAAAACTATGACCATATATGATTACATCATTACAGTGTTAGAAAATAAAATTAATAAATTGCTGAAAAGTCTTCTAGAAAGAGTTACACTTGAAAAATAAGTTGATTTACAGTGGTTTGGTATACATTGTTAAAATAATGTTGTATATATGGTATATAGATATAAACTTCTTGTACTCTAAATCCAGAATATATATATATATATATTTGTTATATCTTAACCCTTTCAGCGCTACACAAAAAAATAGAAAAATGGCTGCTGCTGCTGCATTTTTTGTGTGTTCATTAATTAGAACAGTATATTCCTTTTCAGACTGCTGTATCTTTTGTATTTTAAGAGATACAGACAAATTTAGTGCATGAAAAATGCTCAGGAGAGCATGAACTGTATTGTTATGCAATTATTTTAGTAAAATTTTTATCAGGCTACCTGCATTTTCAGGTAATTAACAGGTAAAAGGTGTAAATTATTGTATTTGTATTGAATTTTGAATAAAAACGACTTTTAATCTTCATTTATTTTTTTGTTTTATCTGCCATATAATAAAGAAGAAACCAGTTGCTCGATTCCGTAGCGTATTACACCATACACAACGTATAATGTAATCGTGGCGCAAATAAGTGGCTCCGTTCTCAAAATTTTCAGTCAACCTCCGTTTTCCCCTTTTTCTACGTCTCGTAAAGATCGATCAAATCAGATTTCCCACACGAATTGAATGTAATAAACACATTGAGATAACGGGAAACCTTTTAACTAATCCTCGTTGTCAGTTTTGCCATAGAAATGCTGAAATGTTTCCATATTTACAGCGTCTTTTCTGATTTCCGACATTTGCATTTGTCAAAATATTTGTTTTTATTTTCCTTCTACCGGTACTGCATGATTTTACCATAAAAATTCCGGGGATTTCATGCGCAAACGGGACCTTGTATATCCTCGATTCATACGAGAAAAAATTAGAGAGGACCCGAATGGTTTGAGAGTCTGGATGAAAAATCCATTGTCATCGCGGCATATGCCGCGAATAGCAGTGGCGGACCGCGTGCGTCATCGCGGCATATGCCGTGTATAGCGTTGAAAGGGTTAATGTTATTTTTTAATTTTGGGTATTTCATATTGATGGCAGATTTTTTAGTCTCTTAAAAAAAATCTAATTTTTTCTAGACTTTGTGTGATTTAGAGCTTGACATACTGTATAGACACTTGTTGAAGGCGGTTGTGACTTATAGATTTCTTTTGGCGTTAGCATCTTCATATAACCTATGTATATAAAATGTAGATAAAGATATCTACTTTTTGTTCTTATATTTCATAAAAAATTATATATGTAGCTTTATAGAAGAGTGTGTCTTGTTTCAGAACTGGTGAAAAGCTGGAAGTTAGTGTCAGTTCTAAAGAACTGTTATTCAGTCCTGCCAAAACTGAAGTTGCTGTTTTAGGAGGTAAAACATGTTTGCCATTTATTTGATTGCTACATATTTATTTGTTTTTCCATACATTTGTGTACATTTCTCAATTTGGTTCAGTTGCATCTAGATCTTTTCCTCGGAAACTACTGTAATATAGACAATAGACAATTATGCAGATACAATTTTTTAAGTGATTGGAATACAAAATTCAACATTTTAAGAGATCAAATAAATTTTAAATGAGGGGATACATTGAATGCAGCATTTTTGTCCATCGATCAACTATTGCAATAAAAAAAACATGCAAAAATTCCTCAATTTACAGTACTCTGAATTCTTTTTTAATTATTCTATCCAAACAATATTGACTTTACAAAACTGAAAACTTATGATGACGAATAGTGATTGTAACAAACTGTTGATTCACACTTATATTTACTGTTATTTATGTCCTAGATACCTGTGCTGGTGAGGTAGCTAAGTTTATTGGTAAGAGAGGTGTGTTTATAATTGGTCATATTAAACCAGCAATCGAGGGAGTTAACATTACAGTGACAACTAAAGGAGTCCAGGCACCTTCTGTTTCGATTAATTCAGCTGCTAATGGTGGATTTAAGTAAGTAAACTTAATGAAATGTAAAAAAAAACTACTATTAATGAAAATTAACTAGGAGTAGTTTCATGGATAAAGAATCATTTAAATGTTGCGTTTATGCAAAACAATTTTACCTGAAATGCAGGAAAATTAAAAAGAATTATAAGGGTTTTATTTTAATATAGCACTTCTTAGGAAGGCACACTGAAAACTTTTATATGATTGGCTGTTTTTCAAAGTCTGCTTTATTCCAGAATTTTATATGAAGTTGAATATCTCATCTATTGAGGTTTACTAGAAATTATCTGTAACTCTTTGGAAGAGGTCAAAAGTGTTACTCTAAGAACTTATCTTTATATATAAGATGTAAATGATATGTGATAAGATTTGGAACAATCCAAATGGATTATTAGATTATTATAGCAATATGAGTTACTTGATGATGGAATAACAAAAATGAAGCTGGAGAGAATGCTTTGTATTTATACCCCCGCTTTAAAAAAATTTGGTTTCAGGGTTTATATAAGTAAGTTACACCGTGTGATGCTTTATCAGATTCATCACTCAACAACTTCCTGTTTACCGAACACTTGTATTATTTTACACATGATAGCCAAGTTGAAAATTTTCGTCACATTTTTCTCAGGAACTACTTGACAAGGATTTCTGAAATTTGGTTTCAGGGTTTATATAAGTAAGATACACCGTGTGATGCGTTTTCAGATTCATCACTCAACAACTTCCTGTTTACCGAACACTTGTATTATTTTACACATGATAGCCAAGTTGAAAATTTTCATCACATTTTTCTCAGAACTACTTGACAAGGATTTCTGAAATTTGGTTTCGGGGTTTATATAAGTCAGCTATACCCTGTGATGCGTTTTCAGATTCATCACTCAACAACTTCCTGTTTACCAAAATATTTAGGCGGGGGTATCATCAGTGAGCAGTAGCTCACAGTTTAACTTGTTTCTACTTTGTAAGGATAGAAATTTTCATTGAGGTTAAAATCTCAAATAGATATATGACAGAATTTACAGTATTATAAACCATGAATTATATAAAATGTTTCCCAGAAATTCATATCTGAAATTAGAAAAAAATATTTACATTCCATCATATTAAGTAAGTTTACAGTATTGAAAATAAAAACGGATATACCTAATTATTACCTGTGAAAATAATTGCACATGTTAATTTTATTCTCAAGGATTGGACCATTACACAAAGGAAATGACTATGAAGTTTCTGCAGAGAAACATGGTTATGTGTTTGTAAAACAAGATGGTGAAATGGCTGTGTTCTCTGCTTATAAACTGGGAGAAATCTCTGTCAAGGTTAGTTGTATTAAATTGAACAAAATGTTGGGATTTTACTAGTTGTTGCTATATAACCATGTATTATTGATAAGTATTTATTTATATTATGATGAGCAGGCTTTTCATTTGCATAATTTAAAAAAATCATAGCATTATGGAAGTAGGATTTTCATTTGGTTTACTGTAAGAGAATAAAATGTGCACTGTAGAAAAAAAGTGAATCTCTAAAGTATTTCTAAAATGAGTGAAAATTAATGCATAATAGCTTTTGTTCCTTCAAGCTCAGACCAATAGATTTTCTAACACTATTTTTAATTTTATTATTAGTCATATTCATTGGTCACCATGTTACATTTTGTAATTATATTAAATGGAAACATTAAGCATATGATAAACCTTTGTAAATAAATTCTTTAAAGGACTAAAGATTTTATTCAAGAAACACTGATTTTAGAAACTTTCAAATCATAAAGAACATTTTATGTGCAATCTGATACAAAAGTTGATTAAAAACATAATTGAACTTGGTAAGAATTTAATTTGATTTTTCAATTATATTGTTGTTTTACAGGTGATAGACAAGGAAGGGACTGCTCTACCTGGAGTGGTGTTGTCCCTGAGTGGAGATAAACAATACAGAAGTAATAATGTTACACAAGATAATGGTACCATTGTCTTCCCTGAACTGGTAAGTCATTAGTTTATTGTTGTACTCTATATGTTACTGAGGTGCAGTATAATCTTCTTGTGATTTCCTTAATTAGGGCCCCGCCGAATGGCGGACTCCCTATAGTGATCAGTCTGTCCGTCCGTCCTTCTGTCCGTCCGTCTGTCCGTAACAAATTGTGTCCGCTCTATATCTAGAGAACCGTTATGATTTCAAAGTTTATACTTGACATGTATATTAACCAACACCAGAGGGTGTGTCATAATGTATGTACAACTTCCTAGGTCAAAAGTCAAGGTCAAAAACTTTGGTTTTAGTTGACAACCCCATGTCCTATGGTGAAGATCGTGTCCGCTCTATATCTTGAGAACCGTTATGATTTCAAAGTTTATACTTGACATGTATATAAACCGAATTAGACTATTTACCGGATTTGTAATAACATAAGCAACACGACGGGTGCCTCATGTGGAGCAGGATCTGCTTACCCTTCCGGAGCACCTGAGATCACCCCCAGTTTTTGGTGGGGTTCGTGATGCTTAGTCTTTGGTTTTCTATGTTGTGTCATCTGTACTATTATTTGTCTGTTTGTCTTTTTATTTTTAAAAAATTCCTAGAAAACAATAAAATAGATATAGGAAGATGTGGTATGAGTGCTAATGAGACAACTCTCCATCCAAGTTCCATTCTGAAAAATTTACTTCAAATTTTTTCTTTGAATTTGAATTATACTCAATACATGTACATTTGCTAATATAATGCTTCAATTTATAAAAGAAATTTTTAAAAAGAAAGATAATCCAACCAAGTCTGATGTTACCCATTTTCAGGTCTATTACCAGCAATGCAACATATTTATCCTTGGCTTATGAAATAAATATAAAGATGAGAGACATTATGTATTGGTTTTAGTCTAATAATTTGTGTTGAAACCAAAATCAAGATTAAAAAGACATGTAGAGTAATATAATGGCTGTTCAAATGAGACATGAATTCTTTATAGCATTTCTATCACATGAATATTCATATTTATAGGGACCTGGAAAATATTTCTTGAGATCCATGATGAAAGAATACCAGTTTGAACCAGCTTCCCAGCTGATAGAAGTATTAGAAGGTACCACAATGAATATCACTATCAGTGGAAAGAGAGTAGCATTTAGGTAAGTTGTCGTGAGTCTTTATTTTATACCCCAGAAAATATAAAAGATCACATCTAAAAAAAAGTAATCCTTTCTTGAAAATTGTAATAACCTAAATCATTTAAAATCAAAATAATTACTGAAAAAGAGGTTTTGACAAAAAAAAAGAGACTTCTGTTGGTAAAAAGAAAATAACATATAAAATTCATTTGATAAAATCTTAAAATAACATTTAAAAAAATCATCCATAATTTTATCAATCAAGCTAAAACCACTTTCTTTAAATATAATGTAGTTGTTATGGCCAAGTTACCTCATTGAATGGAGAGGCTGAACAAGGAATAATTGTAGAGGCCATGGGAGAAGGAGAAGGGTGCTCCTTGTTTCAGGAGGAATCTAAAACAGACCAAGAAGGACTTTATCGTATAAGAGGTCTTCAGGTAAAGCCACAATTTTTTATCAATTGTTGTAATTTTCATAAGTTCAATGAGAAATTTGTTTAGAATTATACTCTTATTTGATATTATTGTAAGAAATTTATTACAACTTATAATATAATAGATCATATAAATGAAGTTCATTAAAGTTTATCTAACATTAAGTTTTCAGATATTTATAGAATTACTAATCCAAGAATTCAAATGTCAAAAATATTCATAGATTGATGAACAACACCTTCATTATCAAAGACTGTAGCATTTGAGTGAATTGTCAATTTTGTGGATTATTTTTAAATATTTGATTTCTTAAATTTTTTTTTTTTTTAATTATATTGACTTTTAATGTAAATTAATTAGAAAATGTAAGGAACTATATCTTTTTTCATACAGTCTCACATCGTTGTAATGCAACTTTCTTAACATCCTGACGTCTCCTTTTGTATGACATCCAAGGAGTAAAAATACAGGATTCATTTCGCATGTGAAATATTATATTTTATTACCCCCCCCCCCCCTCAAACTTTTAGAGGGGAGTGTATAGGAATCATTCTTTGATGAGATTGTAGCTGAGTAACTTCCTCTTGTTTGAAGAGCTGTCTATTATCTACAATTATACAGTTGGTTTTTGAATGACAATATAATTTAGTATATTTATCTTTACAGCCCAAATGTACTTATGTCATCAGATTGAAAACTGAAGTTAACAAACATATTGAAAGATCAGCACCAAAATCCAGAAATATTATGGTATGTGGAAATGTGTCTTAGAAATTAGGTTCAAATGACATATCATAGATAAATCTTCCATTTGTATACATTTGACTAACATAAAGGCATTTTATATTTCAGATTTCAGCTATGCTGTTTGAATTGTCTGAATGAAGTGACTTTACATATATTTATAATGTACAGTCAATGACCCTTAATCATGTTAATGCAAATTTCTGAAAAAATGTAATACTTGAGAGTAAAGTAAAAAATATGGTATACTTTCCGGAATGTTTTGTACTTTTTTTCAGATCTTTAAAAGCTTGCCTCTTAGTTTTGAATTTGCTGGATAAACCATATGTTTTGGAATAGAAAACTTACTGTGATCATAAAGTTAAGCTTTCTAGCAAAATTTGCATAAGATATCAAAGCAATACATATGATTCAAATTCAAATGCACATGTAACATGTTTTCATACATCACTTTTTATACGACCGCAAAAATTGAAAATTTTTTGGTCGTATATTGGTATGACGTTGGCGTCGTCGTCGTCGTCGTCATCGTCGTCGTCGTCTGGCATCGTCCGGCGTCGTCCGAAGACACATTGGTTTTCGCACTCTAACTTTAGTTTAAGTGAATGGATCTCCATGAAATTTTACCATAAGGTTCAATACCACGAAAGGAAGGTTTGGATTGATTTTGGGGGTTATGGTACCAACAGTTAAGGAATTAGGGGCCAAAAAGGGGCCAAAAATAAGCATTTTTGTAACTTCCAGACAATAACTTGTGTGTAAGTGTATGGATCTCTCTGACATTGTACCACAAGGTTCCATATCACAAAGGGAAGGCTGTAATTGATTTTGGGGGTAATTGCCTCAAAATTTTAGGAATTAGGGGCCAAAAAAGGGGCAAAAAACAAGCATTTTTCTAGTTTCATGACAATAACTTGTGTGTAAGTTTTTGGATATTTCTGAAATTGTACTACAAGGTTCCATATCACAAAGGGAAAGCTGGAATTGAGTTTGGGGGTAATTGCCCGAAACGTTTAGGAATTGGGGGCCAAAAAGGGGCCAAAAATAAGCATTTTTCTAGTTTCCAGACAATAACTTGTGTTCAAGTGTATGGATCTCTCTGAAATTGTACTGCAAGGTACCATACCACAAAGGGAAGGCTGGGATTGAGTTTGGGGGTGATGAATCATAAGGGGGTTCAAAAAATTTGGGGGGGGGGGATTTTTTTCTTTTTTTCCTTTTTTTTTTCTTTTAAAATTTTCCATTTTAAGTTGGTTATTTCTGATTAATATTTAAAAGCAAATAATAATGATATGGTAGGAGATACACACCAAACAGGATGTGTAAATTATTATATAATACTTATTGCACAATTGCAAGAAATCTTCAATTGCACAGTATTGCGCAATAGCAAGAAATCTTCAATTGCACAGAATTGCGCAATAGCAAGAAATATCCAATAGCACAATATTGCGCAATAGCAAGAAATTGTCAATTTTACAGTATTGCACAATAGCAAGAAATATTCAATTGCACAGTATTGTGCAAAAGAAGATACTTCGTATAAATTGCTTATTTCTTGATCAATTTCAATGGGGTTTTATTCTTGAATTCTTGGGGTTCTTTAATATGCTGAATCTAACCGTGTATTAAGTTTTTGGATTTTGGGCCCCGTTTTTAAATTGGTCCACATTGAGGTCCAAAGGGTCCAAAATTTAACTTTGTTTGATTTTAACAAAAATTTGAATTTTTAGGGTTCTTTGATATGCTGAATCTAAACATGTATTTAGATTTTTGATTATGTGCCCAGTTTTCAAATTGGTCCAAATCGGGGTTCAAAATTAAACTTTGTTTGATTTCAACAAAAATTGAATATATGGGGTTCTTTGATATGCTGAATCTAACCATGTATTTAGATTTTTGATTTTTGGGCCCCGTTATCAACTTTGTCCACATTGAGGTCAAAAGGGTCCAAAATTAAACTTTGTTTGATTTCATCAAAAATTGAATTCTTGGGGTTCTTTGATATGCTGAATCTAACCATGTATTTAGATTTTTTATTTGTGGACCCGCTATCAAATTGGTTCATATTGAGGTCAAAAGGGTCCAAAATTAAACTTTGTTTGATTTCATCAAAAATTGAATTATTGGGGTTCTTTGATATGCCGAATCTAACCGTGTATTTAGATTTTAAATTTTTGGTTCTGTTTTCAAATTGGTCTACATTAAGGTCAAAAGGGTCCAAAATTAAACTTAGTTTGATTTTAACAAAAATTGAATTTTTAGGGTTCTTTGATATGCTGAATCTAAACATGTATTTAGATTTTTGATTATGGGCCCAGTTTTCAAGTTGGTCCAAATCGGGGTCCAAAATTAAACTTTGTTTGATTTCAACAAAAATTGAATATATGGGGTTCTTTGATATGCTGAATCTAACCATGTATTTAGATTTTTGATTTTTGGGCCCCGTTATCAACTTTGTCCACATTGAGGTCAAAAGGGTCCAAAATTATACTTAGTTTGATTTTAACAAAAATTGAATTTTTAGGGTTCTTTGATATGCTGAATCTAAACATGTATTTAGATTTTTGATTATGGGCCCAGTTTTCAAGTTGGTCCAAATCGGGGTCCAAAATTAAACTTTGTTTGATTTCAACAAAAATTGAATATATGGGGTTCTTTGATATGCTGAATCTAACCATGTATTTAGATTTTTGATTTTTGGGCCCCGTTATCAACTTTGTCCACATTGAGGTCAAAAGGGTCCAAAATTAAACTTTGTTTGATTTCATCAAAAATTGAATTCTTGGGGTTCTTTGATATGCTGAATCTAACCATGTATTTAAATTTTTTATTTGTGGACCCGCTATCAAATTGGTTCATATTGAGGTCAAAAGGGTCCAAAATTAAACTTTGTTTGATTTCATCAAAAATTGAATTATTGGGGTTCTTTGATATGCCAAAAATAACCGTGTATTTAGATTTTTAATTTTGGGTCCCGTTTTTAAATTGGTCTACATTAAGGTCAAAAGGGTCCAAAATTAAACTTAGTTTGATTTTAACAAAAATTGAATTCTTGGGGTTCTTTGATATGCTGAATATAAACATGTGTTTAGATTTTTGATTATGGGCCCAGTTTTCAAGTTGGTCCAAGTTGGGGTCCAAAACTAAACTTTGTTTGATTTCAACAAAAATTGAATATATGGGGTTCTTTGATATGCTGAATCTAAACATGTATTTAGATTTTAGATTTTTGGCTCAGTTTTCAAGTTGGTCCAAATTGGGGTCCAAAATTAAAATTTGTTTGATTTCAACAAAAATTGAATATATGGGGTTCTTTGATATGCTGAATCTAAACATGTATTTAGATTTTAGATTTTTGGCCCAGTTTTCAAGTTGGTCCAAATTGGGGTCCAAAATTAAACTTTGTTTGATTTCAACAAAAATTGAATATATGGGGTTCTTTGATATGCTGAATCTTACCATGTATTTAGATTTTTTATTTTGTGGGCCCGCTATCAAATTGGTTCATATTGAGGTCAAAAGGGTCCAAAATTAAACTTTGTTTGATTTCATCAAAAATTGAATTATTGGGGTTCTTTGATATGCCAAATCTAACCGTGTTTTTAGATTTTTAATTTTTTGGTCCCGTTTTTTAAATTGGTCTACATTAAGGTCCAAAGGGTCCAAAATTAAACTTAGTTTGATTTTAACAAAAATTGAATTCTTGGGGTACTTTGATATGCTGAATCTAAACATGTGTTTAGATTTTTGATTATGGGACCAGTTTTCAAGTTTGTCCAAGTTGGGGTCCAAAATTAAACTTTGTTTGATTTCAACAAAAATTGAATATATGGGGTTCTTTGATATGCTGAATCTAACCATGTATTTTGATTTTGGACATTGGACCATAATAGGTAAATTAAAAAAATTGAAGTTCTTAGACCACATTCTTTCTGTGTCAGAAACCTATGCTGTGTCAAATATTTAATCACAATCCAAATTCAGAGCTGTATCAAGCTTGAATGTTGTGTCCATACTTGCCCCAACTGTTCAGGGTTCCACCTCTGCGGTCGTATCAAGCTGCGCCCAGCGAAGCATTTTATTACGTATATTTTTGTTCGAGCTTTGAAAAATAACTGTTAATATGACTATTTTCTGATTTGCTAGAGAACTCAATTTTACAGTATAAGTTGTAACTGTAAAATACTTCTTTAGATGTAATGACTAAAGTATGTAATTTTTTTTCTTTCATTACAGATAGAGAATTCTGATTTCACAGGAGTTAACATCATTGCTTTCCGTAAAATGAACCAGATGGACATCAGTGGAAATATTGTCTGTCATGATGATTACTTATCTACTCTCAAGGTAAAATCCTCATTACAGGTGTATTCAGGAAACTCACAAGTAGACATTGGGTATCGGTAGCCTCTTTCTGGATATTCATATCAAATTGATAATAAATAAATTACTTGAATGCTGATCATTGCAAATTAGATGCATATATATGGTTATCCTACTTCTGTAAAAAAAATCCCCACATTCTCATTGGATGAAAGTAACCCTATATAGGACTATATTATGCTACCTACTGATTTTGTGGCCCATATACTTTCATGTGCACTTATAACATGGTACTGTTGTAATGGCATGTTAATTGTAATAATAAGACGATGTGGTATGATTGCCAATGAGACAAATATCCATCAGTACCAAATGATGTAGATGTAAACAGCTATATATCACCACAAGTCCTTCAACAATGAGCAAAGCCAATACCTTTAAGTCAACTTTGAATGATAACAAAAAAGGTGATTTTGTTTGCATATGTCAGGACATAATTTGAAAATATACAATTTCAAAAAACGTGTCCTTTTGCTAATAATGATATAAAGAGCTGGAGTAGGTCAATTATTTTGAAGACCAGCATATAGTGTAAATAATCAAATAAACGAAAAGGAACTTTTCCTGTGTTTTTACGTTGAAAGATGAATCAGTAAAAACATTTACAGCATTTCATTGGCCTCAACAGTGGGCATCAATTGTAACCGACAATGAGTATATAAGAATATATGGGGTCCATGAAAAGAAATGTGATAAATTTTAATGAAAATTACATATACATAGATTTTAATTTCTTTTTTCAATAAAACAAGTTATGAAAACTTAGCATAACATATGGAGAGTTGAAGAAAAGTAAAAATATGAAATGTATTAGGAGCAAAAAATTCTGAAAAGAAGTGACAACACAAAAACATTTTGAAGTGAACTTAATCTGAAAATGTTTGAACTGTAGGTTAAGAAAAAAACTACAAAATTTATAACTCAATAATCTATAAAGACTTATTGTGATTAAAGTAAAATAAACTTGCTTGGAACAAAGTAGACGAGCGTTACTAATTATAGTCAAATTGTTATTTTTTAATTCTATCATTAAAATTAAGTATGACCAATTTTTTTATAGATACATTTATACAGAGATGATAATGTTGATTCACCAATACACACAGTTAATATGGGTGTGACATCATTCTTCTTTCTCCCATCATTACCTATCAATAATGAGGTAAGTTACTGTAAACAATCAACACGGCTGTTGAAAAAAGTAAGACGATACCAAAGTGGGGATAAAAATCACATAATTTGATGAAAGGAAGACAGCATCATAGTCCAAGGAAACAAAAAATTTAAAGACAAAAAACAGTCCACAGAAAACTGAAGATTTACACCATCCCACAAAAGATGGAAGGTAAACTCATGTGCTCCAAAAAGGAGAGCATTTTTTGCCCGACTAGTGGTAACATTCTCTTTTCTGGGGTCATTACATATCAGATCATATGGATGTGGGACCCTCTCCCCTCCTGACAGGCCATGTGTATTACTCCTGAACCTAAAACATTTTAATTACCTTTCCTAAACAATATTAATAAAATAATGTTTGTGTTTGTTCTAGTAGACTGTGGAGCCTATTTTTCTCTGAATAATTTTCAAAATTGACCAAAATCAATTAAAAAAGTCATCATAACATTGGAATTTGCGAAAGTTCCTTTGCAAATGCCAAAGACTCCTGGATTGGGATAGGCACATAAAGGCCACCTTACCTTGGACATTAGTATAACAGTACAACATAAACCAAACTGTAAAAATCAGTTGAAAAAGGTTTGATTCATTAGAGAGGTTAAAAAAATAACAAATTACAAAATGACTAAAGACACAAAGTACTAATCCAACAGTACTCTTAGTTACTGAAAGCTAGTTCAAAGCACAACATCTTCTAATAAATCAATTCCATGGATATGTCGGTCCGACTAGGTTCCAGATGGTAACTTGTAAGTTTCCCTTGCTAGAATAAATCTTATACAAATACAGATATAGATTGAAGATAAATGAAAAGCAAAGAAGCCTATTGATTTTGGGGTCAAAGGTTAAGGTCACTTTTTCTAAACCAGGAAATAATGTGAAAAATTAGTTTTAAGAAAGGTACCTTCAGTTTCCATTGCTTGATTGGAATGAAACTTTTACAGATGGAAGATATAGGGAAAGGGAAGAAGCCTATTGATTTTTGGATCAATGGGTTGAAGATCCATGTCACTTTTACAAAATAAATATTTTTTTTACCATTTACACAGGTGAAAAGTTAGCAATAATGATACATGTTTTATTTGTGCCACCAGGCATGCTGGTATTTTTTACCCATGAAATATGACCCATGATGATCTCTAAATAAATTTACAGTTTTGGGGTTCATCAGTTGGCACTCTTTGCTTTTCACTTATTTCATTTTGTGGTTTGGCGGTACCTATGAATGACATGAAGGCTCCTAACAATAATACATCAGTGTATCAATTTCTTATAAGGACTCTAATATGACTTTTTTTTCCATTTCAGAAATATCTGATAAGAATAGAGAGTTCATTATCTAGATCATCATATGATTATACATTACCAGAAACAGAGTTCTTAGCAAATCAATCATACAAACATTTTACAGTTGATTTTACACCACAGGTATGTTTGAATATTAACCCAGCAGTCATATACTTTACAAGTAAAAATAACATTTAAAGAAATCTTATTATTCACTCAATTTTGAAATTTATACTTAAATATTATTTTTCAATCACAGGATTATTTTTTTTGTTTCTGTATCCTGTATTTATTTACCATCTTTTTTTTTTAATAAAGGCATGCTTGTCTTGAAAACTGAATGTTAACAAGGATTACCACTTGGATCAAACCAGAAAACATTGAAATTCATGACACCACCAGAAACACTGGAATGCATATAGATTAGACCGTTGGTTTTCCCGTTTGAATGGTTTTACACTAGTAATTTTTGGGGCCCTTTATAGCTTACTGTTCTGTGTGAGCCAAGGCTCTGTGTTGAAGACCGTACTGTGACCTATAATGGTTTACTTTTATAAATTTTGACTTGGATGGAGAGTTGTCTCATTGGCACTCATACCACATCTTCTTATATCTATATATGACCACACCAAAAACATTGAAATTCACATGATCCCACCAGATACACTGAAATTCACATGACCCCACCAGATACACTGAAATTCACATGATCCCACTAGATACACTGAAATTCATATGATCCCACCAGATACACTGAAATTTACATGATCCCACCAGATACACTGAAATTCATATAATCCCACCAGATACACTGAAATTCACATGATCCCACCAGATACACTGAAATTCATATGATCCCACCAGATACACTGAAATTCACATGATCCCACCAGATACATGTAGAATTTTTGACACTGACTTTATCAGCAAGAATATCAAGCGAGACAGCTAGGGCGAGCTATGTTTTTATTTTTGGTTGAGAATATGAAGTAAAATGAAATAGATAGTAAAACTACTTTTACGTGTACAAAACATTTGGATAGTTGTTCTGTTGAATGGATGAAGTCACGTGCATTTCATTTATAAATTGACGTGGAATGACTTGAGCATGTGACGTTGCTGCACTGATACATGATGTCATTGTCTAATATTTTAGAGTATCAAGTCCTGTGCATTATCTTAAAAAATATTAGGCAGTAAGATCAAAAGGAAAATGTACAAATTGCCAATAAACTGAAATTCATATGATCCCACAAGATACATATAGAATAATGGCTTTTTTAGCCCACAAGAAACATTGAAATTCATATGACCCCATTATCCTAACAAAGCTGATGAATGTATTTACATGTATAATAAAAAATTGTCACAAAAATTACAGGAGTAAGAAAAATAATTAAGAGTCATTGCCTGTATGCACCAAAATGACAAGGACATGGTATGTCATCAAATCAGACATAACTTGGCTCTAAGATGCATTATAAGCATAAAACAATAATTAAATAAAAAAAATAGAAAAAAATATTTGTTGCCATGGTAATGCAAAACAAATCAAAACTGATATAAAACTAACAGTATTTTTTAAACAATCGTAACATAAAAAGGAAATATTTGTATTTCATTACTGTAGATACCCCAAAAAGCAACATAATAAAAAGTAAACAATTTGAGCCATAGGTCCATTTCAGACTTACAACCAATTATTTATTGCTTGTTTGTTTAATGTCCAGTAGCAAATGTTTCATGCATATTCAGGACAAGAACAAATTAACAGTACATGTAATTACAATAGGTAGGTTCTGTAAAGTGAGTTGACTGGGAATGGGAAGGAAGCAGACTGCTGCTGGAAAAAGAGGGCATGTTGGATAGGGACAAAAACTTTACCTTGCAACAGGCTACCTAAGAACTGCTCACAGAGTTGCAAGGTGTTTTGACATGAAGAAAGTCTGGCATTTGCCATATAGGAGGCATACAACCAACGATCTCAGCCAATAAGATATCTACCAACATAGTTTCATATGAAACCTTATGTAAAAATACATTAAACATTTCTTTAAAACCACTTGGGCCAGTTAAGAGCAAATTAGGGCTGGATAAAACTTGTGGTTTGATTTAAATAGTTTCTACTGCAAATCAACTTATAATTTTTTGAAAATAGAATATAAAGAAAGCACTTTACTATTGACCTTTTGCTGAACAATAAGATAGCTTCAAACAATATTTTGTTAAAGTGATAATTTGAATTAACACTGATTGATAGTATGATATTGGAAACTTTTAAATGGTTCAGCATTACAAGCTTCTTTGAATCTACAGTATTGCAAAATTATTAGAGGTAGCTTGTTCATACTTGTATATGAGTGTTTTGTTTAAATTGATGTAAATAGATATAGGAAGATGTGGTATGAGTGCCAATGAGACAACTCTCCATCCAAGTAACAATTTAAAGAATTTACTTTTTAGCTCATCTGGCCGAAAGGCCAACTGAGCTTTTCTCATCACTTGGCTTCCGTTGTCCGTTGTCTTTGTCAGCTAACTTTTATAAAAATCTTCACCTCTGAAACTACTGGGCCAAATTTAACCAAACTTAGCCACAATCATAAAAAATGTTTGCGATGACCCCACCTGTCAACCAAGATGGCAGACATGGCATAAAATAGAACATAGGGGTAAAATGCAGTTTTGTCTATTATCTTGAAAACCGCTATGAATAGAGAAAATCTGATAGGGGCAGAAATGTTGAGAATGTTGAGATCTACCAGCTGTCTATTTAGGTCAAATAAGTCAGACCACTTCTTATAGGAGTTATTGCCCTTAAATGTCAAGTTTTATCAATTTTTTTTATTTTTATTTTTGTCTATTATTTTGAAAACTATATTAGATACTGAGAAATTTTTAAAAGGAAAAATGATTAGCAAGATAAGATCTACAAATATGTCAACATAGCTGACATCATTAGATGACTCCTTATTGGAGTTATTGCTCTCTAATGACGATTATTACCAAATTTTTGGCGTTTTTGTTTTATATCTTAAAAACTGTAGTAGATAGAAAGAAAACTTTAAAAAGATAGTCAACAAATTAATGAACAAGAAATGTAGTAACTTGTATTTATTTTATTTTCAGAGAAAATCATTAGAACAAGAATTAAATCAAGGATCATTCCTTATACTACCTCTAACATTGCTGTTAGCCTATGCTATTTATAATTATCAAACTGTAAGTATTTAGTTAACATATTATTTCAAGTATACTCCAGTAGTTCCCTTCAACTTTCTTACAATGAAAAAAATGCCATTGAACTTCATTGTAAGAAAGTTGAAGGGAACTACTGGAGTAGCCATATTGGTTTTCTTTGATTGATTCCTTTTTTATGACCAGTAGTTGCTGGGCGTTGATGTGATTCCTTGTGTACATTATTTTCTTTTATCCTTTTCTAGTTTTATTCTACTCAGCCAGCTAGATGATAAGGCACACACACAAAGGTTCTTCATTTTAATGAGTTAAACCAGAGAAAGATGCATATTTTAGTATAAGATAGGGAATTTAGTAAATCAATTTTTTTTTCTAAGATTAAACTGACTCATCAAGTGTATCATGTTGTTTTTTGTGTAGGTTTAAATTTCTGTTAAATCTAATTAAAAATATATTGTGTTACATGGATAATATTACATAAAGTGGATAAAATTGCATGAACTTTAATATTCTGATAGTACAAAATTTTCTGTGAAATTTTATCCACTATACACCTTTTTGAAGAGGGATTAAATAAAAAAAAATTTCTCACCCTTTACCATTTGATACAAAAATATTGTAAATGATATACATTTGTTGTTTTACTGAAATTGAATGTATGTGCTGAAAAAAGACAATGTTTTAAGATTCATGAACAGTCAGGTTTTTTTTTTGGAACATGTTAATCCAACTTAGAAATTAATCTCCAGATGTGGATCTAGGATTTTGAAAGGGGGCACCAAAAGGCAAACCTGTTTTATGATGGTGCGCCACCATCGTTTAATTATCTTCCACAATCGTCAAATGCTCGCTGCAATCGTTTTGTTAATTTCTAACATCGTCAAATAATCCTTGTCATGATTGAAAGGTGTAGTCAAAATTTGTTTTTTCGTTTTGCTAGCTGCCGTCATTTTTGTTATCAATTATAATCAATTGCATGTCTTCTTCTTCTTTCTTTAAATCCCTCCATGGTTGGAGCACACACAGCTAGGTGTGTTCCCTTTACAGGTCAGTTTAAAATTAACATATTGACATAAAAGTTATTCCAAAGTTAAAATGTTGAGAATGCATGTAAATGCATAATCCCTATTGTATAATAATCCAAAGGATCCTCCTGATTACTGTTTTAAAGCCCTGAGAGATATCCGGCTTATGATTGCTAAGCACTTGTACTGGGCTTTAATTTTGGTAATGACCTTTTATGAGCTATTAAAGTCTACAATGAAAAGAAAATTGGGTGATATGGAGCCAAATATTTTACCCTGTATTGCAGAAAAAACCCAAGGAGTTCAAAAATTGACAAAAATTCCTAAATCTGAAATAACTAGATCCTTAAAAAATAAAATCTAAATTCAATCACTAAGAAAAAAGTTTAACAAGTCGAACATGTGCTTTTATTGATTTACTCAATCAACATGGTATATGCTCCTTTATAAATGAATACAAAGTTATACTCTTAATCATAAAACAGAACATAATTTCATGCCAGATAACAACAATTATCGATCATAATGAATCACTCATTAGAATATTAACTTCAACTTGATAATCTGAAGAAATTTCGTATCATAATTCCGAATTCATTTCGTAGTTTACAATCAAATTAGTACATCTGGTTTACACTCAGAATCGAAAGATGCATGTTGCATGGTCTATTACAGTGGAATTTGCAATTTTAGGTCATTGAAACCATTTAGGTTTCAAACTTTTGCCCTTCAAAATCTCTATTCAACATTTTACAAAAACGGGTACGAAACTTCTTTTTGTTCATACTGAAAATCATTGATCATTGACTTCTGAATTGAATTTGACACTACTATGGGGGTGTTTGACAGTGAGAAAAATGATTCCCATTTTGTAAGTCCTAACAAAAATACTAAGATATTGAGAAAATGGAAAACTTCTGATAGGAAAAAACGTTGATGCTAATTGTGGTTATCCTTGACTAAGAGGAGCCATGCAGGCTTGACATTGCAATTATTATAAAAGACAATTAGGGAAAATATTGGTTATTCTATAATGAAATGAAAAAATAAATAATATAGCAGTCTATTCACTATTCATTACAATGAAATGTAGGAATGAAATATTTTCAATCACAACACAGTGTTTTGTACTGGTAAGAGTCTCCACCATTGTTAAATTTTCATCCATGGAGATCCCTGGGGAATGTTAGTACTGGGGCTTATAGTAAGTGTATACATTCATCATTTGTGTAGCTTCATAATTAGAAGTATTTAGAAAGGTTTGAAATTTATAAAATTTTACATAATATATGTAGGTATACTCTAAGTATGTGCACTTAATTTCTGTTTCAGCTGTTACCCTTTATGTTAAGATCAGTTAATCAGATACAGACAATGTTAACAGTAAACCAGGCTGATTTGGTCCACGCTTCACAGAGTGGAGGAGGAGGAGGTGATGCATCATTGTACAGTGAACAGGTCGGAGCTGCTAAAAAGAAAGCTAAACCAAGAAAAACATAATCTATACAGAAAACTTAGAAATGATTTTAAATTATTTATAAATTACTTCATTAGGCTTTATATCACTACTGTGGATTCATTATTATACAAGGGGTGCCAATTTTTTGGATTTCATGGGTATATACATACATATGGAAACCAAGAATGTAAAAGGCCAACGAAGAATAAATTTTCTATAGGCTTGTATACAAACTTTTGCAAAACAATGAAATCACCAAATTTCCACAAAAATATTATTTTTCCGCAATCCATCAAATTAGTACCCACAAAAATAAATGAATCCACAGTAATATTTATCAGAGATTTTTTTAGTTTTTTAAAAATTCTATCAGTTATTTGGGAAAATTCTAAAATTGGTCATCTTTGTTTTGTATTCGTCTTTTTGTTGTTGGTATTTTTTAGCTTTTGGTGAAGATTGGTTTAAAAAAAAAGAATAATGAAAAGATATTTGAAATTTATGGATTTTTTAAACTTTTGAATTCTCAGGTAGAAAAGAAAGCCTAGTAATATCAATTGATTTTGATAAAAAAAATCTTTGAGTATTCTAATGAAATAATATATGATAAAGGTTTTTTTTTACCAAATTATTGCTGACACACTTAATAACAAAAAGTACTTTTGATTTTATTCAGTTTGAGAGTGAGTAGGTCAATTGATTTATTACTGTATTAATGGTACTCATAAAATCACCAAAGATCTATTAACATTTTATCTAGTGAATAATTTGTATTGACTATTCGTTGAACCATTCTTTCATCATTTAAGGATTTTATTTCTTAGAAATTATTGTTTAGTTTTTCCCAATTTTCATGTTGATCCTAAATATTTTTTTTTATACATTATGGATTGAAATACTTAGTAAAAGCATCATTAGTTTGAATGTGCATTTCATCACATAAGAAGCATACACATCATTGTACATTCCTTTTGTGTTATTCTAACTGACTACATACACATTTATTGGTTCTTCATGTCATATATATTACATGTAATGTGATATAAACTCAATGTGTGTGTGCTATTGGTAGTAAATTAGGTGTTGAGAGGTTTCATGCTTGAAATTTAACTTTTATAGAATATGTTTTACTGTTATGAAGAATGATGAATGATTTTATTGACTGAAAACTATAAATTATGGGTTATGAATTTGAAAGTCAGAATAATGTCATTTTCTTGTAAGAAATACATTTTAATTTTTTTAAATGTTTGTCACTATCTGTAACTATTAAGCAGATTTACATATTTTTTTAAATTTCTGATTAAAATTCCTAAGTAAAAATGAGTGCTTAACCATTGTATGTTTCTCCTGCAATAGACCACTACAGGAGACTAGCCAATTAAAAATGTCATCAGTGTGTACCTTTAAGTGTTTTATGATACAGTTGAGAGTAATTGTTGTTGAGAGACAGGAATGAAGACAATGTATAGGATTGATGATCACTATGACATAAAATATGTTGTATGTATCTTGATAGTGCAATATTTATTTGTTAAGAAATATAATTTATTAATCAAGACATAATTGTTTATAGTCACATTTTAAAGAATAAATTTATGATGATGAATTAAAGACATATCATGGGCAGTCAAATTTAGGAACACTGATTGAAGTTGCTGTCTTCTAGATATTTCTTGTCAATTTATATATTATGGTAAGAGGTTTGAAAATGGGTCATTTCAAGGATGTTTATGAACAAACAAAATAGCTACATACCTCAATACTGTAGATAGAATATATAATCATATATCCAGGACATTGTTGGGTGAAAAATTGTAAAAAGGTCAGAATATAGAATTATTCATATATGTTTAAGGGATGAATGAATAGATTGCTGAAATTATAACAAAAATGTGATAAACCTCATGACCAATTTATGATGTCACGTTTATTCTGTTATTCCATTGTGCTTGGTGTTGTGTAAATGGATCAACCTTATACATACCTGTATTAATTAGTCCAAAAATTTATGGCATTGAATTTAAATCACTTCTTTTTGTCCTTTTTCTTTTGATGAATATTTTAGATTAAAGGAAAAGCAATGAAACTACAATATTTTTTTAGACATTAGGAAATTGTAAAATGTAAGATTTTTTTTAATCTAATTCTTGAAAGGTTTTTATATAACGAATCTCCAGGCATGATGGAATTGGTTAACAAAGATTTTTATGATTAAGAAAAACGATAACATTAGTGTTCTACTAATTACACATTCCTGAATAACAAAGCATTATCAACATGCCAATCAAATTAATCAAAAGTTAAGAGGACAAAAATAAAAACTGCAGACATGTATTTCATATTCATTTACTCAATACAGCTTCATTGGTATTCACAATGTCATGGATGCATTTAAAAGTTCTATGTTTAAACTAATGCGATACTGTCTATACATAATATATTTTAACGTATAAAGAGAATTGCAATTTCTTGTTAAATATACCATCTAAATTTGATTGTTTTGTCTCAAGGCCTCTTTTTTAAACTTAATGTGGGCAGGTGTTTTTCTTCTTTCCTGGAATTTTTTATGATTTCAAGAATTTGTCTGGCCAAATATAATTGGATTTAACAAGAAGCCAATGTTAAGAAAATATCAATCTGTAGAATTGTTAGAATTGTCCAGTTTGTGTAAAGTTTAACACTTGAATTGAACTCTCAAAATAATGTTGTTGCGTTTTTTTTTCTGTTTAACAACTCTTAATGTGACATGAAATAGATAGCTTGTTATATACGAAAATTAAGAAACAATCTCCAATGTAGAACAAATTTAATGAATTGAGGGAACCTTGAGAAACAAATAATTTTTTGCAGTGGCTTCAGAGGTTTTTTGTATGGAATTATAAGTTAAAATATTAGTAAATATTGTTGAGTGTTTTGATAGAGACTTCATTATATGAAAAGACACTTTTTTTTAATAAAATGTGATAAAAGTGTTATGCATCTTTCTAGTTTTTCCTTTTGTTTGTTTTTAAACAGGCAAATCATCCTCACAAAATTTTTTAAATGTAGTTTTAAAAAAAGTATGATTTGATTATACGACCGCAAAAATAAAAAATTTTTAGGTCGTATATTGGTACACATTGTCGTCGTCGTCGTCAGCGTTGTCCGAAGACGATGGTTTCCGGATAATAACTTAAGTATGTGTAAATAGAAATCAATAAAATTTTAACACAAGGTTTATAACCAATAAAGGAAGGTTGGGATTGATTTTGGGGGTTATGGTCCCAACTGTTTAGGAATTAGGGGCCAAAAAAGGGGCTCAAATAAGCATTTTTGTAGTTTCCAGACAATAACTTGTGTTAAAGTGTATGAATCTCTCTGAAATTATACCACAAGTTTCCATACAACAAAGGGATGGTTAGGATTGACTATGGGGGGTTATGGCTCAAACCATTTAGGAATTAGAGGCAAAAAAGGGGGAAAAACAAGTTTTTTTTCTGGTTAAAGGACAACTAAGACAAATTAAAGCAGTCTAAGGGAGGTAATCCAATCCCAATTTAAAACAACAATGTTTGATTACCTCCCTTACACTGCTTGTAAATTATGTATTAAGAAATTATTGTCTTGAGGTGATTAGCTGTCAATTTATTTTTAAAAGTTACTATTAATTAATATTAATTTTAGCCATGACTATGTATGTCATTTTATATTTTAAGACTTGTATGATGTATTCAAAAGGGTAATTATGGTTGCAAATTTGATTAAAATTTGAATTGAGATTATAACTATATTTTGAGGGAATGATTTTTTTTTTTGGAATAAGGGAAAGGGGGAGGTGAAAAAAAATTGGGGGGGGGACTATTTTTTCTCATTTCAGATTTCAGAAATTAAAAAAGAAAATTTCTTCAAATATTTTTTTTTGGGGGTTAATATTCAACAGGATAGTGTATTGCACAAAAGCAAAAAAATGGGGTCAATTTTATTTAGGGGGGGGGGGGGGGGGAGAGGGGGTCAATTTGCAACAGCATAGTGTATTGCACAAAAGCAAAAAATTGAATATAAATTCAAATCATATAACCATTTTTTTTTTCAGTTCTTTGACTACAGTTATTCTGTGGCAGAAACCTATTATGTGTCAAATATTTAATTACAATCCAAATTCAAACCTGTATCAAGCGTGAATATTGTGTCCATTTTGGCCCCAACTTTTCAGGGGTTGGACATCTGCGGTCGTATCCAGCTGTGCTCAGCGCAGCAATTTATTTTAAATGTAGAATCTGTAGTCTGTTTTTTGCTCTATTCATAGGTTAATCCCACATGCCCAGCTAACTTCCAGAATCAGTAAAGATACGAGTAAGAACCAACAACATATCTAAACAACAAATCACAAAAGCACATTCACTATATTGTACACAAAGATTTTTTCATTGATTGCAGAACTTTTTCAGTGTATGTTAGATCTATTCACAACTTGTCTGAAAGCTCAAGACAATTTAGCACTTGAGATATGTTATACACACTTGTCTGTGTGTCCCATTTAACATGGAAATTCATTTTTAGTTTATAATCTATGTTAACTTTAGCCTAAAGAAGCCACTGTGATTAATTGCTATCACTTGGTGTTTTGTATCCATCATTGTTGTAAGTCTATTGGTTTTTTTTGGTTTTTTTCTCAAACCACAAGCAGAATAAGATAATACTGGTAAGTTGCCATAATAATGTCAAGGCTATCCAGTTTCAAAGTTATGTTGGATTATCCTTCAACCATCTAACATCATATATTTTGGTTTTTTTTGGGGGGAGGGGGGAGTTTGTTTGTTTACTCTTCTTTATTGATATTACTCTTCTTTATTAATATTTTTATTTTGCAAATAACAGGCACCATTATGCACAATTATCCTACCCATTTTTTTTTTTTAAACCAAACCAAAGTTGACATGAATGAGGGTAAGAACAGCCTTAATTGTCAAGAGTTGAATACAACTTTTTTGCTGATGTTAGCATCAAATAAGTCTTAAATTGTTTATCATCATTGATCACTACCTATTTATTAGCTACTGTTAGCATCAAACAGCGTAAAAGATTCATCGTTTGAATTATTAACAAAAATTTTATCAATAATCATCCTCCTGAATGGATAAATCTATTACTAGCTGAGTTCTCAATCCCTCAGGCTAAGTCGAAATTGGATGGCTTTGGCTACTCTTTAGGTTAGAGATCTCCACGAATTCATACAACTGTGGCTTTTAAAAACTTTTTGCTGTAAGAATATATGATGATGGTTGATCTAGAATAGCAATTAAAACACAAAAAAAACTCCTCAAAGAAATTGGTGTGTTACACTTTAATGAATAGGTCATATAAATACACATGAGATATGAATGATACTGACTTAAAAAATAACTTATATTTGATGTTTTATGGAAGCTATTGCATACAAGTGATTTTATGGCAGGTGTAATCTTTTAAATAATGAAAAAGACTAACAAAATTTCAATTTCCACAAAAACTTTACTACAATCCAGTAATGAAAATAAAACTTTATAAATTTTGGTTCATCTGAAGCACTTTTCTGGATTTACCTTCATCAGGAACCCTCAAAGTTCAAACCAAAATATTTAAAAAAAGAGGATGTACTAGAATATGTGATGGGGTAGATGGCAAAAACGGGATGTGGTATGATTGCCAATGAGACAACTCTACACTAGAGTCCAAATGGTGTAGATTGAAGCAACTATAGGTCACCGTACTCTTCATCCTTGAGCAAAACCCATTCTGTATAGTTAGCTGTAAAAGGCCCCAACATGACAAAATTTACAATTTAAACAAAAATTCCAGTGGGCTGATTTATGAGAAAACAATATAGGAAACAAAAAACTTGATAGACAGCAACCAAAGACAACCACTGAATTACAGATTCCTGACCTTGGAAAGGCATATATAGAATGTGGAGGGGTTGAACATGTTTGTGAGCACTTCACCCTACCCCTAACCTGGGAAAGTGGTGTTACAGTACAATATAATAGTAAACTGTAAACATCAGTTGAAAATGTCTTAACTTATCAGATTGGTATGAAGCACAAAAAGAATAGATCCAAAAATACCGATCTAAGAGTACTTACAGATACTGAAAGCTGGTTCAAAGCGAATTACAAGTAATAAATAAATTATGTTCTCTCAGACTAAATATCTAGATATTTAATATATCCTCTAAGAAAGATTAAAAAAAAATTAAAATGTGATTGAAGTTAATATTTTATTTATTCCATTTTAATTATACTTTGTATTTATACTCCCCAAGGTTAAATTGTGATGTGTAATTTATCACTTCCCCAGTTTGTACTTCAGCATGATTTCCTGTATTATTTTTACTTTGGTGACGGTGTCCTATGCACCAAAACATGTTGATCTCATTAAACTACTGGTGCAGTCCCTTGTTGTTTATTATAACAGTCTTCTGTATAATAACGTCTTCTAAAAGGTTACCAATTCAACACTATAATTAGATCTTTGAATGTTGTTTTTATTGGTATAAATATTGATTTTATTATCAGTAAATTAAAACCAAACTAATATTATTGTTATATACATATACATATGCACATTTCTTAGTTCTACAATCTGTCAATATCCGTATTTTGGCATTGCACAAGGCCATTTTTTTTCTCTGACTGTTAATGATGTCTTTTCAATAAATCTACGGGATGTTGGATGTGTACTGATTGATATTTTAGTCTTAAATACAAGATTTTTTCTCGCCTGCGATGAAAGTAGCAGTATGTGAGACAGGGATTACTATCTGGCGGCAGTGGCGTAAACTATTTGTCTGAAGCTTTATATTTCAGAAGGTAGAAGACCTGAATGCTTCATACCTTGAATGCAGATACCTGATGTTACAAAGTTTCAGTCTGTCATATGCCCATTGTCTTTGACCGCATTTTTATGGTTCAGTGAATACTTGAAAATAAATTTTTTTTTTGTCATGTGTATTTCTTACTTAAAATGAGTAATAGGATAACTATATTTGGTATATGGGTTCCTTGCAACGTCTACATGTCTGTCAGACAGGGTTCATCTGACCACCATCTCATTTCACGGATCAGTGATCAAGGTTAAAGTTACATGATTAGGTCTGTTTCAACTCATATGGTGTATGGAACAATTGTAAGGTATACATGTCTGTCTGACAGGATTTATCTGACCTTGACCTCATTGTCATGGATCTTTAAAAATGTTAACTTTATGTTATACTTGTAGTAAAACCTTTATCTTTAAGACTTTCAACATTAGATCAATGGTTAGCAAAGCAGGCGAGACATTTCAGCTTGTGCTGTCTTGTTTTATTAGTTCTTATTGGCTTTGAACTAGCTGTCAGTAACTGTGAGTATTCTCAGATCTGAAATTAGTGTCTTTTTTGTTGTGGGGATGTATAAATACCCTGCCACGTCCAGTCTGTGTTTTTGTTACTTGTTTTTCTGCTTTGTATCGATCTGATTAGCTAATTTCAGCCCTTTTCAACTGATTTTTTCGTTTGTTCATATGTTGTGCTTTTACACCACTGTCCCAGGTTAGGGGAAGGGTTGGGCACCCAGAAACATGTTTAATACTGCCACATTCTGTATGTGCCTGTCCCAAGTCAGGAGCCTGTAATTCAGTGGTTGTCGTTTGCTGCTTAGTATATCATATTTGTTATTCATTTATTGTTTTGTACATAAATCAGTCTGTTAGTTTTCTCCTTTAAATTGTTTTACATTTGTCATTTGGGGGCCTTTTATAGCTGACTATGCTGACTGGTTTTGCTCATTGTTGAAGGTTGTACAGTGACCTTTAGTTGTTATTCTGTGTCATTTGGTCTCTGGTGGAGAGTTGTCTCATTGGCAATCATACCACATCTTCTTATTTTTATATTCACAGTTTAATTTTAGTGCAATAGTAATAGAAAAAACAAAGGATATGGGGTATCCATCTATCACACAAAATCAGTTCATGCACAGCATTGATTTCCTTAAAATATTACCACTGTACCACTAAGATCAAACTGTGGACCACAGTAAGCCAGTTCTATACCAACTGAGCTACTAGGGTACTTCAGCAACATTGATAATCTACTTTAGGTCAAGGGTAATACTGCTCTGTTAGTATCAGTTATATTTTAATTGATTGATTGATTGCTGCTAGCTTAACATCAGTGGCAAATATATCATGCAGTAATGTTGGAAAAGTTAATTCAAAACAGAACAGATATTTAGAAAGATATTGAAAATATTTATGTCGTTTTTATACGACTGCAAAAATTAAAAAATTTTTGGTCGTATATTGGTATGACGTTGGCGTCGTCGTTGTCGTCGTCGTCGTCGTCTGGCGTCGTCCGGCGTCGTCCGAAGACACATTGGTTTTCGCACTCTAACTTTAGTTTAAGTGAATGCATCTCCATGAAATTTTACCATAAGGTTCAATACCACGAAAGGAAGGTTGGGATTGATTTTGGGGGTTATGGTACCAACAGTTAAGGAATTAGGGGCCAAAAAGGGGCCAAAAATAAGCATTTTTGTAACTTCCAGACAATAACTTGTGTGTAAGTGTATGGATCTCTCTGACATTGTACCACAAGGTTCCTTATCACAAAGGGAAGGCTGTAATTGATTTTGGGGGTAATTGCCTCAAAATTTTAGGAATTAGGGGCCAAAAAAGGGGCAAAAAACAAGCATTTTTCTAGTTTCATGACAATAACTTGTGTGTAAGTGTTTGGATATTTCTGAAATTGTACTACAAGGTTCCATATCACAAAGGGAAAGCTGGAATTGAGTTTGGGGGTAATTGCCCGAAACGTTTAGGAATTGGGGGCCAAAAAGGGGCCAAAAATAAGCATTTTTCTAGTTTCCAGACAATAACTTGTGTTCAAGTGTATGGATCTCTCTGAAATTGTACTGCAAGGTACCATACCACAAAGGGAAGGCTGGGATTGAGTTTGGGGGTGATGAATCATAAGGGGGTTCAAAAAATTTGGGGGGGGGGGGATTTTTTTTTTTTTCTTTTTTTTTCTTTTTTCCTTTTTTTTTTTCTTTTAAAATTTTCCATTTTAAGTTGGTTATTTCTGATTAATATTTAAAAGCAAATAATAATGATATGGTAGGAGATACACACCAAACAGGATGTGTAAATTATTATATAATAAGTATTGTGCAATAGCAAGAAATTTTCAATTGCACAGTATTGCACAATAGCAAGAAATCTTCAATTGCACAGTATTGCGCAATAACAAGAAATCTTCAATTGCACAGTATTGCGCAATAGCAAGAAATATCCAATAGCACAATATTGCGCAATAGCAAGAAATTGTCAATTGTACAGTATTGCGCAATAGCAAGAAATATTCAATTGCACAGTATTGTGCAAAAGAAGATACTTCGTATAAATTGCTTATTTCTTGATCAATTTCAATGGGGTTTTATTCTTGAATTCTTGGGGTTCTTTAATATGCTGAATCTAATCGTGTATTAAGTTTTTGGATTTTGGGCCCCGTTTTTAAATTGGTCCACATTGAGGTCCAAAGGGTCCAAAATTTAACTTTGTTTGATTTCATCAAAAATTTAATTATTGGGGTTCTTTGATATGCTGAATCTAACCGTGTATTTAGATTCTTAATTTTTGGTTCCGTTTTCAAATTGGTCTACATTAAGGTCCAAAGGGTCCAAAATTAAACTTAGTTTGATTTTAACAAAAATTTAATTTTTAGGGTTCTTTGATATGCTGAATCTAAACATGTATTTAGATTTTTGATTATGGGCCCAGTTTTCAAGTTGGTCCAAATCGGGGTCCAAAATTAAACTTTGTTTGATTTCAACAAAAATTAAATATATGGGGTTCTTTGACATGCTGAATCTAACCATGCATTTAGATTTTTGATTTTTGGTCCCCGTTATCAACTTTGTCCACATTGAGGTCATAAGGGTCCAAAATTAAACTTTGTTTGATTTCATCAAAAATTGAATTCTTGGTGTTCTTTGATATGCTGAATCTAACCATGTATTTAGATTTTGGATATTGGACCATAATAGGTGAATGTCCAATTTAAAATTTTTAAGTTCTTAGACCACATTCATTCTGTGTCAGAAACCTATGCTGTGTCAAATATTTAATCACAATCCAAATTCAGAGCTGTATCAAGCTTGAATATTGTGTCCATACTTGCCCCAACTGTTCAGGGTTCGACCTCTGCGGTCGTATCAAGCTGCGCCCTGCGGAGCATTTTATTTTTTAATTAAGTATACCATCAAGTGATTGGTATTCCTATGGGAACTAACTGTGCACCTCTCATCACAGATTTGTTTCTTAACTGTTATGAATCACAGTTTATGGCTGAACTTCATTAAGACCCAAATAAAACACAAAACCTGCCGATATTAAAACAAAATATTTTGTTCATAGTAATAAAAGAGGGTCTGGATGGGGGTCCTTAAAGGGGCATTAGCTGTCAAATTCATGTTCATCGATTTGACTCAAATTCTCATATTTGATTTATAATATACTAAAACGTATATAAAAATTAAATAAGTCTAAAATAAACTATTAACAATGCATGTACTCGATAATATGTATCAACATTTCTAGTGTATTTTTGTCTAGACGTCATCTGATTGACCATCGCGATGAACTCTGAAGACTGCCAATGGTCATATAACCCAATATAAACATAAACTGATAGCAATCATTTGCAATTGGATTGTTTTAGGTCTGTTTGATTTTATATTATAGGTTAAAAAGTATGTTTATCATTGTTTTTACCTGTGTTAGAATGAATTTTTTGTGGATCGAAACAGTCAACCAAATGTTTCACTTTCAATGTTGACATTCTTTTCCTTTAAATAGCTGAATACATGCGTAACCCATCTCGAGCTAAGGGGTAAAATTAAAGGTCACATGAATAGGATTCAAAGAGGTCGCATTATTCACTTGCAAGTGAATAATTCATCAGCAATGTTATGTATATTATTTTGACATTCATTCATTTCTGTTATCAGTATTATATCACCTAATTCTGTTATTTTCCACAATTATTCTTTAGGGAGCAACCATTTAACTTCTAGGGGGGGAGGGGTAGGGTTTTTTATCTGAGTTAGAAAAAATGTTCGCGTATGGAGTGAATGTTGTTTTTTTTTAGTTTTTAAAAATTTAACACTATAAGGTATGGGGAAAATCAGGATTCAGAATATTTTTTTTTTTTTGTCATCTGCTTGAACAATATTTTTTTTTCATCAAATTGGGGATCAGAATACTTTTTTAGAAAAAAAAAACCATAACCCCCTTCTGTAAACCCCATCCAGAGATTCTAGACCTTCGTAAAAGGTGACAGATACAATCAAAGTTCTTTAAAATCAGCCATGCATTTCCTTTTACTCTAATAGTTTTGTTACCACCATACTTGCCAACTTTTCTAAACTTCCATGGGTGATTTTAAGCACAAGAGGACCTAGTGCATGTTTTATACATGCCTAATATATATTTTAAAAGATATACTATGATTTTTAAGGAGTCTTTATGTAAAAAATGCCATTAAACTCATTTGAATATCTATTTTGAGGTATTAAGTTCATATATTAGAGGATTTAAATAGTCAGGCCAACCCCTCCCATGGGGAATATCCTCCATAAATCAGGGTTAAGTTGGCAGGTTTGTACCACTGGTAGTTGAATAGGTCTTTAATATCTACATTAAATTTCCTTGATGATACAGAAGCCGAAGGTTGTATCTACCACTAAACGAACATGTGCTTTGGATAACAAAATGGTGGACTTTAAATTTAAAAAAATCATTATCAATATGAAAAATTTGTACATTTAATGATGTTCGTACTGATCAACTACTGTATGAAATCTACTCATAAGTCCAGCTGTAGATATTACAGTGCAGGACTGCATGATTTCATATCAACAAGTTAAGTAACAGAGCACATTCTTCGATATGATATTACTTTTTAATGGTTGTCCTTGTACATGTGTTTTGTTTTCAAAAAAAGTATAAAAATGTTTTTTTCTTACTTTTGGCCTCTACAAAAATTACTTGGTTGTAACAAGGATTTCTTGGTTGTAAGTTTTGAGATTTATATATATATAACATTGCTTAAATATTAACAAAATATTATTTATTTTATAATTTTTTATATAGTGCTTTTGTATGTATTCATTCTTTTCACTTTTTATAACTATATTTGTACTGGGATTTGTATTTGCGAGATATTTTAACATGGGAGATAATGACAACTGAAAATCAAATAATGAGGACCTGGTACTGATTTATTTTATTCAGGGAAACCAGATTGGATTTTCCAAAATAGGGGAGACAATCCAACTCGAACCCGTACGTCACGAGGGCAAAGTGCAAAGTGTATTGGTACACAAACAAGAACATAAAAAACTTCTGTATAAGAAATCAAAAATGGATATAAGTGACAACATAGATTAAAAGGAAAAATTCTAATGGATGCACTGGTTATAGACCCAGCAATTCAAGATGTCATAGGTTTGTAATTTTGACAAGTTAGAAAACTTTGACAAACATAAAAAGTTGTCAGTGCTGCGATCGGTTCATCGTATTTAAATACATGTTGATAGATAAATGTCATGGTTTGATATTAGAATGATAATTTTTTATTATTTTTAGCTTGATATTGTCATGGATATATAATTTAATTTCAAAATTATTAAGTGTTGATTTGTAAAAAGTGATAGAGTTTTTGACATCTTATGACCTGGAGGCTGGATACACGCCTCCTTATTTACTAACATTAACGGACAATTAAATGGTATCATTGATGGTTACATTAAATCCACATGTCATCCTTTTTTCTGCAGTTCCCTAAACTATTTATCTTGATATCCTCTTTCATGTCTTGTCTGAAACCAGTCTCAACCTACTTCAAGTGATATACAGTCTTTTTTTAAGAGTTCTATCCTGGAATCCTTCACATTTTCTGATTTCCTGTATTTCGGGAGAGAAAAAGAGTATTCATCAAAATAATGTCAAAGATTTACATGTAATATATAGCAGTAATTTTACAGGATTTTACCATTCACTATTTGGTTTCCAAGTCACAATGTACATGTATGAGCCCTTTTTTATTGACACCAAATAAAAAAAACAACTCTCAATAGACCTTATCACTATTTAGGAATATGCGTGCTTGACCAGAGAATTTGCGACATTTCAACGACTTTTGGGGGAGATGTTTCTCTTCAATGTGCCATCAAAATACACCTTATCGCTATTTGTCCCCCATTACTGGACATCACAAAGGTCCCGTAAAATTTTGACGCCATAATAGCAAATGTCTGACGCCACAAAAGAGAATTGATTGTTCTATGACGTCAATATTTCAAGTGCCGCAGATTTTTAGGTCTGGGTGTCGCAGATCCTCAAACAGCGATTAGGTCTATTTTACAGGAAGGCTGTGATGTTCAGTGGGTGGTCTATCCCTGTAGAATGTTATATTATCAGGAAGTTCAAATATGCAGATTACGAGAAAGAGTGTATCTCCTACACAAACTTCAAGTTATCGCCATTGTAGGAAATAAATCACATTCTCAAAAAATATTTTTAATACATTGTACAACAGAAAATTTCGAAAAATTTTACTTCACAAAAAAAATTCATTGTACATGCATATATATAATATAGGCTGTTGCAAAATTAAAGTCATTAGTAGTGATGTCACAGAAAGTGATATCTGTGCATTTTCATTTGGTTCCTAGGTTTAGTTTCTTGAATTCTTGAAATTATTGCAGGGGTCCTACTTTGAAGTGGAAATTATTTGTCACTCAAATCGACCAAAATTGTTTTACAGGAAAACATACACCAATTTACCTGCTTTCAAATTCAATTTTAATCTTCATAAATAATACTGTCATCCTATGCCCCCCTTAAAAGTCATCAATGTCCTAATGAAAAATTAAGAAAAGTCATGATTGTGGTGTTTCCATGACACATTCCTCTCTTAATGTTTCCCTTAGACATGTAAGACAGACTGTAAAAATGGTAAAGAGCAGGTATATATATAGAGAACAGAAGAATTATTGTGAAATAACCTTGTAAATTTTTTCAAGAAAATGTACATGTAGAGATGCAATGGATTCCTAAACATTTGAAATTGCATGACATGCTCTGAATAACAGATACTGAGAACAAAAACTGAAAACTAGCTGATTATTACCCGCAGTTATATTTCTTTATGAAATTTCAACATTTTATGAATGGCTTCTTTAAATCTAATGTCATGATTTAGTTTACATGGAAAGCTTTTTATTCTCTTCTTTAATCATTGTTAACAACATGGTTAAGCAACCATCCATCATCATCATCTTTAATCAAGTTAATATATTAAACTTCTAAGTCATTTTGGTCACTGATGGAGAGTTGTCTCATTGGCAATCATACCACATCTTCTTATATCTATGGATGGAGAGTTGTCTCATTGGCAATCATACCACATCTTCTTATATCTACATGTATGGATGGAGAGTTGTCTCATTGGCAATCGTACCACATCTTCTTATATCTATGGATGGAGAGTTGTCTCATTGGCAATCATACCACATCTTCTTATTTTTATATATGAAGCATGTAAATTATATAACAGACACTAGACTTTAAGCAGACAATAATCAATCACTAAACATCATACAATCATTTTGTCATTTCTCCATCACAGCTGAACATTATAAAAACAAGGAGATGACCATCATGTGGTATGATTGCCAATGAGACAACTATCCACACAAGTTCAAATGAAGTGGATGTATGTATATTACTTTTAAACCCAATCTCCACATTTAGTTCCAATCTGTGAGGACATCAGAAAATATAAACCTATCACTGTCCTGGAGTTTATATTGTTAAAACCACTTCTGTGGTCTCATTGTTAGTTTGTTCGCTTCGAGTATGTGAGGTCAGGCAAGGTCAAACCATAGACTTGAAAGTTAGTATTTACTCACTGCTAATTCACCAAGCATGCTGCATTTATATGCAGGATTAAGAGCAAAGACAGGTTGGCGTGAGTCGGGTAGGATGACGAGTCATTTTGTGGACTGTTACCTTGTGAACTAGCTTGTTAAAAATTTGACTCAGTGTGTCGGTCTAGTTCAAAGGAAGCTCATATGTATTCATTTATATAAATTTCTCATTAACATGTTTTCATCCTGATATTGCATGTAATATTTGCCACTGGATGAAAACACTAATCCAATCTATCATCAATATTGTTAAAGAAACGGGTTTTTTTTGTAATATATTGTGATCCTTACCAAATTAAACATATGGACCTCTTAAAATGACCTGGACCTCCTATCCAGATAATGTTGTACACAGAGCAAGGTAGTATGCTGACAAAATTACATTCTCCTGTCAATTACAATCTGTGTGGTTTTCCAACTGCTATATATATATATATATTTTATAAGCGCTGGTCTATCTTTAATCTACCAATGGCTAATTGTGTAACAGTTGTTAAATTTGCAATCCTGCAATACATGTATGTGTCAATTAAAAAAAAATCTGGATTATTCCAGGTGTGATTTCAATTTTTTTTTTGCCCTTCATAGAACTAGAAAAATTGCAGTCCCATTCTACCTTTCAAAAAAAGACCCAAAATTCCAGCATAATATCTGGACTATTATACTAGTATAATAGTCCCAGATAATATCCAAGCTTTTGGTAAGATTGTTTTAGGCCTTTCTGTGCTTTATAATTCCTGATCTTAAAGATAAAAAACATTACCACAATAGTCAGAAACAACAGAAATTTATTTAAAGATGACCTTCAAATTAATATTTACTGCTTCCATTGTATCCCATATTTTTCTTAAATATAATGTTTTGGTTCACATGGTTAAGGAAAGATTTTGAAAATTAAAAAAATTAAATACATAAATTCAACTGACTAACCGTACTTATTTTCAGATCATTAACCAGGAACAAAACATATTTTTTAGCCTTACATGTATTACCATTATTACCAAACATACATGTAACTTTTCATGTTTTGTTATCACTTAGTTCAGTGTTCCCCTATAGAAATTTGTACACATTGCTCTGCATATATGTATGAGAAATTTGAACAGAAAAGGATACTGGTTACCATGGTTACATGATAGTTCTGTTTTACCTTTACCAAACAATTATTTTTTTCTCTCAGTATTTGGATAAAAACACACCAATTAATTTTCCAAAAAATATGATGGAAAAATGTAATCAAAGCAGTAAAAAGAAAAATCAAATTTTAGCACTAGGCACAATACAAAATGTAGACATGGTGGTTGTAAATAATTGCTATTGTATTTACTGTATGGGAAAGACAACCTTTTGGTTCTATGATGAGGTACTCTTATTACTTTTTTTCGTGTGACTTCCAGTAATCATCTAACAATTCCTACTGACAAGAAGGTGAAAATCTTCATTGTGCCTGAACTTTTTCATCAATTTTTTTTTTAACAATCCCATTTTACACCTCCTACGGTATTTTAATTAATGCAGCAGTTTTCAGTATGACCTGTACTGTTTAATATACATTTAAAAAAAGGGTTGGTCACACATTTCATTGAAATAGTACTTATAATTATAAATTATGACAAACACTTTTATTTTTTAGATTTGAAGGAAAAAATGGCAAGATATTATCCAAAGTATTTTGTATTACTCTTAATGTAAAAAAAATTGATCAGTGAAATTTTACCATAAAATTACGACTAATAAAGTGATTTTAAGCTATTTGATTGTACATAAATTTTTAAAATTTTACACATCACTAGTCATTTTTTTCATTAATATTTGCATGACATGGGCTATAAAAGTTTGAACCGTTTATGTCTGCACTGACTGATCTATGTCATGTTACCCAATAAATTTGAACAACTTACTGACAGTTTTAATTAATGTTTTAATTTTATATTTTACTGAAATGTTACTTTTAAAAATATTTTTTTAAGGATTGTAAAATTTGAGTTTGACCATAAAATCCTGTGAAAAGATTAGTCAGATAAATCCAAAGAATGACTGTCTTTTCATAGAAAATTGCTTATGGGTAGTAAATTTTGACATAAGTGTCGAATTTCATGCCTATGATGTCGCCAAACGAAGTAAAATTATCCAATTTCTTACACCATAGTGGTTTGACAATGATTAAGAATAAACATGATAAAAGAGAATATGTTTTCATTTTTTAATAGCAATATGATAAGAGATACATTTATCTAAATTATTTAAGTTGTTATGTAAATTGGCTTGGGACATTTATCAAAGCTTACATGTACATGTAAATGTACAGAAATTGCAAAAAAGAAAAAGAAATATTTCAAAAGAGTTTATGAAAATAAGAAAATGTGGTATAATTGCCAATCAGACAACTCTCCACCAGAGACCAAATGACATAGAAGTAACAACAATAGGTCAACATATGGCCTTCAACAATGAGCAAAACCCATACTGCATAGTCAGCTCTAAAAGGCCCCGACATGACAAATGTAAAACAAT